AATAAGCCTGGTACTAACATATCAAGCACTAATACTAAACATTATGCTTAATTTCAACTTAACCCTTAAACAACTATGAGGTAGCTATTATTATTATCCCAACAAAGATGAGACCCAAATTAAGTGATTTCACCAAAATTACATAGCTGATGCATTGTGAGGTCAGTATTTAAAACAGGTTCTGACTCCTGAGCCCATTCTTTCCTGATATTCTTTACTGCCTCTAAAGAAAAACATATTTTACCTTCTCATCCTACTTTTGGATATGGCCATGAGAAAGTGATGCTTGAAGATTTTCCTGCCATTTTGTGACCTCTGACATACTGAGGCAGAAAAAGTAGGAAAAGAAGTCATGTCCTTGATGAACCTTCACTGTGCCACTAAGCCAATCCTGTGTCCACCTATCTCCAGACTTCCTGAAGGAGATATAATAAATCTCAATTGTTGAATCTACTTTTAGATGAGTTTTCTGTTACTTGAGTAAAAAGCATGCTAACTGATCCTAGGTGCAAACGTTATTATTCAAGATAAGGAAAACTTAAGGCATGAATCATATACCAAGATGAGAAAAATACCTTGTTTGTTCAATTTTGTCCCAACTTCAGGCAGACTACAGTAAACAACATCTCCCAAAGCTTCCTAAAACAAACAAAACAATAACCTTTAAGAAATCAAATTAAACCTCCTAGTGAATAGAAACAAGCCAAACACTAACACTCTATAATTCAGAGAGGACATATTTTACATTTGAGGGGCCACATTCTTTGGTTTTTTTCTCACAACACTTTAAAACCTCCACAGCCCCCCTCCCCAATATACTAGAGCTCCTCTGAGAACACATACACCTGTACTTTTCCACCTTTGCCGTTTTGTTTAGGCCACTGCCTCTCCTGTATTTGCCGAAATCCTACCTACTGATCTGCAAATCATAGTCCTCAAGCTTGTATTCCCTGAAGACCTTGACTCTGTTTATTAAGAAGTGAGCTCTCCATCAGGTCAGTGAGTTACAACCCTTGTACTACTCATGTCACCCATCCACCATGTAATGCTCTGTGCGTTGTGTTCCATGGAGGGGATTCCCCTCATCAACTCCAGGAGGGGAAGACAACACTGGCACAATATTGCACCCAGCACGTTGTGGTACTGGGCCTAAGCAGGTATGCAGAAACGCCAGTGAAGATACAACTGTCATTGATTCTCAACAACCCCTTTCCCCTACCAGCCCCACCCCCGACAACAGAAGCAGTGGAAAATCAGACTCCTACTGCTATTTTATGTTAATAAAAGTTCTCATTTTCTTCTGCATAATTTCTCAATATGGGATCAGTGGGAGATTAAGAGAAAAAGATTGGCTAAATAAAAGGTTTTGCCTTGGTCCAGTCTGTGCCAATCTAGGGTTTTCCTTCTTCACACCCCAGCTGGTGTGTGTATCACAGAATCCACAAAAGCACTGTCAACACTCCAAGCCTTCAACTGGCTCTTACTCTTCTTGCCTTAACTGCCCCAACATGAAACAAACATCTTTCCTGAACAAGGGATGTTCACTTTTAAGTGTTAACCTGACTAAATTATATTTTACTTGTTTCACTTATGATTGATATTCTTGAAAGGGCTCAAAATACTAAGGGGCAGAATAAACAATGTTTAAAAGGTAGAGACAATCCAAATTATGCAAGTGCTGACTGTTTTAAATATTTCAAGACAATCCAGTACCTGTGCAAAATTGCTGATTCCAACGGTTCCAATACCATTTTCTGTTGTTATCCATTCATGTTTGTCTGTGAATTTACGCACTAAAACAGAAGACCAATATTTCAGAAAAGCAGTGGCATCACTTCTTAAAAAGCACTTTTCATATCAATGCTGTCAAAAGGCAAGACTTCCCTAGTATTTGTGTTTGACTTACTGACATTGCCTTTCAATATACTGCCCAGGAAAAACCAGATCTCGTGAAGACAGAACATCTCCCCAACAGTAGGATTATTTAGGCAAAGATGTGAACACCTGGTGCCTCTTTTGGAGATTTTATTATTCCAACATTAGTCTAAATCACACATATAAACTTTTGGGGGACATTTCAAAGTATACTTATCTATTAATGGTCTGTGTTATACAGAATGTAGTCTCTTCCTCTATAGACAGATGTGGGGTGAGGGAACATAAATGCTCATAATGCTTACAAATGCTCATAAATAATTTAACCTAAAAAAAAAAAAAAATGCGTCTTTGGGTAGAGTTGACCTAAGAGGGCTTCACTGCAACTTGGTTATAAAGTGGAATCTTACAGGAATGAAACTGACCTGGAACAAATTATAACTTGACTGAGTCCTTAAGATTTTATTTTAATCGAATTAACCCTGTCCTTGAAGAAAGTGGCTACCGTCATTCTTTAAAACAAAACAAAAAAAATTTAAAGCATATGCTATCTGCTTAAATATATACACACCATATTCTGAGACCAAGTATTTTTCCAAAAATAAAGCCTCAGAAGTTAACAGGAAAATGGTTCATTACTTCAAATACTGTTTTAGGGTAAGCCTTGCTGGTTCACTCTTACCCCTTAACCCAAAAGATAGTTGTACTTAAGACTGCATTAAATTGCTTTGATTACACAGCTGATACACAGCAGAATATTACTACTACTTTCTTTCCCCCAATCATTAAAAAACTTTAATTTCATATTCTTTACTGGAAGAAGTTGTAATATCTGTCACAAAAGAACTTGCTTTGCTTCATTCCATTCCATTTCAAATAGCTAACTGCTTCAGGACAATCTGATCTCTCGTGTAGTAAAGTTCATACTTGGTGCTCTGACTGCCACTCTCCCCGCCCTCCCCCCCCCCTTCCTTTTCTCGACTATGTCAACTTTAGGAGCTCCTTCCTGCCAGGTCCCTTGTCTAGCCCTCCAGGCTAGGATTGGGGCCATCCAACTTGCTCCCACAGCACTGCACCAGTCTCCCTGGGTCCTGACCTTACAAGCGCGTAGCACTTGAGAAGCTACACATACAGCCCTTCTGTCAGTTCTCCCCAGGAAAGAGACTAAGTACAAAACCAGCAAAAGCGTGGTTTATCCCGTTTTCACTTGTATTCCCAGTTCCAAACACCATGCTTCGCAAACAGTAAGCACTCAGAACTTTAGAGAGTGAAATAACTTTTTAGTGGGGTGCCTGGGGGGCTCAGTTGGTTAAGCGTCCAACTTTGGCTCAGGTCATGATCTCACAGTTCCTGGGTTCAAGCCCTGCATCGGGCTCTGTGCTGACAGCTCAGGGCTTGGAGCCTGCTTCGGATTCTGTGTCTCCCTCTCTCTCTGACCCTTCCCTGTTCACGCTGCCTCTCTTTCTCTCTCAGAAATAAATAAAACATTAAAAAAATTAAAAAAGAAATAATTTTAGTTATTTAGTTAGTAAAGGATATTCTGAACAAAGTATCTACATAGGTATTTGGCTACAACACTTCTCCCTATCACTGTTACAGCTCTAGAACTTGCTGATTACAATACCAATTATGAGCAGTTTAAATCCAAAAATACCTTTTTAAAGGGCTGGACAACAACAAACATGCCTTCTCTGAGACTACCGTCTTGATTTGGGCCTTGCCATCTTGCCTAATTGTAAGAATAATCTTAGGAGTAAGTGCCCTCACTCAGTTTAAAACTGAGCAACCATAAATTTAGAGGAGAGGCAGCATTAGTAAGGGAACTGCACGGAAGTCCACTTAACTTCAAAGTCCATAAGACTTTTTACTAGACCAAGCTGTTTAGGCTAAAGACCAGGGTTAGTTTAATTTTCCTTGAATCCTTGGCCCAAAAGGAAAAAGTGGACAGATTAGGTAAATAATTACTTCTTACTGAGCATTTAAAAACATCACTTTTGGCCTCAAAATGAGGCATTTTCCTTTCAAAGTCACTACTCAGGGTGCCTTGCTGACTCAGTAGAGCATGCGACTCTTGATCGCAGGGTTCTGAGTTCAAGCCACACATTGAGCGTGGAGCCTACTTAAAAAAAAAAAAAAGTCCGTTCTAAGTCCCTAGTCAGATAACATATTGGTAAAACTATTTTTTATTATTTGATTCTATAATATTTCATAACAACGTTTACCAAGTACTCACCTTTTGTCAGGCTACTTGTACATAAAGGTTGCGTTTTCATTTCAGCCTCCCAACAACTTTGTGTGGTAGGCATTATCATTTCCATTTTTCTGATGAGGGAGAGACTCACAAGTTAAATGACTGCCCCAGATCACATAGCTAATAAGAGGTAGAATCAAAATTGGAACTTGGGTCTCTGTTCTTAAAAACCTTAGTGTTCAACCAGATCATGGGTGTTGGTATTTTGGACAATATTTAACTAGATATTACACTGAATAACCAAAAAAAAAAAAAAACAACCCATATTCTTATCTCAGATATGCTTTCCTCTTGTATTCAAATTGATAAATATTGATACATTTCACCAACAGAACTAAAGGAATATAAGAGCAACGGGAGAGTAGCATCTTTATGTTTGACTGAATAAATAAATATGCTATCAATTCTTCCAGTTCCAAACAGGTTTCTAAAATAGTCAACTTAATGCACAGCAGCCATCACAGACCTACGCACCCTAGAGTTCTTGGAGATGCTCTTAGGGTCTCAAGCATTTGTCCACGCATTAAGAACACGTTTTCTGCAGCGGTAATTGCACTAATATAAAGTAGCAGAGATGGCCAGGGTATTTGGGGGCAGGTCTCCTAGTTACTTAAATTCCAAGTCCGTGTGAGACCTCATTTCTGTCCCACCACATCCATGATTCAGTATAGACTTTAGCAGAATATATGGGTCCAAAAGACTTTATCTCACTGTTTTTGGGAAGTAGGCAAGTCTTCAAAGTTATGCTCACTTTTGGCAGTAAAAATCTAGCTCCCGTGCTTTAATTTCATTAAGTGCTCTTGCTTTAATCTGACTTGAGATCTCAATGATAGCCCACATAGCAAAGCAAAGCCTGCTATGTCTCCACTTTCAGGGCCCACGATGCACACACGCGCAAGATAACCTAAGGTCGCGATGGAGCTTAGCGACGCTTGCCCGGTGTCTAGCAGCGAGCGGCCACGCGTGTGCGCCAGGTTCCTCCTCCCGGCTCCCCAGCCCGCAGGACAAAGGCTGCGGTGTCGGCCACGCCACTTAGGGAGGCAGCAGCGGCCACGCAACCAGGGATCCGAGCAGTAGGAAGAAGCGTGGGCAGGGGTCGCCTCTCTGGACCCGGAGGTCAGCACGGGCGACTCGAGGTAAGCACTGACGCGGGGACGGAGGCGCCCAGCCCCTTCCCCCGAAGCAGCCGGGTTCACCCACGTGCCCGCCCGGGCTTACCAGACAGCAGAGCTGAGCCCGTGCGCAGCGTCCGGACGGGGCCCGCCCTCAGCCCCCAGGGCCGCGGCAGGCAGGGCGCGGCGGGAGCGGAGGCGGCGCGCAGGCTGCAGGCCGCGGCCCGCACGCTCCGCACCGCTCGTAGCGCCATGTTCGCAGAGTGCGGGGTCGCAGTGCAGCGCCTCGAGAACCCGGGCCAACGGGGGCGGGGCGGGGCGGGGCGGGGGACGGCCCGGGACTGGAGCGAGCCGGAGCGAGCCGGAGCGAGCCGGCTGGTCCGGGGACGGGGCGGGGCCGTGGAGGGGAGGGGCTTGGTAGGGCCGCGCGCGGGGGCGGGGATTCCAGGCCGAGAGGGGCCTCGGATAGGGCCACGCTAGAGAGGGGCGGGGATCTGCGGTAGGTGCTGAGGGTCAGGGGCGGGGCCTAGCGCGGCAGGCCGAGGTCCGGCGGGGCCTAGTATCCTAGAGTCGCTTTTTGATAGTGAAAGTGCAGGGTCAGCAGCTCCAGCTTTGCTAGCATGGGAGACCCGCCGGGACAGTGAGAAGGGTTCCGGCAGACATGGCTTCGCGGGGCAGGCATTCCCGTGCCACTGGGTCCCTGAGGTCCTGGGGAAGATAGAGTGTCCTCAGTCCGTTAAATACGCCCCCACCTTTCTTCAGAGGATCAAGGTCACCCAGAGCAGGATTCATAGCCAGGTCTAAACAGAATCATTCCAGAAGACGACTGTTGTTGGGCAGTGGCCAAAGAAGTTCTGACACGTAGTTTCTCTTTGACTTTGAGAAATACTGAAAACAATCCAGGAACCCACTTTATTACTTTACAGATCCCAAGGGACCAGGGTACCCCATGCAGGGGACAGACAGAATCATGAAGTCCCTAGAGAGGCAAGGAGTCTCCTTGGTGGAGACTGGATGGGAGCCAATTAACTAATCCAGGAGCAATCAAAAGACTAAGTTGAAACCCATCATGGTCAGTTCTTTGTGTAAGTATCCAGCCCTGGGACCAAGGCCTTTCCAGAAAAACAGAAGTCATGGCGCCATCCAAGGAGATGGAAAATAATTAAGTTCTGGAAAAGACTTCACCTTCAACACAAATTTTATGGAGTGGGCAGGAATCAGCAAAGAAACACTGGGATGAAAAACACCTCAAGCTCCACATCTTCATTATTACAGATTATCAACTCCGCATACTCAATGTTACACACACCCTAAAGCGTGTGTGTATGTGAGAGTGTGAAGGGGTGTTTGGGAGACTTACATGCTGTTGCATTGAGCTTCCACCCCATTTACAAAATGGTCATTGTTAGCACATCTGTGCAGTGCTTGCAAGGGCAATCCTGCTTCGTTTTCCTTTTCCTTGCTATATGCCTGGGACTGTGCAAACATTACCTTTCTGATCCTCTCCAAACCCCTTTCTGATAGGTGTTACTTTCATTGCATAGGTGTGGAACTGGAGGCTCAGAAAGGTTAATTGGCTTGCCCAGGAGTGGAATGGGGAAGGCCTGTCTAGCATAAGCAGCTACTAGGTGGCTAGGTGGCAGTAGCAGGATTTGACCTCTAGTTGGGTACACGGTCAACTGCTGTTAAGCTCTGCTACTTGCCTCCATTTGGGATGCTGACTGGCTCTCAGTGGTCTACTCCAAACTCCAGATTTTGGCTAGCTTCTCATGTCAATATTCTGTCTTTATTGTTGTTTTGTTATAAGCCAACATTGCACAATGCAAACCATGCCCTAAAATATTTATTCCCAGCTTGACTAATGTGTTTGGTGGAAGAACAAGGTCACATATCAATCTGTGAACCATATCACATGGTCTTCCACCAAAACAATAGGCAAGGTGTCATTTTTAAAAGTCTAATAAGTATTAAGGCTAATCAAAAAAAATTTTTTTTTCTTAATTGGTAATCTTTGTAACATCCATGGCTTGAGATTTGGAAGGTCATCCCATGGCACGTTTGGTACAACTTCCTGAGAATTGCCTGTGGTCTTTTCTTTCAAGTGTCTCAGAAGGGGTCCATTCATCTATTTAAGCTTTTTTTCCTCTCATAACAATACAATTGAAGGAGTTGCCAGTTTAATATTTACAGTCAGTAAAGGGGTGGAGAGTAGATGGGTAAGATGAGAAATGAAGAGGGAGAGGGGAAGGGGGGTGATGCGCGTGGAGGAGGACACTTGTTGGGATGAGCACTGGGTGTTACATGGAAACCAACTTGACAATAAACTATTAAAAAAAAAAAAAGATGAGAGATGAAGAGCTTACAACTTCTCCAGATCTTAAAAGTTTTCATATTTAAAGCAAACAGACTGGGGCGCGTGGATGACTAAGTCGGTTAAGCATCTGACTCTTGATTTTGGCTCAGGTCATGATCTCATGGTTCATGAGATTGAGCCCCATGTCGAGCTCTGTGCTGACAGGAGCCTGTTTGGGATTCTCTCTGTCTCAAAAAATTAACATTTAAAAATAAATAAATAAATAAATAAATAAATAAAGACGGACTGTATTATCTGGGTAGGTTTATGTACTGGTCTATTGGGGCCTGTGTGTACACCTTGTTATAGGTTATCTGATGAGTGTCCCTGCACATGTAGCTCACGTTCATACCTGATGGATGAATGGATGATGGGCTTTTGGTTGGAGAGAAAATGATGAAATCCTCAAGGTTTGTGTAAGTGCATGTTATGTGCCTCTTTATAAAGGATCTTTTTTTATTTTCAGAGTGGGATCCTAACTTAACTGTCATAAAAAGACATTTAAACTCTCATCCAAATAGGGGCGCCTGGGTGGCTTAGTCGGTTAAGCGTCCGACTTTCGCTTAGGTCATGATCTCGTGGTTCGTGGGTTCGAGCCCCACGTCGGGCTCTGTGCTGACTGCCAGCGCAGAGCCTGGAGCCTGTTTCAGAGTCTGTGACTCCCTCTCTGTCTGACCCTCCCCTGCTCACGCTGTCTCTCTCTCTCTCTCCTAGAAATAAATAAAACATTAAAAAAAAAATTAACTCTCATCCAAATAGAAGCCAGTAATTCAGCTTCAGGGTTGATGAAGTCATTCATCAAGCACTCATGTTCCTCTCATCTTTCTGCTCTGCTATCTTTGGATGGTTCCACATGGTCTCAGAGTAACTGCCAGAGTTCCTGGAGTCTTGCTCAGACCAGACCACATCTAGCAGCATAAGGTGCCATCTCCATGCGTCTCTCTTTGTTGGCAAGTAGACCTTTCCTGGAAGTATCCTAGAGACTTCAGGTTTCACTGCCTGGAACTGGGTCATGTGACTACCCTGAATCCCTCATGTCAAGGGAAATGAATTAGTAGCACTAAGACTAACAGGATTTACATTGATGTGGCTGCAGGGTCACCTTCCCATGAGTCTCCGGGGAAAGGGGTAGATGGCTGCCTGAACAAAGTTGGGTTCTGATAGCAAAGAGGAAGACATGGAAAGGATTTGGGGCAGGCAACCTAGAGTGTCTGTTACCACAAGTGCGTGAGAAGGAGGGGGAGAGATAAATGAGCTGGAGAGGATGTGTGGTCCACTCTCCTGCATGGGGGAGGGGAAACATGCCCTACCCACAAAGGCACCTGAACATCTTTTGTTAGCTAGATCTGTGGTTCTCAGAATTTGGAGCACAGTTAGCAAGTCTACCTGCACATTGGAATCACCTAGGGAGACTTTATAAAATTATTGATGCCTGGGGGTGCCTGGTTGGCTCAGTCAACTAAGCACCCGATTCTTTTTTTTTTTTTTTTAACTTTTTTTTTTTAAGGTTTATTCATTTTTGAAAGAGAGAGACAGAGTGCGAACAGGAGTGAGGCAGAGAGAGAGGGAGACACGGAATCTGAAGCAGGCTCCAAGGTGTCAGCACAGAGCCCAATGTGGGGCTCAAACTCATGAACTGAGAGATGATGACCTGAGCCAAAGTAGAACATTTAACCAACTGAGCCACCCAGGTGCCCAGCGCACCTGACTCTCTATCTCAGCACAGGTCTTAATCTCAGGGTCTTGAGTTCAAGCCCTGCACTGAGCTACACACTAGACGTAGAGTCTACTTTAAAAAAAATTTTTGATGCCTAGGTCCTAGGTCAGAGATTCTGAGATTCTGATGTATTGGGATAAAGACTGGGGATTCTAGCATGCAGCCAAGCTTGAGAACCACTGGTGCAGATTACCAGTTCCCAAAGTATCAACTAAGGAACACTAGCCCTGACTGAGGTGCTGCAAAGCTGGAGTCAAAAAGTTTTGGGAATTGTTACACCTTTATCTCACATGCTCATCTCAGTCCAGGAGACTCACAGTGCATATTTAGTATGTTAAAAACTCTGAAAGTTCTCATACTAAAGAACATGTGTAACCTTTATAATCTAGTAATCTAGTGTTTCTCGCTTATTTGGTTCAGAAACATTTCTGGGGGAATGACACCTATTATGTTGAATTTTGTCCCCTAAAGAGATAATGTTGAAGGCCCAACAGTTACTATTCAAAATGTAATCAAATTTGGAAACAAGGGTGTTGCAGATGTAATTAGTTAAGATGGGGTCATAATGGAGTAGGATGGGCCCTTAATTCAGCAGGGCTAAGATCTTATAAGAAGAGGGAAAGAAACACAGGGACAGACACACAGGGAAAAGGCCATGTGGTGACAAAGGCAGAGATTAGAATGATGCATCTACAAGTCAAGAAAAACCAGAGGACCCTAGAAGCTAGAAGTGAAGACCCTTCTCCAGAGTCTGCAGAGAGAGCATGGCCCCATTCACACCTTGATTTGGGGCTGCTATCCTCTGGGATGGAGACCATAAATTTCAGTTGGTTTAAGCCATCCAGTTTATGCTACTTTGTTCCGGCAACCAGAGGCAACTGATATGATGGCCATTAACACTTCTTGGACACAATTTGAGAAACCCTGAGATAGAATCATTCAGAACCAATCCCTGACTAACCAAGAAGATGAAATAGTCCGTAGAGATCATTTTTTTCCCCAAACTCCAGACAGTATTTGTTTTATTTCTGAGATAGAATCATTCAGAACCAATCCCTGACTAACCAAGAAGATGAAATAGTCCGTAGAGATCATTTTTTTCCCCAAACTCCAGACAGTATTTGTTTTATTTCTAGAAAGAAATACATTTGCACAGTCTATTACAGTAGTGGAGATTTTAAGTACTTAGCATATATTTTTCTTATTTTTTCTACTTGCCAGACTTGGTGGCTTTTCTATGGACACAGAAAAACACTGGCCTGGAGAGACTGTAGAATCACTGGGAAGCATAGGTCCGAGGCTCTGGCCTTCGCCCTCTACAGATGCTCATGTGTGGATGAAGAGCTTAAAGCTTGGGTGCAGATGACACAGGTACAGGGGGCCCGACCTCTGACAGCAACTCGGCCTCCTCCCTGCTGTTTCCAGGCTCTTCTCTTTTACATTTAATGCCCAGGAAACCAAGTATTTTCACCAGCAACAAATCGACAATCTCTCCTTCCTCCGACAGCTGTGGAGGGAAAAAGAACCATGCAACATACATAGAAGCATCCTTCTTGGGTTTCTTCCTTTCTGAGGGGAAACCATGTTTTTTTTGTTCAGTTTGGTCTCTGCCAAAGTCATTGGAGTATGTAGAGTCAATTTTGTGTTGGGATTCCCCTTCTGGGAATCCCAGGGGTGTGGTGCTCCCATCTTTATCCCGAGGTTTCTTCTTCCCCTGTGATGAGAAGGACAGTGTTCCCTCTACCACCCCCAAGAGAGGCTGTTAGGAGTTTATGTACAAAGACTCTCCTGCATTGCAGCTGGGAACATGAAATGGTGCAGCTGCTTTGGGAAATAATTTGCCGGCTTCTCAAAATTTAAGCTAGTTACCATATGACTTGTTGAAACAAATTTCTGGGCCCAAGATGGACGTGCTCCTGCCTGGGATGCCGTGTCTGCAGACTGAAGCTTAGAGAACTTTCGGGTCCCTTTGGATGATCCCCTTTATCAGAATGCAGTATATCAGGTTAGCCAGCCCCTAAACACCAAGCCACTTTTGGGGTCTATTCTTCTTTTCTTTTCCATCTCACCCCAAACTAGGTTGACTGTGTGGCCCCAATCAGATATATTTTCATTTTTCTCTTCCTTGTTCTTTATTCTTTTATCCTATAAAAGCTTCCTGCCTTCCACCGCATTTGTATTTCTCTGAGTAGAGACTGTCCACTTTATGGAGTGTTAAGGTTTGCATCACCTAACTTGTCTTCCTTAATAACTTTTTAGAAGGTTTCAGTCTTGGCTGTATATTAAAATCACATGGGAAGTTTTTAGAACTACACATGATTGGCTCATTCACCCAGGGATTCTGTGTTTATTGGTCTCAGTGCAGCAACAGGTATCCCAAAAGCCCCCATGTGATTCAAATATACACTCAGGGCTGAGCGTCACTGGGGTCGTGAACCAAGTGCCACCTTGGGAATCAGGAGACCCAATTCTAGTCTGCCCTTCATTTGTTTGTGTTCTCGAGGAAGGAATGTCCTCCTTCTGGACCTGTTTCCCCTCCCATGAAGTGAGAGCTTTGAGCTACAGTGGTCTCTCAAGTCCCCCTAATGTCTAGGGCTGCTCAGTTTCTTCTTACTTCAAGGTCAGTGACTGTTGAATAGGCCAAAGGGACTCACCTGATCATCTTTTTGCTCCTCATTGAAGGCCACCAGAATGACAGAGATAAATAGATTCAACACTACAAATGTCATGAAAATGATGCAGGACCCAATCAGGAAGGAGCCAAGCACTGGGCTGTAGTCCAGGACCTGTCAGGAAGAAAGCCAAGAGTCATCCCCAGAAGTCCTGGGTCCTAGTGGCCACTTGCCCCATAGCCACCCTCAGAGGGAAAACTGGTTCCCAGACTAGGAGAGCCTGGAACCAGGAAGGGTCCCTTTTGTCTGGCAGCTGAGAGTATGGGCAGTGCTCTCAAGAGCTACCAAGAGATGGGGTGTCTGGATGCTTCAGTTGGTTAACAACTGACTTGGGCTCATGATCATGATCTCATAGCTCATGACTTTGAGCCCAGCATCTGGCTCTGCACTGACAGTGCAGATTCTCTCTCTCCCCCTCTCTCTGCCCCTCCCCTGCTCGCTCTTTCTCTCTTTCTCTCAAATAAGTTTTAGAGAGAGAGAGAGAGAGAGAGAGAGAGAGAGAGCTATCAAGACAGGAAAAGGACAGCACCCCCTACTCCCTACTGCCACCATTTCGAAATATAAGCACAATTTCTGGCTAGGGTTGGCAGCATTCCCTTCCAGAGACCTCCTAGCACAGCTCTCTCCTGAGTAGTCAGTGCATGATGTTCTCCTGTAAGCAGAGGTCCCCAGGGCAAGCTACGGGCCCTAGTATGGGGCTGTCTGCCTGGAGGAAGGGGACTTTTTATTTGTCCAAAATTGCCTTGTGCTTGGCCATGGACCCAAGGGGTAACATCCACTCAGGGAGAGGCATTTGAGGAGGGTGTTTTTTCTAATTTTCATAAAGGCTTGGTGTAGATGGGAGTGTCCGTGTTCCCCCGACCCCACCCCATTACCTCCTCATAGTTAAAGATTCCTAGCTGAAGGCTGATCATTGTTTCTGCTGCATCAAAGAGGGTTTTGTAGGAACGGAGTTTCCAACCAAATATTAAGTTTGACTGTAATGGAAAGAGTCCTTATGAACAGAAAAAGAAACCAAACAACCTTCCCGCCCCACCCCCAGAGCCTGTTGTTTGACAGTAGAGTCCATGTTCTGGGTCAGCCTTACTGTTGGTCTGGCAGAACTTTACCTATGGGGGCTTGCAAGTGGGTGTGTGAGGGATGCGCATCCACCTCTGGGGCTCAGCACCACCTGCTAGGCTGCCATTGCATTCACTTAGATGGCTGCTCTAAGACTCAGCAATGAACTTGGGCTCTCTGAGGCCCCAGTCTCTTTGTTCTAGAGGAGTTGGGTTGGATGACAACAGGCTTGTGCCTGGGCAGGGCCTCCCCTATAGTTCTTCCTCACCACAGCACCCCTCCTGCCAAAGATTTCCACTCATGTGTCAGGGAGGCCTAGCACTCCCTTGGCTCTGAGTTGCGAACTTCTCATCTCAGGACACTGCAGTGTCCCTGTAGGTCCTATACCACAGATGGGAGACTGAATAAACCCATGTGAATTAAGGGGTCAGGTGAAGTACTTTCGATAAAACCAGACTCCAGATTTTTAGCATACACCCGGCATCACTCCATCAGTGCACTCACCCCATTTCTGAGGGTGAGAGAGGAGGATGAAGTAGGTCAGGAAGGGAGGAGTCAGGGTTGAGGTGATAGGGACAGGAAAAAGATGGGTAAGGAATGGGGAGAGGGTTAGAGAGAGTGTGGGAAGTAGGATAAGAGGGACCACTGTGTGGTATGGAGGTCAGGATGGTGGGAGGTAAGACTGGATGGGGCCAAGTCAAGAACTGGGAGAGGGGCTGGGGTAGCGAGTGGGTCCAGATTGGGTGAAGGGGCACAGAGGAGTGGGAAGTGTGCTATTATGGGGAACGTGGACTTGGAGAGGATGGGGGTTATATTCAGATGGAGATGAAGATGTGTCAGAGGGTCTTTGTTTCCCACATTAATTGGTAATAAAATAGTTGATAGTATATTTTTTTCATTTGCAAGAGACATGACTGCCAAAATGCTTTCAGTGTCAAGGGGCTGAATGAAATGATTTTTGGCCCTTTTAAGTTCATGCCTGTGTAGGGCATCAAGCAGTGACACAGCCTGCTCATGTGTCCGTCCTCACTTCCCCATCTCTGCCCAGTTCATCTCCACACCCCCCAACACAGAGGGAATGCTCTATGCATGTCTGAGCACATGGAATGTCAGGAGAACTGGCATATGCAGGTAGGGTCCAGATACAGAAAAGAATCCTTTATTGGAGATAGTTGGCCCTTTTGGTCTTAGAGACTATACCTCCTCACTCTTACCCAACTGAGTAAGAGTTTGCCATTTGGGGTGGCTGGCCTTTGCCATTTGGGCTGGCCAGCCATTTTACGAGCTCCCAGCTAAAAAGCCCTGGACTCAGAAGATCCACCATCTCCCTTAGGTTCCAAAGTCTTCTGAACACTAATCCTCAATGCACTCCACCACCACCGCCACTGAGGAGCCTTTGCTTCCAAGGAGACCAGCCCTGAAGGTTTTACCAAAGGAACCACTCACTGCAATGGAGTAAGCCAGAAGCATGATAAGGATGACGATGATAAAGCCTGAAATGTCCCCCCAGGCACGGCGCAGGGCTGATGTGATCATGTTCATTTTGGGGTTCAACCTGAGCAGATGCCAAAGCTTCACCGTGGACAGCAGTACCAGGAAGGCAATGATGTAGCCAAGGGCAGCATCAGCTGCTGCTGTCTCACTGAAACTGATCCCCCTGTAGGACCAAAAGGCAAGAGTGAGTCTCAGAGACTGTGAGAAGCTCAGCCAGGGCTCATCTGCGCTCAGTCAGGATGCTGGATCCTCAGCCCAGGATGCAGGATTAGATTTACCATGATCTCAGAGCCCATCACTTCCCACAACAGGTCTGGGAGATATAAGGCTGGTCCAGTTCCCCCTGCTAGGTAATGATGAGATGGTGATGATAGTGATGGAGATGAGAGTGAAGATGGTGGTGGTGGTGGGGATGATGGTTATGATAGGGATGATGATGATGATGATGATGGAGTTGATGTGCTAGTGATGATGGTGGTGGTGGTCATGGGACCGTTACCTACCAGTTTCGGTTAATGGCTGCAGAGCTAGGGAAGAATGGCAAAGGAGGAATCTTCCCAGGGTCAAGAAGATACAAGTGAGGGAGTTCTGTGAGCCTCCTCTCGTAGTTTGGGTTCACTCGATGCCACTTCCTCCCTCACACTTGTCTAAGTGTATGTCCACATTGCCCTTCCATTTGAAAGAAGGTTGGAAATACCTTCAGTTTTAGTGCTGAGGGCCTAATGAACCTCAGCTGCATTCGGTCTTCAAGACCACTGGATGAGGCAAGTATTGCTGTCTCTGTTTTATGGATAAGGACAGAGAAGAGTTGGCACAAGGTCACACAGCTAGTGACATAGCAACACAACTCGTGCTGGAAGAGAGTTGGAATCCAGGCCTGATTCCAAAGTCCGATTCTTCCCTCCATCCCACTCTGCCCTTCATTCCCCTCTGTGCCTATTTGCTTTAAATTCAGTCTTAATATCAGTGTGTCGTTAAAATGGCATAGACTTTTATCTAGTGACATGGATGGAGCACAGGTTATAGACAAAATTATATGATCTCAGGTTTGTAAATGCATTTAATATACGTATATAGTGCCTGAGTGAAAGCTATCCTTCTCCCTAATCTCCTGCCCTCCAGAATCTTCCTTCCATTTGAGTTGATAGGCTCCTGGTATGGATGGCTGCTTCCTCCTTTGGTTCCTGTAGCACCTTTTTCCTGCCTCTTTTAAAACACCTAACCCTCTCTTGCGCCAGTTAATTGCTCATATATGTGGAAAAAATAACTACATAAGCCCTCCTTTATGATGACAGCTCTAATTAAAGCATGGTTCTCAGCCTTGGCTGCAGGTTAGAATAACCAGGGAAGCAATGAAAATACTAGAGCGGGACCCAGCACTGACTTCCTAGGTCTGGAATGTGGCCTGGTCATCAGGGTTTGATCATCTACCTGGGCAGTTCTGCTGAGGAGCGAGGCCTGGGAACAGCTTGGGTTGAAAGGAGACTATGAAGCAAATCACTTGGTCTTAAAAAATATTTTTGAAATTCAGGATCTGGTTATGGAATGATTTATCTATTCCAACAAGCAAACAAAGTTTACAAGTTTCTGAAATAAATAGAAAACTTTGGTTAATTGATTTCTCAAATTCAACTGAGGGTTTCATGTAATACCACATTTTACTCTGGTTTCTGTCAAAAGTAGCAGATTTATGTTTTCTGACACTCAGTGTGAAGAGAACTCTCTTGCTATAAAATTGTTTTATAACCCATCTAAGTAAGAAACCTGTCTGTGTGAATGTTGAGACTCAAGTATGTTTTAGGTCATTGTAAGGAATTATAAAGCATGGTTAATGTAGGGGGACAGTGATCATTTAAAAATTAGTGATCTTAATCACGTATAACCCAAAACTCAACCACTGTTTCTTCCTAGAATGCAGACTTTTTCTGCAAAGGGTCGGATGGTTTCTGTCCCAATGACTCAGTTCTATAGTTGTTATCAGGAAAGTGGCCATGGGCAATAGGTAAAGGAACAGGTAATAATACAGTGTTCCATTAAAACTTTATTTACAAAAGCAGGTGGTAGGCTGGATTTGGACCCCAGGTCATCTTTTGCAGACCCCTTCAAGAGCTCTAAAACATCTTTAAATTTTAGAAATGCTGTTCATAAGGTTTACAGCCAGCCTAAACAAAAATGAAAGTACTTAATAATTTCTGAACTCAAAGGACTCAGCTGCTACTGAGACCTTTCTGCGGAAGGGTGCCTGGAGAGAGGGTGGGGCTTTTGTTCCACCCTTGGGTGGCACCACAGGCATGGCACAAAGAGGAGCTCTGAGGGTTTGTGAGTTGATGAGACTCTCTAGGGTGGAGGTTAGGAATGCAGAGTTCATATAGGCCCTTCATTTGCATTTCCAAGGTCTGTGACCTTGCACAGAGTCCTTTCTGAGCCTCAGTTTCCTTATCTGTAAAAGGATGTTTATAGTATTATCTTTTAGAAGTTTTGGGAAGATTAAAGTAGAGGAGATAATGCTTTTACCATGTTGTTTTTATAGCAGTATAGGCATCCAACAATAAATAAATGTTAGCTCTATCAGTAAAATCAGTGAGTTGAGTCAAGAAACACAGTGGTTTGATGTAAGGGTTGGGATCCTGGAGACACACAAACTAGGTTTCTTGTTGTTTTCTTTTTAATATATTTCTTTAAAATTTAACTTTTAAGTAATCTCTACCCCCAACTCATGGGACTTAAACTCACGATCCTGAGATTGAGAGTTGCAAGCTCTACCAAATGAGGCAGCCAGGCACCCCTTTGAGATTTTTTTAAAAAGTTTTATTTAAAAATTTTTTGGAGAGAGTTACCATGGGTGGACCAGAGAGAGAATCTTAAGCAGGCTCTGCACTGGGTGTGGAGCCCAAAGAGTTTATTTTTACATAATCTCTATACCCAAAGTGAAGCTTGAACTTACAACCCCAAGACCAAGAGTTGCATGGTCTACTGACTGAACCTCTCACACAAGCTAGGTTTAAATTACTTCTCTGCCACCTTTAAAATTAATTCTCTGCTGTGTCGCCTTGGTAAAGTCACATTACAGAGGTAATGTGAGCTTCAATTTATTTATTTGTAAAATGGAGTAATGATAATATAAGCAGACAGAGTTAGGGGTCCCCAGAAATGAAAGACAGACAGGTTGCTTGCTCTCTTCCTTTCTGTAGGCTTTATGCCCAGCCTGGAGCCCAAAGTGGGGGGTTGAACTCACAAGTCTGACTGAAATCAAGACCCGTGCAGCGATCAAGAGTCAGATGCTTAACTGACTGAACCACCCAGGTGCCACTGGACATAGCTTTCCTGACACAAGAAGTCATTTCAGGCCCCCTGCCATCTTGTAAATGAATGTAAGGACAAAACAGCCATTATCAGGCCAGGAGGTAGTCTGATTCTATGAAGGAGATCAACAGTGATAAAGTGAAGACTGACCTGGTGCACTTTCTTGAGTTATCTTTGCAGGATCTAAACCCCCTGGAGTACTCAGATACCAGACCAACTAAAGCCAGAGATTTGATAATGCTAACCTTTGCCAGTCCCAGTGACTTTGATCTGGACTCATTTACCCTACGATGAGTTCTGCCTCAATTCCATGCTGTATTCCCCATTGTGCAAGCCCCTTCAAGAATATGTATTCACCCTTATCTTAAAACTTCCAGTTTTGTTATTTAGAGAGACCGCTTTGGGAAAGATTCTCAATGTTCTCCTTTGTTGCAAGTAAAATGCCTCCTTTTCCTACTCTTTGGTTTAGTCGTGTCTTTTGGCTGGACAGTCACCAAGAGCAAACCTACTTTTGGGTAATGATAACATCTACAACCTTGGGTCCTTATGAGGATCTGGTGGGTTGGTGCATCCTGCCTAACAGAGTGGACACTTTGTAAATGATAGCAAATGTAGGTTGAGTGCTGCTACAGCTTTTGGGCGGGGACCTTACCAGGGTGTCACATGGTCTTTTGATAAGATTTGCAAAAGTAAGATATTGTTCTATTTTGTCCTAAAAGAGCCCTCTCCAACTGTATATGCTTCAGGCCCTAACCCTGAATCTAAGTAGAAACTATAGTTATTTTTTTAAAACTGTATTTAAAAATATAGTTACTTTTTAAAAAAAGTGACCCTTGATCCTCTGAGGATCAACAGGATTTCAAAAGCTTCCCTCTGACCCTGGGGCCACAGAGCTGGAGGAACCAGATCTAATGTGGGAGTTGGGGGCTGAGACAGAGCCACTTACTCCTTCCCGTGGTTCCGGTAGTGCTGGATATCACGTTCTGCCAGGACAGCCCTCTTCACAAACATCGCCAGGGCGCTCCAGCTGGCCAGGATGATGGTCAGCTCCAGAAGATTCCACTTGCTATGGAAATAGCACCACCTCTGTTTCCTCATGAGCTTGCCCTGGGAAAGGAGCTGGAGGTTGTACTGAATGCCGGGGCCAGAACTGTGGCTCCTCACCCCTTCCACCATGGCTCTCCCAACCAACCAAGATGGCCCTCCAGCAGGGGTCTACCGTGTCCTGGAGAGGCTCCTCAAAGCCCTGGCCCGTGTGCCTGGAGAGCTTGGGGCCTCTCCCCAGCACTGCACACAGACCCCGTCTGCTTTCATCATCAACTAAGGCTGCAGAACTTGGAAGGCACAGAAGAGTGAATACAGCATCTAATAAGAAAAACATTTAATTCTCTCTGATACAAAAAATTGAGGAAGGGGAAAGACCCTCCCACTCTTTCATAGAGTATTTACTTGAGAAAACTTGTTAATTGTGAATTCTTTCTCTGTCCCTTTGAGGTGTATGTCCATCTTTTTAAAAGTTAAACTAGTCTCAAGAATGTTTTTCTAAAGGACCTGGGAGCTTTCTCTTTGAAATGTGATCCTGAAGGAAGGTAGTGGCCTTCACTCCCAGTTTCCCTGGGAGGATAGGAGCCAAATGGCAGGCACCAAGCTCCAAGTTGCAAAATTACCTCCTGTTGTGAACATGTACATTTATTCCCCCCCCCTTTTTTTTTTAATGTTTATTCATTTTTGAGAGAGTGTGAGCAAGGGAGGGGCGGAGAGAAGGAGACAGAAGATCTGAAGCCGGCTCTGTGCTGACAGCAAAGATCCATGCGGGGCTCCAACTCATGAACTGTGAAATCATGACTCACGGCCAAAGTCAGACGCTCAGCCAACTGAGCCACCCAGGTGCCCCTCTTTTTCTTTCGATAAAGGCAGTTAGCAAACAAAAGTGGCCACCCCAATTACCAGGTGAATTTAGGGTGGACTAGTGGGATAGATATGCCATAAATCCTCTTGAGGATTAATTAGTGTTTATCTTAAGAATGAGTATATGATGAGTGGGTCCTATCTGCCCAGCAATACACAAGGGTGAGATTCCTTTCTGTTTTCAGAATCTCTTGGCTGTGCATCACCTTCTAGTTTAATGCTTATTCAATAAGAAAAGTTGTTTCCTTACGGAGAAGTGGAGAGTAGTTGTTTAACGGGGACAGTTTCAGTTTTGCAGGAAGAAAAAAGTGATGGATGGATAGATGGATGGTACTGAGGGTTGTATGACAGTGCGAATGTACTTGATACCACTGAGTTGTACACTTAAAAATGGTTAAAGTGGAAAAAAATGGCTAAAGTGGTAAACTTCATGCTATCTACCACCATTAGAAATAAATAATTTTGGGGGTGCCTGGGTGGCTTAGTCGGTTAAGCGTCTGACTTTTGCTTAGGTCATGATCTCGTGGTTCGTGGGTTCGAGCCCCGCGTCGGGCTCTGTGCTGACTGCCAGCGCAGAGCCTGGAGCCTGTTTCAGTCTGTGACTCCCTCTCTCTCTGACCCTCCCCTGCTCACACTGTCTCTCTCTCTATCACCTAGAAATAAATAAAACATTAAAAAAAAAAAAAGAAAATAATCTTGTTCGTTTTTTTTTTTGACCTTTGTGCCTTTGTGGAGAGGTTTTCTAGATTGGCCAGAGACTTTGTTTTTAATTGTTTCCCCATCACGTGTCACAAGTCAAAAGGAATTATGCTGCGCAAGTTCTAGGCTTCCCCCACCATCTCCCCCAAAGCCCCTCCACTAAAGAGAATCTTCTATTGTCTGTTCCATTTCCCTCCTCCTACCCAGTCAGGGGACTCACATTTGGCTTCTAAGAGAGGCTAAGTTCACCTCCATCATAAAGAGATGAAGAGAGGAGATTTTAAAAATTGCTTAAGCAATATTTTGGGAAAGACTTAAGGGTTTTGGAGAGAAGGGTTCTGAAGCAGCTGCAGGCAGAGGATGAGGGCAGCTGGGAAGTGGGTAGTCAGATGGGCCTCCTTTGATGTTCTCAGAAAAATGCAAAGACTTAGGTTGTTCTTTGGTAACTGTTCCCTGTTTGGGTTTGAATTGGTCCCACCCTGTGGGACCCAGGTTTATGAGCCTAATGGTGCGGCAGTGTGTCAAGTTCAGGCATTAGACCCTCTGGATTCAATTTTGGCCTTTGATGAATTATTTAATGTCTCTGGACTTCAGCTTCCTACTCTGCGAAATGGAACCAATAGAACCTTCTCTTGTTATTGAAGGAGAAAATCACACAGCATTCTTAGCGCAATGCCTATCACATGGTAAGCACTCAAGGTATCATTCTTCCTTTAAACTGTTGTGGCTGTTGAGCAGGGGTTGGGGATGCCCTTTTAAGAGACCTGATTTGCATTTTTGTGGGGGAGGTGCAGGCCATATCCCAAGCTTCGAATGAGTTCCCTGCCTCCTCAAATCCCCATCATTATCAATGTATGTACCTTCATTTTTCATTTTCATGCAGCATGGTGGTAAAGGTGGCAAAGGGGATTGTTTTTCCTAATTCCCTGGGACCACAGGTGAACCGCCAGCCGTGAGCACAGCCACCTGTCTCTGTCTCCCACCTTTGACATTTTTTGGAAGGGCTCAGTTCCTCTCCCTTCCCCATTCAGGAAGGACCACCCTCTGAATCTTAGTTCCTGAGAGGTGCCGAAAGTTGGTATTTGAGCCCGATGGGCTCTCCAGACTACAGAAGGACCGAAAGGTTGCCATGGCAAACAGGCAAACAGAACCTTTCCGTCTCCCTTCCACTGGCCTCACTCCAGGGAAGGGTGTGCGAGAGGGGACAGGCACACTGCCACCTCCATCCCAGGGAGCCCTAGTCTACCCCTCACCTGCACAATCATGTAGTAGAGGAGGAACAGGAGGTAGATGACCTCTGCCGCGACCACGAAGGGGTGCCAACCATCAGTGAAGGGGTACAGGCGCAGGCTTTGCATGTTCGCATGTGCAAAGAAGGTTCCTGGGAAGCAAAATGCGTTCTGCTCACTCCTGGCTATCTGCCTGCTCAGAGCCACCGCTCCTGACCGGAAGTCATCAGTGGCATGATGCAAGCTCAGGCCGTTCTGAGGGCTGGCAGGGCAGAAGAAGAGATCAAGGTCCTTCACACCCAAAAACCCAAGGGACTGAACAGGGACACTTGGTGGATGCCAGTGACAATGCACTTAGAAGGGATGCCAGGAGCTGCATGGGAGGAGCCGCTCCCTACCCTCTGCATCTGGTGTCCTCTGTTTGTGCCCTCAATCACCTCCAGCCAGAGCACGGCCGCCCAGTTAACATTAATCTGCTCCAGGCTGGCTCACATAAAGCCAGTTCACCTAAAGAGAGTTCACTGAAGACCAATTCATCTGTTGACCAATATGCCTAAAATTCAACCTTCTTTTGAATCAACTTTCATCCATTTGTGTATCTTTTCTTTTTGGCAGATATTGTAATGATATTTTAGTTATCTTTTAAGAAAAAAACCAAGTTGAGTAATAAGGCTGCTGCCTCTGAACACAAAGCCAACCTCAAGAATGGCAGAATGCAGAGACACAAACAACCGGAGGGCGTCCTTGCCGCCATCGGTGGACTGCTCGAACCAGCCAGACCTGAAACCCACCCCTCACATTTCATCCGTTAGAAACACATAATTTGATCGGATGTGTTTGAGGACAAACTGTGTCTCTAGTCAGAGCTGCAAAGGTGGCAAAAAGAAATAGAACGTAATGATACAAGTAAACACACCCGCCTCAAAAGGATTTGAAAGAAGTGCTTGATGGTGTTGACATCAAGTGGCCAGTGATCATGGAAGTTGAAGGCCTTTTACTTTTCACTCTACACAGTTCTGAAATTTAAGGAACTATAGACATGTGTTAGTTTTATTAAAAATGTAATTTGATACTAAAAACTTTAATTTTTAAAGGAGAGGTAGTGGAATTTTAGGAAGATTGATATTAGCTGAAGAGGCTTTAGGTCAGTGTTTTCAGTAGGTTTTGAAAGGGTTAAAAAGAGGGAGGAAGGCGGGAGGGAAAAGGAGAAGACAGAATACCAGAGTATGTACCTCTAGTTAAGGGAAATATTTTTGAAGCTCTTGTCTTTTATGTGTATTTGTGTGTCTGTGTATGTCAGAATATGATGTAAAATGTACTTCACACTGTCGGCTGAGGTACAGAGTTGTAAAGCAGTGTTTTAGGTGAAATTATCTGTGTCCAGGTCACCCCCTTCCCAGCTCTTCACTGCTAGCCCCTCACCCCGCCTTCCCCGGAGTGGGAAGCTCAAGACTATGAGCTGGCTTCAGACCCCAACTGGCTTTCCTTGGAGCGTCTTGGGAGACAGGTCAGAGGGAAATGGGGGCAACTAGGAATATGGCTGGAGCAGCCCTGGAACCTGGCCTTTGGGTGCCCTGGGAGAGCCAAGACCCACACTCCCCGAATCTCCCCCCAAAACAACCATTTGCCCTGGAGCTCTGCCCCTGGGACACCGAGGTCCAGCTTGGTCAGGAGCCCTGGCCCAGGGGGAGGGGCATCTGTCTTCTAGAACACTGCAGGTGGGGTCACAGGCAAGGCTGCCCACCCAGGCCACTGGTCTCCAGGGTCAGAGTGATGATGCAGAACAGATTGACGTTGGCGTTATAGACCGTGAACTCCACAAAAACGGCTCTGGTCAGGCTGTCCAGCCAAGTGTTGTCAAACAGGTACTGGAGAATTCTGTAGGAAGAGGGGTATTTAGAGACAGCTCCATCTGCCATGGCTCCCTGCCCCTTCTGCCCTGGAGGAAGCCAAGACTTTCTGTGAAGATTTCTCCCACTGGCTCTGCTCCATGCCCTGCACCATAGGGCCCTGGGGCTGCTCCTGGGAGTGATCACAGCTTCCCACCAGTGGTGCAGTGTCTTGGCACTCCCGGTCTCCTGACTGTTAGAGCAGAGGTCCTCAGAGTGTGGGCCCCATACTGCATCTGCCTCATGTGGAAACTTGTTAGAAATGCAGATTCCCAGACCCCACCCCAGATCTCCCAAAACAGAACCTCTGGGGGCAGAGCCTGGGGATTTCTGCTTTGATGAGCCTTCCCAGGGATCGTGATGCTTTTTTTTTTTTTTAATTGTGATGCTTTTTAAAGTTTGAGGATCCCTAAGCAAGAGGAAGTGTACAGAAAATCAGAGGCTTAGGCAGGCGGCGGGGGCAGCTATTGAAATCTCTCTTGGGCTGGCAGGTCACATAAGATCAGTTCCTGGAAGTGTGCCCACCGGTACTGTGGAAAGAGCGTGTACTGGAGGGTCCTGGGTTCAAATCCGGACTGCCTTGCAGTCAAGCTAATAACCTCTCCATGACTCAGTTTCCTCGTCTACAATGGTGTTGACACCAGCACTTCAGGAACATTGTGAAGAGAAAATGCAATAATTGTGTATGTGTGTGTGTGTGCCCGCTGTTATTACTGACAGCAATAATCATGGGCCTATTCTTAAGTATATTAAAATATGCCCTGTTTCCAGTGGGTCTGCATCCTGCTTGGTGTACAGAAGAGAGAATATCAGTTGTTCCAAAGGCAGGAAAACACCTTTTATGCCAAAACAGACTATCCCTGGCCTGTCCTTAATCCCAGGGGACCCCTCCCTGGTGGTTTGTTACCTGTGTTCCTCAGTTTTGTAATAATACAGGGAGGAGACTGAGGTTCACATGGGCTCACTAACTTGCCCGGGTCTACACAGTTAACAGCAAACTCTGCCAGGGTGTCACACCTTGGGTGCTCGAACTCTGGAGTGTGCTGGGAGAGGTGATCTGCATGGGCCCTGGGTGTCCTTGCACCGTCAGGTTGGGTGTTCCAGGAATGGAGGGTCTATCTGGGCTTTACCCAAGTCATTTCTCGAGGCTGTGTTTGTAGTGAGCAACCTCAAGAGACGAAGATGGGGTGACATCCTTCAGACAAAGAGCAGGCTTGCTCCTGCTACCATAAAAACAGTGAATTCTCCAAACTCCGTGTTCTTCCCTGGTCCTGTAACTCACTGCGCATACAAGCAGAATTTGGGGTAAGGTTAAGAGCCTTAACCACTTCCCATCTGCCTGGTGGTGGACAGCTCTGCGTGGTAGAATCCCCATCCCTATACTGGCTCTGGCAGAGGCCACCAGACTCAGCCCAGCAGCCTGAGAGTGATGGAGAGGGACTTCTCCAACTGGGAGATTGCAGCTTCCAGGGGCCTGGAAATACCATCTGAATTCTCCTGAGACCCCCAGTCTCTCCCCATAGCAGCACAAATGAGCTTGGCTGCACCTGCCAGTCAGATCTGGACTCTTGCAAATGGCTCTCCTTGCCCACATGTGAATCAAGTGAGTCTTACCTTGATGAGCTTTTGTGATCAGTTCCCAGGGGGGCCACGTAACCACCTCCCCGGTACACGGTGAGTTTGCCCCAGATGGGATACCCTCGGCGCTGGCGCTGGCTCTGGTACTGCCAAGCTTGGGAAAGGCCATTGCTGCTATTGAGGACGGAGGCATTCCAGCCCTCCCCGTAGTCTGACAGGTCTTCAGCGTCCAGGGAGTATGGCGCACGGCATCCATGAAGAGAAGCCTGCAGCTGTGGAGCAAGAGAGCAAGAGCTTTCCCGGACCCTCACTTGGCGAATCTGGGCGCTCCCAACCAGCTTGGAGTTCCCATCAGTGATAAAGCCTGGAGATGAAAAACCAGTGGGTCATTCTAGCCATCAAAATCATTTTCATGCACTCCAAGCTCCCTGGCCTGGACGCTAACGTGAACTTCACCGTAGCCATTGCGAAACGGTCAGGAGTAGCTCATGTAGGAGGCTGCATTCCTCACCATCTCTCCACCCCAGGCACCATCCAGTTCCTGCACAGCTTCTCTTGAGGAAGGGTACCCTCGCCATCCAGTCATCACCAGGGAGACCCTCCGTGCCCTCTCCCTCAATGCCCACATCCTAATGGTCAACAAGGCCCATCAACTCTACCTCTTCAGTGTTGTCTGCACCCACACCCCTCTCTCCATCACCCCAGCCCCACATCCCTGCGTCAGCCCCATCATTTCTCCCTAGTATCCTAATTACTGTCTACTTCAGCTTCTGCGTGATTCCAGATTGATCCTTCTTAAACACAGATTCAGTTCAGTTACTCCCTCATGGAGAAACTGTCAATGGCTTCTTGTTTGCTTAAGCATAAACTATGAACTTCTGAGGCCCTTCATGATCTTGCCACTATTTCTCTCTCCTGCTTTGCTTCTCACTGGCCCTCAATTCATACCCTACAATGCAGCCACACTCAGTGCTTTATAATGCCGGGAATGTGCTATCGTGTCTCAGGCTTGCCTTTTCTCATGTTATCCCTTCTGCCTGGGTACTATTTCTGTCTAGCCCATTCATGCTCAGTGAGCTCTCATTTAGGAAGTCCTCCACTCCGCACCAAGGGGGCTTTAGGGCCCCTCTCTTGTGCATACACAGCCTTCTGAGAGTCTCTCCTTCAAAGCATATCATCCCGTGGTTATTGGTTCTCTATAATGCTGATGGTGACAGTGACCCATGCCTGTTCTTAGGAATATGCACAAGGGGGCTGACGCACATCCTGGGTGAGGGGAGAGTACCTGGGTAATGACTGTACAGGTTGCTCATGAGGGTGGTGTTCGCCCACGTGAAGAACTCCTGGAAGCCGAGCACAGCTGAAAAGCCTTGGGTGAAGCTGCGCTCGAGGTGTCTGTTGAAGTGGTAGGTGCTGGGGTCCCTCTGCCCGTAGGCGACCAGCAGCAGCATCCACAGGAAGCCCAGATATGCTGGGAAGGGAGGCACAGCCCTGGTCACACAGGGTCCCCAGTCCCACCAAGCCCAAGGCAGGAAATAGAATGGCACATAGCAACACCTTGTAGACCAGCTACTTGCCCCCCACCCCCCAGTGACAGTGGAACCAATCCTTAGACAGCAGAAAGGAGTAAAGTCCACAGCCCGTAAGCCGCCTGCCTGGGTTCAGATCCTGGCTCTGCAGCTTCCTCTCCATGTGCCCTTCACAAGTGACTTAACTCCTTTGCCTTACTCTCCTTGTCTGTGAAATGGGGATAATTCAATTCACAGGGTTCTGATGAGGGAGTCAACAAATTAATATTTATAAACCACTTAAAAATAGTGCCTGCACAGTATTCATGCTCCATAAATGTTTCTTAAGAAGAATCTTTTAAATTTGGGGCTCTGCCGTGTTGCAGTGCTGAGGATAGAACAATGAGAATGACAGTTGTGTCCCCTGCCCTCAGGGAGGTCACCTGTAGACAGGTGAGTGTGATGTAAGGGCCCTTTAGGTACAGAGATTTAGTTTACGATGCCAGGTATCAAAATCTTAGAGGTATGCAGAGCCTTACTGATCCAGAATCTCTGGGCCCAGGGCCTAGGAATATACATTCCAGCAACCCCTGCCTGGGATGAATTAAGGCTCTGCCCCTATATCCGGGCGCTCTTTATTCTCTGCATGCTGCTACTGCTATGCAAGCTTCCCTGTTCTCTGCATTTGTCTGGCTGCAATGTGCTCAGCCAGTGGGAAGGCAGGCTGGGAGTGCTGCAGGGTCAGTGTCCTCCCTGGGAGCAGCCCTCACCAGTGACCTGTGACTGACAGCTTTGGGGCGTGTACTACAGGCCCCCACAGAGGTCCCCAGTAGGACTGACCTCCAGTTCCCACATGGAACCCATGCATCACATCTTCTATTGCCAGCCTTCTCTCTTCTTTCCTTTTCTCTACCAGTGGTTGCCAGGATCACCTCCCCAACCCACTACTGGTACCCAGATCTGCTTAAGGGAAAACCCAGACTAAGATACACAGAAGCTCCTGGTCAACAGCCTTGGGAAGCCTTTCTGAAGACACCCAGTCTTTGGGCTAAGAATTAAAGAATAAGGAATTAGCCAGAAGGAAAGGTGGGGAGGAGGGGAGGTACATTTCCGGCAGGTTAGAGTAGCCTGGGCAAAGGCCTGGGGTCCAGAGAGGGCAAGGGGTCCCAGGAGCTATAGAACAGAGCTCAGGGTACATGGGCCAAGAGACGTGACCCAGGGTGGACAGAGCCACAGTAGGGAGCTCAGGTTTTATCCTAAGGTCCATGTGAGGCACCAAAGGATTTTAAGTGTAGGGAAGGAGGTGGGGCAAGTTGATATTTAGGAAAACAGGCCCAGAGGCAGTGTGGGTCTGTTGAAGATTCCGCCATTGACTGTTCAAGTCTATGCTGACAACCAGTGAGTGGGGAGACTGCTTGTGGGTGACCTCACCGCCTACCCAGGATTTCTCTGATGAAGGCAAATGCCTTCTGTTCCTTGAGGTGGGTAGTTTTCATCTTCTCGATGTCAGTAGCCAGAGGCGGCTGGTAGATGTCCTTTCTGCTGCATCTTCGTGCTCGGAACAAGGCAGAGGGATCTGTGGAAGCAAGGACACCAGGACAGCTCTGCTCTGAAGCCAGCAGCCTCCTCTCTCACCGGGTACAACAGAATCCACCATTCCTCCTTCTCAGGAGCCATTTCCTAACACTGCCCTCTACGCCTCTGCCCCTCCATCCCCACATTCAGAATTCCACCCCTTCTGCTCCTGCGGAGAGTTCTCCTAGTACTGAAAGCACAACGCCCTCCCCTCCCTGTGCTCCTGGACTCTAAGTCAGATCCCAGTACTCCGAAATTTTGACGGACGGAAGAAGGAGGGTAACTGATATTTCATGTCTAATTCTAAGGATCTTTTTTTTTTCCAAGCCACTTTATTAAGTTATAATTTTCATAAATATTCCCATTGGAAATCTCCAATTCAGTGATTTTAGTAGATTTATAGAGTTGTGCAAGCCATCACCACAACCCCGTTTTAGAACATTTTCATCAATCCAAAAGGTTCCCTCATCTCCCCATGAAGTCAGTCCCCATTCCCACCCTCAGTCCCATCAAATTGCTTTCTGTCTAGATAGATTTTTTTTTTCCTGGATGGTTCATATAAATGGAATCATGCAGTGCATCGTTTCTGGTGTCTGGTTTCTTTCACTTAGCATAATGGTTTGGTGTCTATCCATGTTGTTGTATAATTAGTATTTAGTTCCTTTTTTTGGTATGGATATACTCCTATATGTTTATCCATTTGCGTCTAGATTGTTCCTGGTTAGGGCTATTATGATGAATAATGCTGCTATGAACGTTCATGTTCATGTACAGGTGGACATATGTTTTCATTTCTCTTGGGGAGATTCCTAGGAGTGGCCAGTTGGCTATTTGCAGTGAACCTGCTGTGGTCATATAGATGCAAGTTCCTGCAGGAAAATAAGTCTTCATTTCTCTGGGATAAATGCCCAAGAATGTAATTGCTGGGGCATATGGTAAGACCGTTTTTAGATTTGAAAGGAACTGCCAAACTTTTCCAGAGTGACTGTACCATTTTACATTCACACCAGCGCCGTGAGAATGCTCCAGTTTCTCTGCATCCTTGTCAGCATTTGCTATCATCACTGTTTTTTACTTTAGCTATTCTGATAGGGGTGTATTATGCCAACTGTCTTTTGCATCCATGCCTTTCTTTCTACCCTCACTACCAGTACATATCATCTCTTGTCTGGACCATTCCAGTAGTCTTTTCCTCACTTGTACATTGGGCCCAATACTTCTCATCTCCTAAGAGCAATTATAGTAATCTTTCTCAAATCACAAGATAAATCATGTCTCTTGTATTTAGCACTCCAAAACTCCAGCGTTGACCCAGGTGCTACGAGGCCCTGCTTCCTCCCCACCTCTCTGCCCTCATTTGTTTCCCCTTCCTTCCTTCCTTCCTTCCTTCCTTCCTTCCTTCCTTCGAGTGCACGCAAGAGAATGTGTGGGGCAGAAGGAGAGAGAGAATCTCAAGCAGTCTCCACACCCAGCATGGAGCCAGTTTGAAGCTCAGTCTCACAACTGTGAGATCATAACCTGAGCCAAAGTCATAGGCTTAACCGACTGAGCCACCTAGGTGCCCCTGCCCTCATTTTGAACTCTTCTCCCCCTAATTCCCCAAGCTTCAGCTATGCTGTCCGTAGTCATGTAAAATGACAAGCTCCATCCCACCTCAGGGCCTTTGCACGTGCCCAGTGTGCAGCCTCTCCATTCACCAGGCTTCAGGAACCAGTGGAGGTGCTACCTCTGCAGAGAGGCCTGCACTCTCCCATTCTCTCCCTAAGTTCTCACATTGCACACTTGCATGTCTACTTGTGTTGTTTACTTGTTCAGCGCATCCCCCCAGTGGACTGTGCTTTCCAAGGGCAACCTGCCCCCCCAGTGCTGTGTTGCTTGGGGTGGGAGCAGGGATTGGCTTCAGATGGTCAAGAGGGAACATTTTGAGGGTGATGAAGACGCTCCAAATCTGAAGTGAGATAATGGTTGCACAGCTCTATTAAATTTACTAAAATCAGTGAATTACACACTTACAATGAGTGGATTTACGTAAATCATGTTCCTGAGCCATCAAACTGCCTGGCACACAGCAAGTACTCCCTGAGTAGCTGCCAAAGGAATGACTGGATGAATATTTAATTGTTCTGGAAGCTGGTGTCTCTTTGAACAAAAATTACTCTTCTGTCTTGGGAAGAAGATTTTTTCTTTAAATAGTTTATTGTCAAGTTGGTTTCCATATAACACCCAGTGCTCATCCCCACAAGTGCCCTCCTCCATGCCCATCACTCCCCTTCCCCTCCCCTACACCCCCATGAGCCCTCAGTTCTCAGCATTTAAGAGTCTCTCATGGTTTGCCTCCCTCCCTCTCCCCCACTATTTTTCCCCTTGGGAAGAAGATTTTAATGGACCTTTTGGATCTGCAGAGCCAAAACCAAGACAAAACAAACCCAAATCCTACCCTAGAGTGGGGGAATACAGGCTCATGAGGAGGTAACCACACTGTAAAATAATGTCAGTACAAGAATGTAGGTATGCCTTTGGTCGATTTGTTCCTGTTTTCTTTTCCCTGAAAGTCAGAATCTCTGCGTGGACTGTTAAGAGTGTTGATTCTATTTTGTTTGCCTGTCTTGTGTGATGGTCTTGTTGTAGGCATTCTCAGGAGTGTGGGTCGGGAAGTGAGAAGTCAGGTTGCAGGGAAAGGGACTGCTCAGTGGCCCTCCTCCAAGGCTCAGCATGGCTCTGTTCCAATAAGGCTTTGTTTACCAAAACAAGCAGTGGCTCCATTTGGCCCCCTGGCTGTAGCTTCCAGACCCTTGTCCTGGAACTCTTTGCAGCCCACCTGCAAGCATGTTCTGTTTTGGTTTTCATTCTAAAGGCCAGGTGGCCTGAGCCTTGGGGGAGAAAGCTGCTTTCTGGGGATCACAGAGGATGACAGGCAATGAGAGCACAGCTCCCAAGGGATCATGCTTGAGTGCAAGAGAGAGGGCTGGGGTAGAGGCGAAACAAGATTTCTCTAGAGACAGTGAAGGAGTCATTTGCTTTTGGATGGGTTAGGGGTGCTTCCCCAATCAAGGGTGAAGGGATGCTGGGGAAGGTCAGCAGCTGGGCAGTGTATGGCTGTCTCAGCCTCATCAGGTTCCAGGCCCCTGCCTCCACCTGTGCACCATTACCTGGGACAGACGGGCGTCCTGGGAGGAAGGCCACAGGCTCATCCTCATCCTCCACTTTCTTTAAGACCAACGCGAAGAAGGCAGCAAAGCCCAGCACCTGGAGGTGAAACCCATTGTGAACCCCAGGCCTGTGGTGGAAACTATCAACTCCTGATCTAGAAGGAGTCAGGATCAGGGTCAGATCTGGAGAAACTATGCTCTGGGGGAACCAGGTGGGAACCAGCCCATCCTGTGCCAAGAGGAGACATGGCTATGAAGGGAGAGGACCAGGGCACCTGGTCGCCCAGCAGGCAGAGAGAGTGAACCCTGAGCTCTCCCTGCTTCTCATATCAAAGCCTTTCCGGCTGTGCCCTCCTGCTGCCCGAGCTCTTATCTCTCCTACTGCATCGAGTACTGAGTCACATCTTCCTCCTCCCTCTGTCCCTTCCCCTTTCTTCCTGCACTGATTCACACGCACATGCAGGGGAGGGGCAGAGAGAGGGAGAGAGAGAACCCCAAGCAGGCTCTGGCACTGTCAGCACAGAGCCCCACTCAGGGCACGAACCCAGGGACCATGAGATCTTGACCTGAGCCAGAATCAAGAGTCAGACACTTAATGGACTGATCCACCCCGGGGGCCCCTAAATCTTCTGATAAAGGTTATTTGGGGCAGAACTGGGGACTACCTGGTAAGATGGGGATGGGAGGTTTGGTGAGTCTCACAAGCATAAAGATTCACTGTAAACTTCCCCTCCTTTGTGCACGTCCCCCACCTTCCCACTCCCTGACGCCGTCCAGGGGGAGCTGTGGCTCCAAGCTCCAGGCTGGGGCTCAGTATTTCTCCAAGTCTGATAGTAACTTTACATTTCAGAAATAGGAGTGCATTTTCTTGGTGATGACTTGGTGTTTGTTTGTTTGTTTGTTTCTGAAGATAAAGTTCCTGTAAATTGCCAGCCTATCTCACAGTTAAAAGGATCTTAGAATTGAAGAAATATGGTATTATTCATATTTTGCACATGTGCCCTCGGGCAAGATGTTTGTGACCTTACCTTCCTAACCTCAGGTTCTCATAAAACGGAGGCAAAGACCTTCCTGGGGGTGACTGTGATGATGACAAGCCCCATGTTGGTAAGCCACCAGGCCTGGCCTAGAGTCTCAGCCCCAGAGCCTCTGTCTCAGAACTCAGATTATTGTGGTAATTAACATCATTTTCGCGACCAACCAACTGCTGTGTAGGCTTGTAATGAATACATAAAGGGATGGCAGAAGCCTTAGGACGGGGCAGCCGGCGGAAGGAAAATGTGGGCAGAAGGGATCAGGGCAGCCTGACCTTCAGGGGCTGTGTGACAAACACGCTCTCCACGAAGGAGACGGCCATGGAGATGAGCCACTTGAGGGAGCTGGTCCGCCCATAGTGCAGGCCGTAGAGCATAGTGAAGAAGGCCGCCACGCTGCTGGTGGCCGCCACCAGGAGCCAGCCCACCAGGACACACCACCAGGGCAGGCCGCGAGGAGGCTGGCTCACCATCGGGGAGCTGAAAAGGAGTGGGGTATGATCAGGCTCAAGTTCAAATGCCACTTTATTTCACCAGCTGCATGACCGTGGTTGAGCTCCTTGACCTCTCAGACCCTCAGACCCTCAGTTTTCTCCTCTGTATCTTGTACCCACATCAAGGGGCTATTATTGTATATTCTATCTGGTTTACATACTTTTATCCTATTGAGGGCACATTTATTCAGTGCTTTACACAGGTTTGCTCCCATTATTCATGGGAAGCCTAGAAGGCTTCTACTATATACCTTTTAAAAGGTTTTTTTTGTTGTTGTTGTTTTTTTAATGTTTATTTATCTGAGAGAGACAGGCAGACAGAGGGTCCAAAGCAGGCTCTGCGCTATCATTGCAGAGCCAGACAGGGGGCTCCATCCCATGAGCCATGAGATCATAACCTGAACTGAAGTCTGACGCTTAACCAACTGAGCCACTCAGGTGCCCCAAAAGTTTTTATTATGAAAATTTCTCATCCTACAGAAATCAGTAAGCACTACAAGCCCTGAACAATTAGTTTCAACAACCATCACTTCCCTGTTAGACTCATTTTATCTATCCTCTATCTCCCCCTCCCCCTCTCTCAGATATTTAAAAATGAATTCCAGACATAATAGCATCCCTAATCACTTCAGAATATTTCTCAAAAATGGTCATTTTGTTAGTGAATTACAGGGCCGTTTTCACACCTATCAAAATTAACAATTCCCTGATGTCAACCTGTCTGTATTCACATTTCTCTGGTTATCTTTAAAAATATATTTAATTTTTTTTTTTTATCTTTGAGAGAGGGTGTGCGTGCATGTGAGCAGGACAGGGGCAGAGAGAAAGGGAGAGAGAAAATCCCAAGCAGGATCTGCACTGCCAGCAAAGATCCCAGCGTGGGGCTTGATTCCACAAACATGAGAGTTGGACGCTCAACTGACTGAGCCACCCAAGCGCCCCTAAAAATGTATTTTAAGTTTGAACTAGGAGATGGGAATTATCATTCCCATTTTACAGATGAGGAAACTGAAGCTCAGAAAAGTTGAGGGACTTGTGCAAGGGTGCACAGTTAGGAAACAGCCCACAAAAATATAGTTATACACTGTAAAGTGCTATACAAACTGCCTTTTGGCAAATAGCCCTATTCAAAGCCATCCTCCCTGAGTTCGTGCGAGAATCCTGAATCGCTTCTGCCTGGGGAGATCTGGGTGAACATCCTTCCAAGGTTGCCTGGATTGCCCTCTCTCTGCAGGCCCCTCCCTCTGCTGCCCACCCAGCACCTGGGGGAGCGGATTACCTGGTGTGCGCCAGGGGTGGCGTGTCCAGCCGTCCCCCAAGGTAGCCCTTCAGTGTCTGCAGCTGGCTGAGGGCCCGGGCGTGGCTCTGGCACTGGGAGGAGCTGCGGGCCCCCACCAGCTGAAGCTCTTGTTCCAAGTGGTCCAGCTGAAGGTAGAGACACTGCCTGTAGGCATTGTCCTTCTGAGGGTCCCTGGGGCGGAGCATTTGTTCTGAGGACAAAGGAGAGAAAGCACATCCTCTGGTGCCCAAAGACAGAGCAGACGGCCTCCTTAGGCAACAGCAGTATTAGTAACCGCTTTCTTGTATTGCACTTGCTAGGCGCCGTGCTGTGAGAGAGCTGGTCTCAGAAAGATGGAGAAAGTGCTGGGCTCCCATGGCCAGTCGGGTTGAGTTTGTTTCTCTCAACCTTTTGTCAAGGGCACTCTCAAAGCTTCCTTCCATGTCGGTGAAGAGAGCAGAATAAATACATGTCACTTGCTACTGCCAAGTGCCAACCTTTGTTAATCTTGTTTTGTCTCTGCCCCACCCCCCAACTTCCCCAACTTTTTTCTTCTTCTGGAATGCTTGAGAGCAAACCCTAGTGGTATCTCATCAGCAAATATTTTAACGTATACAAGATTTGCCTTCTGCCAAGATTTGCCTGGTGTCAGTCTTAACCTTTTGTTTTCAACTTGTTTTTTCAATTATGAAAAATGTCCAGCTACAAAAGTAGAGAGTGTGAGATGAACCTGCACACACTCGTGGCTCAAGATTACCAGCTCGTGGCCAGTCATGCTTCACCTGCACCCAGCCCGCCCTTTCCAGGGGGTGGTTTTGAAGCAGATTCTAAGCCCCCAGGTCATGTCCCTAAATATCTCAATATGCTTCTACATACGTGTTTCTACAATATGCTATAATGCTCCAATGTGCTTCTAAATATAAAACCATGGCGTCATTGTCAAGCTTTGAAACGAGTATTGATAATCCCTTAATAGCACAAAATATCCAGTCTGTGGTCAGATATCCCCTGATCATCTCATGAATGTTTTCTTGCAGTTGGCTTGTTCAAATTTCAGCTTCCTAAAAAGTTAAAACAGACAAAAAACAAACAAAAAGCCCTATAAAGGTGTTTTTTGTTTTAAGTTACTCAATGCAAGAAAGAAACAAATGCGGACATTTCTGTTATTGCCCATGCATTCTAAGGGAAGTGTGGCCGCTTCAGACGGAACCAGTCCTGAGTCCCCAACCCTGAGCTGGGAGGCGGGCACCCAGGGGCACCTTCTCCTGGGGCAGTAAAGGGAACAGGTCGACTGGACCACCCTTTGTCTTTGCAAGGGGTACATGAAGCCGGGTATGAGAGGTAGCAGGAGAGAGCAGCCCTGCCCCACGGCCCTTCAGCAGTCACCAGTGAGAAGTGAGTGAGCAAGAAGGTAACCAGCAATGTGAAGAAGGGTGCAGCTGGCTAGGGCTAGATGCAGGTGAAGGTCTGGGGCAATGTTGACTCCGCCTCCCTGACTCAGGCCTCCTCCCTGACGCTCCTTCCCCGGGCCTGCCTAGCTGAAGCGGCAGCTTTGGGTTCTGACATCAATAGCCTTCATCTTGCAAGTCCTCAGGCAGTGTTTCTGGAAGATACCATCACTCCCGATCAATCATAACACCACTTACTGAATACCTGCTTTGTATCAGGCTGGGTCTAAGCGCTTCATGTGTCTTGTGACCCCATTTAGTCCTTGAAATGAGCCAAGAGGCTAGGTGGATCAGTCCTCCCTTTTCACTGGGAAGGAAGCCAAGTCGCAGGTTGAGCAACTTGTCCAAAGTTGCACAGCTGCTGGTACAGCTGTGAGAGCCCCAGGACCTGGCTGGCTCCAGAGTCCATGTTCTGAGGCCTCTGCTAGGAAGACCAACCCCCCAGACTCAGGCCAGATGTCCAGTGCAGGCATCAGCAGAGCTCCTGCAGGATCAGCCTTCTTAGGCAGCCCAAGCCCAGCTCTGTGGAGCATGGAGGTCAGGTTGGGGCTGACTATGGGGTCAGCGTGGGCCCGGCCAGGAGGGCCATAAGTGTTAACAGTGAGGAGCTGGGATCTTGTCTTGACACTGACTCTCAACACTCACTCAAAAGTCATCTAAGTGACTGGTTAAAAATGCAGATTCTGGCCTCAGTCAGAAGCTAATTCACCTTATCAGAGGTGGGACCAGGAGTTTATGAATTCAAATTCCCCATTCTGTAGACCCCATGTCTATTTTAGACAAGGTTTATACAGTGATCATCACCCTTGTGTGTTAAAAATGGCAGCATTCTTAGCCCACGCTATCCAACATGACAGCCACTGGCCCCAACAGTTAATTTAAAATTAACATTAAAAACTTCAGTTCCCCAGTCACACTAGCCACCTTTCAAGTGCTCAGTAGCCACATAGGACCAGCAGCTGTCATACCAGACGGCACCAGTACAGAACATTCCGGTGCCGTGGGAAGTTCTGTTGGACAGCCTGGTCTGAACAGTGGTGGCATTGATGTGAGTAGAAGACAAACAGGAAAGGGGCAAGCGGGGAGTCAGGGAGAGTAGTCCGAACCAGAATAATGTGCCATACATAGAACTCAATAAAAATGAAATGATGCTACTAAATTCTAGCTCAATACTGTTTCAAAAAGCTCTGAGTTTGAGACCTGCTATTCCTCTGCCAAACAGAATTTGCAAGTATTAAAAGGGTCTGAAAGACACACTAATACCAAATGGAGATTTGCTTCTAGAAGGATTGGAAGCAAATGGACGAGTGACTTTTTCACTCTGCTACTCTCTGTTCTGTAATGTTTTCTTCCTGCCCTGTCCATCGTTTTGTGCCCTGCTCTTCACATTTGGAAATGGATCTGGTTTCACTTTGCACCCCCCAGCACTTTATGGAAAAGGAAACTGAGGCATGGAGAATTGAAGTAACCTGCCCCAGGTCCCACAGCCCATCAGTGGCAGAGTCAGGACCCAGAGTTATCAGGCTGCCACTGCTTTTCTCACCACATATGAAAGAACACACCCTGTTGTTTTGTGCATCCCATAATGACCTGCTATGCTGACGTCATCCCACTCACGTTTGTTGTGTGCTTTCTGTGTGTTGCATGGGGCCAGGCATGAGGCGGATGGTGGAGAGAGGACAGTCAGATGTCTCCCACCTCAGAAAGCTCATGCTCCAGCAAGGTTGGTGCAGGCTGTAAACAGCTCTTCACACAAGTCATGATTTGGCAGCAGGCAGTGTAAATGCAGTGCAGGAGAAGCTTAGGGGCTAAAGAGGATGTGTCTGGAGACCCTGTTGTGAGCATTGGGGGTAGGGTTGCTCCCCTGAGGAAGGAGTGCTTAAACCAAGACTAAAGCCTGATTAGGAACTAGAGAGGAGAGGAGAAAAAATATTCTAAATGAAAGGACAGGCACATACGAAGGCCTTTAGTGGGAAGGCAGCTTGGTGTTGTGAAGAGAGGGGTTGCCTGTGTACAGAGAGGGAGGTGATGGCAGGTGGTTGCAGTGGAGTTTGGTGAGACCCACTGCATAGGACTTCTTGATTCCCTAGTGATCCAGATGCAGCCCTAAGTCCTGTCTCCACCTGGTCCCCTTTTCCAGATTAGAAACGTCAGGACTTACCTTCCACTTGTGCAGACCCCAGAGTGAGTGTGAAAGAGTCCTCTCTCTGCTTGGCTTCCTCCCAGGACTCCTGCCCTATCATGTTCTGCACACAGATGACATCTTCCACTAAGGCCAGCAGTTGGTTAATGTCCATCAAGGTCACTGACTCCCAGCCAGAGGCAGGAGATGGCACCTTCAGAGCTTTAAACAGGGAGCTGACAAGTCTCCACATATCCTGCAAGTCAGCCCAGGTTGGGTAAGAGGAAGGTGAGCTACACGTGAGGGGGCAGCAGAGCGGTCAAGAACATCCACCCCAGGGCTTCGCAGTCTGGGTTTGGATCCCAGCTTTGCCTGTTGAGACGTGACATTGGACCACCCTGAGCTTCCATTTTGTTACTTATAGAGTCCCTCTTCTAGAATTTGAACTGACACATTCCAGGCTGTATTTCTCAAAGGGTGGTGGTGTGTAGTAGGTGCTCAGTAAGTGTTTGTTGAGTACATGAATGCAGGAGTCCCTTTGGTTTCTGTGAATATGGAATATGGGTTTCTACACTAAAGGTGTAATATTTTGTACACACAAGGTACTCAAAAATTGTGTGTGCATACATGTAGATGTTTGTGTGTATGTGTGCATGTGTGTGTATGAAGGCGTGTGTGCATGTACATATATATGTGTGCAAGTGTATGTATACATTTTTATGTCTTTGTATATGTATGTGCACATGCATGTGTACATGTCTTTAGGTGTGTGCATATATATGTGTGCACCTGTGCAGTGCCCATATACGTGTATACATGCATTGTGGTATACATATGTGTGCATGTGTGTATAGTTGATGAATCTTGGTGACTGATGCTGTCAGACAGCGTGGGCTTGCCAGGCCTCGAGCCTCAGTTCTCCCCCTGCCCTTTCCATTCAGGCTAGAACACCCACACACCGCCAAGCTTGAAGACATGCCTTGGTCACCACTTCAAGTGTCAGAAGGCCATCCTCCATGGGCTGCAGTGAGGGGGCCAGGCTGGGGGAGCCCCTGTCCCATTTCCCCGCATTCTGCTCCTTAGTGACCCGAGGACGAGTGTTTCGGAAGATCTGAACAATCAGGAGGTTGATGGGGAACATGAGGAGAGAGCTCTCCAGTCCAATCATCACTTCCTGCCAAGTGAATTCAAATTTACCTAGGACAGAGGAGGGAAAGGGTCAATAGAGATTCTCCACCACTTCTAGAAGGTGGCTGAACAGTAAGGACTCACATTGCCCACAGAGAGGTCTGGCCCTTGAGTGGCCCCTGGGAGGTGACCTTTAAGCTCTTGGGATGTTCTGCGTGGTAGGTACACCTTTGTTTCCCTGAGGTCTTGGGCCACACTCTATAGTCTATGTTAATAGTGATTTATGGTGAGGCCCTTGGCCACACAGTATCACCTCAGCCTCTGGAGGGGCCAGAGGCTAAAGTCAGCCATGTGGGGATCAGCTTTGTCTATGTGAGCAAACCCTAATAAAAACTCTGGACACCAGGGCTCAGGTGAGCATCCCTGGTTGGCAGTACTGCATGTGTGTTGTCACACGTCGCTGTCGGGAGGGCTGAGTATTGTCACAGATCCCTGGGAGAAGACAGCTGGAAGCTTTGCACCTGATCTCCCCGGGCCCAACCCCATGCACGTCTTTGCTTTCCCCTGAAATCTATATCCTTCCTCTGAAATGAGTGTAATGGTGTTTCTGACTTCTGTGAATACGTCTAGAGAATTATTGAATCTCAAGGTGGCCTTGGGACCTGGGGAAGGCACCCACTGGCCACTAGCCCTGACCGTCATGACAGTACAAGTTACCCAAGTCCATCTTTTGCTCCGCTGGGTCTTTGGGAACACCCCAGAACATGATGCTGGTCAGCATGGTGCAGAGGAGCATAGAGAAGCAGCAAGACACTCTCTGGACGCGGGTAAAGTTGCTCCGAGCTGAGCAGCTGAAGATGGAACACCAAATGTGCCCGTCCTGGAAGCCTGTGGAGGTCTTCGTGAAAAACAGGTGGCTGTGAAGAGGCAGGGAGAGAGAGGCAGGAATGGGAGAGGGCTGGTCTTGTCAGACCAATCCTGGGATGGGAGGGAAGGGCTGTCTCTAAGATTTATCCTCTACTCTCTCTAATGCCGAAGACACAGCGTCTTAGCATCATTCAGAGTTAATGGTGGGGGCTCTGAACAGAGTGAATTGCAATCCTAGATGGCCCTGCCACTCGCTGTGTGCCCTCAGGCAAGTTACTTTATACTTTTTCCACGTCACTTGTCTGTAAAATGGGGATAATAACAGAACCTGCCTAATGGGATTGTTGAAAGGATTGTGATCATTTTTGTCAAGCATTTGGTAAAGTAGCTGGTATACATGTGAATATTCATCAGTGTTAGCAATTACTTTTGCTATAATTTTCATACAGTAATTAACTGTAATATCATTAGGTTTATTATAATTAGTGCCTTAGAGGATGCTGGTTAAAAATTCGAGGCTGTAGGTTCAGACTCAGTTTGAGAGAATAAAAATTGCAAGACAGGGTTTCTGAAAATGGCACCATTTTCCCCTTAAGAATCTGTGTTATTTCCCTGTGAGCAGAATGTAGTCTAACCACAGGAGTGGCATAGGGGCCCTGATTCTCCTGAGTGTGCAGAACCTATGCTCCCAGTTGGCGCCCGTTCTGGTGGCCAGTGCCAGCACCCCTCAAGGTTGTACTTTGACTGCCATTCTGTTCTGCGTAAGTGGCCTGGACTCAGAGATGCTTAAGGAGATAGGTCAGCTGCCAACAGCAGTGATATTCCATGTGGTTGTTCTACTCATCATTAATTTATTGACCCTTCACCAAATATTTGGTCAGCCTGGTGCTCTGTACCCCGTGCTCTGCTGGGCACCAGGATTCATGGGGAAGTGACATGGTTCTGCCTTCAGACGCCTCTTTGTCTCATTTCCAGGCATCACTGATTTGATGCAATGGGAGGGACAATATCTGCTGTTGTAATCGAGCACTTAACTCTGAGCACTTGCTGTGCTCAGTATGCGCCCCACATCAGTTCACAGGACCTGCACAGGTCCCCATGGGGTAGGCACACCACATGACTCATTTTTCAGATGTGGAAGCTGTGACCTGGAGAGGTGTAGTGACTTTTCCAGGGTCGTGCGGCAAGTCAGTAGCAGGCATGTGGAACTGTGCAGTGTGTGCCCACATCTGTGCTATACTTCTCCTGGGGGCCAGGTCTCTCTGGCTCAGACTTGTTCCCTTTGCAGGCTGAGCTGTTCACAGTGGCAGCTAGGAGGGAAAGTCACCTTTCGGTAAATGTACTAGAAACAGACTGTGTTTTTGAACCTAACTCAGAAGCCGTTTAAAGTAGAGGTCATGGGGCACCTGGGTGGCTCAGTCAGTTAAGTATCTGACTCTTGACTTCAGCTAATGTCATGATCCCAGGGTTGTGAGATCGAGCCCCACATCAGGCTCTGTGCTGATTGTGGAGCCTAGTTAAGATTCTCTGTCTCTGTCTCTGTCTCTCTCTCTCAAAAATAAAATAAAAACAATAAATTAGAGGTCACAAACTCAAATACCTAAAGGGACCTGGTAGAGGTTAACAAGTCAAGTAAATGAGTGAAGTGAGTTGGGGGTAAGGTAATAGGGAGTGAGTGGGGACTGTGGCAAAACAGAGTATACATGGCCCGTATAAGAGGAAAGTTGGTCCCTAGCTCGAGCAGACTGACATCAGGCAGGAACATACTTGGCCGCATTTTCATACTTGCCAGGTGTTTGTGGAGTCTCTTGATTTTCTAATATTGGATGGGAGCAGACTTAGTGTCCATTGATAGGATGGTTGAATTAGTTGTGGGACATCCAGTCTACGGATTATCGTGCAGCCAAGAAGGGAAAGTCTGACCCAGACATACTCTCTTGGAAAGATGTTCATGGTGTATCATCAAAGAAGAAAAGTGACATAGTAGGAGTAGTGCCATTTTAAAAGATTTGAAATAAACAACAGTCTGTCATGTTGTGTATGTGCTCGTGAGCGTGTGTGTACATTTGTATCTGCTTGTATGTGTTTGGGCAGATGTGGAGAGAAGGAAGTAAGCCAAGGGAGACATGCACTGAAACACCCCTGTTGGGTAAAATAGCATGAAGGAGGAGCCCCAGATGGCCAGACATGAAATCACCTGTCAAATCAGGCTGTTCAGTCATATAAAACATACTATTCTACGACATGTGTAAAGAAATATGAATAACGTTCCATCCGTTTTCACCACCTCAAAGGTCGTTCTGTGTCAGAGGGTCCATGTCCCTCCAGGGCCCCTCAGTCCCAGCAAGAAAAACTGAGGGTTGTTAATGTCACACACTTGAAGGTATCCAGTCCCATAGCTGAAACATGCTTTTAGTTTGCTTCACCTGGATTGCGATGCAACTTCCCTAGAGATGAAAGAATAAAGTGAACAGCATTTGCTTAAAAAGAAAAGAAAAAAGTACCTGAATTGTTTCCTGTCCTGCTCTGTGGCCACCGGAAATACTTTGTCAAGGACACAGTCTCCGACATCGATGGACAGCCATGAGTTGCAGAGGAAATACCACTTCTGGTTCATTGCCAGGTCATGCACCAGCACCCGGCTCACGTACCTGGAGGAGGGACCCACACTTTTGAGGACAAGGTTGGGGGGTGAGGCTTCTTTGGATATCATGAAGGTAACACCTTTGCAAACCTGAGCCCAGAACAAGAGCTCCTGAAAAGAGAGACTCTATATTTTTCTCCATTGTTCTTGGTGCCTTGACCAAAACGCCCCAATCAGCGAGTGAGTGAATTTGGCCTCCCATGGGGACCTCAGCTAGTGTAGAGAGCCATGTCTTGCAGCCTGCCACCTGTTTACAGAGATGCTGCAAGAGGGTACATTCTGAAACTTTTAACCCTAGTTCAGGGCAGCAAGCCCAGGGCCAGCATCCAGGTACAAGTGAGAGAAGCCAAGTTGTCTAAATTGTGAGCATTCAGGGAGGTGCAGACTTGGGCACACAAAGCCTCGTCTTCCTGCGGGCTTCCACCCAGAGAATGAGCCATCTATTTTGGACTCAGGACTTCCAGGGTATCGTCTAACCTGATCTGAATCTTTGAGGCCCAGGTAAGAAAAGAAGTCATCTCACCTCTGTTGGGATGTCGGATGCAGGAGCAGCCATTTCCCCTGTTGCTTTATGACCAACAAGAATAGTGGTGGTATCAACAGCTGCTCTCTACTGAGCATTTGCTGTGTAATGTGGGCTATGCTCAGAAGCTCTGGACATGCATTTTCTCATTTTCAGGAGGACAGCCCTGTCAGGAATGTGAGAGCCACCTCTGTTGAGGTCACACAGTGTCCTAGGGAGACCAACATCCAGTGACTGGTGGGTGCAGTGCCTGGGTGTGGTCAAGACCTGGACATCTCAGTCCAACTCAGGACACTCTAGAGCTCCCTGTGGAGAGTCAGCGCACTGTTGTGCTGTATCAACGCTTTGCTCCCTCTGCTCTCTGCTCCTCCTGCTTCCTTCTCTCCCTTCCCAGGGGCTGGTCCCAGGCACCCTGCATACTCAGCAGTATCTCAGGGTCCAACGTACAGCACTTGAAGCAGTAATGTGTAATCTCTTAGGTAAATTAAAGAGCAATAGAAGTGTTGTGTTTTTCTAAAGTTGCAAGTCGCTGATGGGTGGTCAGGGTGGAAATGACTATCTAGGTGGTTAGTCTTGGCCTCACCCAGAAGGGGTAGATTCTTGGCTCTGAGCTTGCTAGCTGTGTGACCTTGGGCAAGTCACTTACCTTCCCTGAGCTTAGATTTTTCCCACCTGCAGAACAAGAATGAGACTACTTGTCCCTAAGGGTCATTGTTGAGGAGCCAATGAGAAAAGGCACAGAAATGGGAAGGCTTAGCCTACTGCTCAAGAGTAGTGGCTGCTCTTACTTCTTCTACTATAGAATCAGCCAGTGTCTCATTTAGTCCCCTCTATGGGCACCTGTCCCCATTTTACAGATGGAGAACTGGGGTCTCAGTGACAGGTTGATGCTGCAAATGTGCCAAGGGTGGAGCTAGCAATGGACTCCAGGGTTGCAACTTCCAGTCCTTCTAGCTGCTGATCCCATATGTGTGGCTCATGGATGGGAGGGCCTCTCTGACCCTTAGTGTCCTTATCAGTGAAGTAGGGATCCATTCTATGTGTTTGCCAAGGCATGTACGGATTGGCCAGGCAGGAAATGCACAGTGACCAGCCCTGGGCTGGTACTTAGTGGGTTCTCATAGTGTGCCCACCCCTGACTTACCAGGATGGCCGGTCCCCTGAGTTGTCATGCCACAGCCGTAGACCCCTCAGTTCCCCCAGGGGGAACAGGGTAGAAAGTAAGAAGACATCCACTCCTCCTCGCTCAAAAACTGGAATGTCAGGGTCTGACAGGTGGTGGGGTTCACTGTCTCCATCCAGGCCATATAGGGTGACGGTCACCTGAAATCCAGAGACTAGGAAAGACCAACTCCACATGGCAACCAGGCCCTGCTGGCCATGTGTCCTTGGAAGTGCCCAGAAACCATTGAAAACCAACATAACACGGCCCCTTCATTCTCTCCTCTCCTCCCATTGTGGGCCTGCTGAGTTATTTTTCGGATGTATGAAGATGTAGTGTGATATGATCTGCATTTGTGTATTTAGCGTGAATTATAAAATGCTTCCTGGTAATCTTTTTAAACTTCCTGTATATTTATTTGTAAGGGCTATAGGGTAGGGACTGGTTTCCTCCCTAACATCATATTTCCAGTGTCTCCCAGAGTGCCTGGCCCTGAGACACGAATGCACGAGTGCCCATTATCTTGAAAATACATATTCCTAGTCCCCGCTCCAGACCTCCCAACTAAAAATCCTGGGGCCAGGGCCCAGGAATCTATTTTGCTGCAGCTGTCCAGGTGATGGTGATGAGCGTGGCTGATTTCCTGAGCAAAAACAGCCACCGAACTGCCGCCTACACTCTGCCCACATCCCTCAGCCTCACCACTGCAGCACCCCTGCACCCACGTCCGACTGCCAGCAGCTGTCTCTTTCCTGGGGTTTCTTGAGCTGTTAGAACAGAGGCTGGAAGTGCCGGAGAATTAATGGCGGTACACACTGTTCTCCACCAGTGACTGATGGGATTGGTGGGTAAGTGGCCCAGTTCTCTTAGCCCTCAGCTGGGATGATTTTGGGAAGCCCATGTTGCTTACCTCAGTAGTGGAATTAGGCTCCAGCTGCCCAGAGAGGTAATGGATTTGATAATGCACCCCTTATCAGTTCCTTCCCTTCCTATCAGCTTCCCAGTCCCCTACTGGGGTGTCCTAGGATCCCCCTCTCACGGCAACTACTTATACTCGGATCCTTGTCTGCTTCCACAGCAGGGCTCTCCACTGTAGACATCCTGGGCCAGATCACTCCTTGCTGTGGGGGCTTTCCTGTGCATTGTAGGATGTTTAACAGCGTCCCGGGCCTCTAATAAGTATCCAAACTAAGACAATATCAAATGGAAATGTGACTCAACTCTCCAGAAAGAGAAATGGCCTGTGGATCACAGGTTTTCACTTCTTTCCTATTAAGGTAGACTCTTTAGTGTCAAACAGAAATAAGATGAATGTTTCATTACATGGATGAAATGAATTCCTATGTTTATTCAACAAAGAGTTACTGAGCTCTTACTCTATGTTAGCTGGTTGAGGACCTAAGACACAGCAATAAATAAAAATAAAACTATTTTTAAAATAAAAAATAAATGTATACGTAAGTAAAAATAAGATTTAAAAAATAAGTGAATAGACAAATGCCCTGTTGTAATGAAGCTTAATGTCATTTTTGAAAAAAAAAAAAAAACAACAATGGAGCTTCCTCTGAGATAGGATGCACAGTGCCAGTGGTTCTCAAACTGTGCTCCATTGAGCCCCCGGTTTTAGTAACAGAACCGTGGAGGCTGCTGTCAAAGGGAGTGTACTGAGATGAGGAACGTGGCACAGGGCAGACTTGACTCAGGATGCTGACATATTAGAGACAACCTGCTGGATGCTCCACAGCCAAATGTGGAGAACCTCAGAGAATTTGTAAGGAAGTAGAATAATTTCTTTACGACCTCCAGTCAGCCTGCTCAAGGACTGATGGCTCAGCCTGACCTTTTAGCTAGATGCTAGCTAATCAGTTTACCCCAAAAAAATCTAACCTAAGACTCCTTGTTTTCAAATGGGAGGCACTGTTTCTTTCTTTCTTTTCTCCCTTCTCTCTGAAGGATTCTGGTTTCTCTCTACCTATTGATAAGTTTACTGAGTGTTCATCATATGTGAGCAAATTTGTATGCAGGTTACTAACTAACTGAGTTACTCCTTGATACGGATAAGGGAGATGACCAGTGGTAGAATGCTAGATTCCAACTCTCCCTTAACCCATTCCTGCTTTATCTTTTTAAATATTGAGGCTTGGGGTGATTTTTTTTTTTTTTACCAAAAAGATTCTTTCCTTTAAAAAATGAAAAGGAGGGTGGCTGGGTGGCTCAGTCGGTTAAGCGTCCAACTTTGGCTCAGGTCATGATCTCGTGTTTCTTGGGCTCAAGCCCCACATCGGGCTCTGCGCTGACAGCTAGCTCAGAGCCTGGAGCCTGCTTTGGGTTCTGTGTCTCCCTCTCTCTGTGACCCTCCCTGCTCATGCTGTCTTTCTCTCTTGGAAATAAATAAAACATTAAAAAATTTTTTTAAATGAAAAGAGAAAAAAAATACCTCTACAACAGCACATCCACTATGCTAACGTGACTCAACAATGGGCCAGCAAGGGCTTTGCTGGGTGGGAGATACTGATCAACCCAGGGGCATCCTGCATGGCCAGGTACCTTCGAGGAAGTAGCTGCCCCTCTCCGGTGTCCAGTGTAGACTGTCACCAGGTAGTGGTACTGGGCAAAGGGATCGTTGTCCTCCAGAACTGTGATCTTCACCTGGACAGAAGGATGGCATTAGGAGGGCTCTGTTCACTGGGTTCATCCACTACACAGCAGCCAAGAGTGAGCTGGGCACTCATGACAAGGGAAGAGAGCAAAATTATGTGTGTTATTTATTAATTCCATTAGGTGAGAACCAGTAAAATAAACTTTGAAAATAAAATAGTACAAAATGAGTTTAATATGACTTAAAAGTAGTCAAACTGGAAATGAACTTGGTATTAAGCTGAGAACGTTCTGATCTGGTGAATGATACAAACTCTGTTTATCTAGAATTTCTACCATTGGTAACCAGATTGGGACTCTCAGGGAATTTAAAAGGAATGAATGACAAGGTGGTTTAGCAGCAAAAGAAAACAAAGCTGGACTAGAGGTTGCAGTGGGCTCTGGGATGAGCCACCCAGGTCTCCCACCGGTGGACAGCTTGCTGCCCCAGTTGTCAAGGATGTGAGAGCCACCTCTACTGAGGTCGTATGCCCTCCTGGAGAGGCTGACATGCAGTGCCAGTTTGATGTGGTGTCTGGGCATGCTCAGGACCTGGGCATCTAGACCCAACTCGGGGCATCTGTGATCCCAGGCTCTCCTTGTGAAGCACCCTGCATGCTCAACTCTATTGCAAAGTCTCTTGCTTGGGAACCAATTGACAGGTGAGGCATTTGAAGTATTAATGTTTACTCCCTCACGTGAATCGAAGACAGCAGTATAAATGCTGCAACTATTAGCTTATTAAGTTTTGTGCCACCTTCACATCCTGAGAGATGTTCCTGTGTGGGGGGATGGCGGGAAATGGAGAATATTTCAGAACTTTGTGACGGTGCATCCTTGCAAGCATTTATGTGCTCACTCAGACACTCACAGAATTTTGCTGAAGGCTTATTAAGTGTCAGACACAGCACATGTATTAGAAAAGTAATCAGAGCTTTGTTGTTGGCAGTTTGTTGATCTCGTTTCTACCCTCAGACCTGAGTTATGGTCAGGCAGATGTGGGTCTGAATTCTGGCTTCTTGGAGGCGGCTTTGGACCAGTTAGTTGCCCTCCCTGATCTTTGGTCTCTTCCTCTGTAAGATGATAGAGGCACCATGCAGTTAATGGTGAACTCAGGAGGACTGGGTTGTCCAAACCCTATACATTTCAAAGAAAGGCCTGGCTCTTGGCGAGCTCCTGGAGATAACCCCTGAGCCCTTGGAATTTCCTGCCTGATAAGAGTGTCTTTGAGTAGCTTGGTCCACATCAGGTGGTCTCTGCTAACAATGTGATGTATGAAGAGGACTTTGGGCCATCCTGTGTCAGTCTGACCTCTGGGTGGTGGTGGTGATGGTAGGTGATTTGTTGGAGATCGAGCAACAGAACTCAGTCTTGTGGGCACTCCATATGTATGTGACTGATCCCCCATTAAACCCTGGACACCGGGGCTCAGGTGAGCTCCATATGAACTGTCACGTGCCATCACTAGAGAATGCAGCCTGTCCATACAGCTCCCCTGGAAAAGTACAGTCAGAAGCTCTTTCTGGATCTCTCCTGGACCCTTCCCTTTACTGATCTTAATCTGCATCCTTTACTGCAATAAACCATAATCATGAGTACCATGGCTTTTCTGAATTCTGTGAATCTGCCCAGCAAATTGCTGGACTTGAGGGTGGCCTAGGGACCTCTCAACCTTCTTCTTAGAGGTGCAGTGAACATTAAATGGGATAATCCCTGGCATATAGTAAATCCTCAATAAATGGTCAGTAGAATAATCTTCCTGACAACTTAATGAGAGTGGACATTTTACATATAATGAGGCTGAGGAGCTGGCTTACCTGGGATGACCTGGATTTGCTCCTGGCCCTTTGGTTCCCCAGCTGAGCTCCATCCCCTGGAGTTCCTGAAAGGGAACACCCCCTGCTCCTTCCTCCCATTCCTGTGGATCATGCAACCTCACCTTGGCCTGATCCTGAGCGTCCTTCCTCCTTGCCCAGATCACCACCAGCACGTAGGCCACGCAGAGGCAGCCCACGGTGGTCACAACCACGGGGTTGTCCTCGAAGGTGGCAAAGAGTTCGGCAGTCTGGCGGACATCAATGGCATTGGGCATCACCAGGAACGTGCTTCCAAAGAAGGTGAGGTGGTTGCAGAGGCAGTGTGTCTGGGAGGGGGTGGTCCTTGGCCCCACCTGCAACCCCAAAGAGGCCCTGGTGGGAATACCAGCATGTCTCTAGCTTACTTTAAGCCCAAGGGAGGTGGACAGTTCCTGAGGAGCCCTGGGGAGACCAGCTCTATGATTCTCTTGAGCTTTTTTAGTTAACTAAAAATCTTTAAATGTCAAGAATATTATCTGTAACAAGTATCTTGGTACCCATCATTCTCAATGGGCACCTGTATAATCTCATGAGTCTCCTTTGCCCTTTTAAAGAAGTATTGTGGATGAAGGTGAAGTTCCTTCTGTCCCCCACCTTCCATTGGCAGCCATTATCACAACTTTGGTGCACATGATTCCAGTACATTCTCCTTCTGAGGCTCACTCATTGGACAGATGTGTGTTGGGTGCAAAGTCTATGCCAGGAATGGGCGAGGTGCTGAGAGGCCATCCAGGGTAATCAGCTCATCTCAGATTTCCAGGGGCTTTCCTTTTCTAAAAATGAGAGTCTTGAGTCCTGGGAGCTCCCCCGTCCTGGACAAGCTAGGATGATTGGTTATCTCACACTAAAGATTAAAAAAAATAATAACCCCACAAAACAAAAAAAAACTGAGACTGGGGAATCATGTAAACAAAAGGGAAGGGCAAATGTTTAAATCCTGAACTGGTGTCTCAGCACCAGGAAAGCGCTCCCTAAATTTCAACCTCCTTAGGTTTAGGCACCCGAGGCCCCTAGCCTGGGCTCATGCTTTAGGTGAGTGCCACTCAAGGTGGCCTCAGGCAGTACCTGTCTGCACGCATGAGACAGGGAGTGAGGGGACCCAGTGACATGCCTACCCCACAGCACATACCACTCACTGTGTCTAGGGTGAGGCCGTAGGTGACCCTGAGGATGAAGCCCTCCTTGAATTTTGCACTATAGATGTCTCACTTGTTTTACCGTAGTTCTGGCCATGGGACTCCCACTTCTCGACTATGGTTTGGGACCTGGACCTGTAATTCCTTGCTTCTAGCACCTGCACAGGCCTGTTCCTCAGGATCACTCTTCTCTGATGGACTGGCCACTGGTGTGCCCACCCCTGGGCACGAGGGTGCCAGGACGTGGCTATGAGTGCAAGCTGTGTGGATAGAGCTTGTTTACATGGTCCCCTGGTGGTACAGGACCAGGAGATTGGGGTGGGGGACGGGGAGACAGGATGGACCGGGCCGGGGGCCCCCATCTGTGCTCTTAATTCACACCTTGTGCTTAGGGCCTTTTCTGAATCCTTCTGTCAACTTTCAGTTACCGCCCCCACCCCAGAGCCATTTGGTGGGCAGAGATTATGTCCAACCCCACAACTCAGCACCGTGTTTCATTCCAGAGTCTACTAGGAGGTGGTAAGGTGGGAGGGAGCGGGAAACACTGTCACGCAGCAGGTTCTCTGCTCAGCGCATGAGGAAGAACCCACTGCAGCCCACAGTGCCCCAGCAGGTAACTCTTGTCTTCCCTAATGAGCCGCCCAGCAAGGGGCCACATGGGCACGACACCAACTGTTTACGGAGAGATTTCACATGGATCTTAGTTTCGTGTTTGCTCCACTGCTTCTCTCACTGTTTCCCAATCCTGGTCAGCATTTGGCATGCAGCCGTGGGCCTTCTGGGAACACCTGGGGTGCCCAGAAGGCGTGGAGCTGGTTTCAGAGAAGAAACCAAGCAGGGAGCGTCTCAGTGTTGGGTGCCCAGGGGCCAGGCTTTATACGCCTACATCTTTGTCTTCCTGGGCTTTCCCAACCCTTCCAGCAGGAGAGCCTCCTGAACTCTGGGAATACATGTGTGCGTACCCTTGCTATAGTAGTTGCACCTTTAGTGACCTTTGAGAAAATATTTAAGCAGGAATAGATTCTCAGACCCCTTGTGACAATTCTGCTTTTACCCCTTGAGAAGGTCTGCAGTCCACAGACTTAGAGCTTTCTTTAGCTGTGTAGAGAATTTGGGGCTGATTTTTGTCCCATTTACTTATTTACGGCCCCTCAGGGATATCTCTATCTATATATCTATATCTGTATCTGTGTCTGTGTTTGTATTGTATCTACCTCTATATAATGAGCACCATGTATACGATATTGTATTCATATAACTTTTGGTCTGTAACACACTCCTACATCTGACTTTTGTATGTCCTGCATTCGTGTATATATGTATTAGTAGGTGTATATTTTCAATAACATGAGAACCTGAGAACCCCTACCCTACTCAAAAGCTAGGAACGTTCCAATAACTTACACTGAGCTGAGTAGTCCTGCCCTAGTCTGTCCTCAACCCAGCCACCACCCAAGTCCCATGTTCATTGTTTCCTTGATTTCCATTTCATATGTCGTGTTGTCTTCTCTACGTTCAGATTGTTCAACACATGAACGACTCTACTCTGGAGCACTCACTACGTGCCAGCCCCCACACTAACTGCTTCATCCCCCTATTCCTGTCCGGGCCCCGCCCCACCCCACCTGTGAGTGGGAACCAGCCTTTGTCCCCATATTCAGATGAGAAAGCTGAGAGAGGTGCGGTGACCTGCCCAAAGTCACCTGCCTAGTACTGATGAAGTGGGATTGGACCCGGATCTGTCTGATGGCAGAGCCCACACCCCCAGTGGCTACACCATCTCTCTTTCTGAGCCTCGGGCCTCTGAGGACAGCCTGCAGGGCACCCCAGGCCAGCAGCGTGGGCATCAGACAGCTGCCAGGAGTGAGGACTCGCAACACACTCAGCGCCTTGTTCACGAGGTACAAAGAGCTCTACTGGGGGCGTGGGGAACATGCTGTCTCTTGGACATCGTGATGCACCCATTTCTTCCTGGCACTTTGGGGAACTCCCTCCATGTGGGGGCTGGAAGCCAGGGCAGGAGTTGACAAGGGAGCCGAAGCTGTAGCAGAAACAAATCCGGAAGGAACTTGGCTCTGAGTCCCCTTCTGTGGCTCTGCTGGAGCCTGGCTTCTTACACTACTTGTGACCATTGTCATTTGATTATGTGTGGCATTTGCTTCTTGGCTGTGTCCTCTGCTTGACTGAAAGCTCACTGTTTTTTCTAACCATTATATCCCCACTGCCTCGCACATGGTAAATATTTATTGAATAAATGAAAGAAGGTATTTACAGTCTAGTAGATGGAGACAGGTATGTGATAAATTTCAGCTAGATGTGGAGGTTGCTCTTCTTGGGGAAGGTGTGAAGTGCTGTGGAAGTCCAGAGAGGAGAGTCCCGATGTCGGGATGCTTCCAAGAAGGTGACATTAGAGTGGGAGATGGAAGGGTGAAAAGCATAGGAGTTTTCCGGGCAGGGTAGGTATGAAGGGCCTTCCCAGGAAGAGAACAGATCAAAGGCATAGAAGGTGGAAGAGGAGCACTGGTACACTGACAAGAGATGGCCTCCGATGGCCTCAGAGCCAGTGTCTGGACACTGTCATGGGCAGAGCTCAGCTGACCTGAGACAGGGATTTGACTGCAATTAATAGAGCCATGTGCCATCCAGGGGCTTGGTGAGGCTTGGTAGGGGGCTGGGCAAGCAGCACTGCGTATCACAGAAGGCTCCTGCTCTGGGGACAGACAGGCTTAGGTCTGAGTCCCAGCTCTCCCAACTACTAGGCAAGGGACCTGGAGGTAAATTTGTTGACTTTCCTGAGCCTTTGTTTTACCACCTGTAGCATGGGAATATCTACTGTTTTAGAGGGTTATTGTGGAGATCTGATGAGGTAATGCAAGTAAAGCACAGAACACAGCACCTGGCATGGAATAAAGGACTCAGCTCTGAGTTCAGTTCCTTGGGGATGAATGTCCATTCACTCAGTGGTCATTTGTTCTCAGTGGTGAGCAAAGCACACTGTTCCTGACTTGTGGGGCTCCTGGTGCACTGAGGGAACAGACATCATCTCAGTGACTTCCTGAGTAGATCTGAAATGGCTTAGTGCTGTGTGTAGTGCTATGGAGGAGCGGATGTATGTACTGGGAGAGCTTACAGCAGGAAATCTGACCTGGCTGGGGGTTAAGAACAGTTTTCTCAAGGAAATTATACTGGAGGCAGGATCTAGTTAACCAGACTGGGGAAGGAGAGGCATTCCAGGCCTAGGCAACAGCATATGCAAAGACCCTGTGGAGGGATGCAGAACAGCTACCAGAGACACTGAAAGGGGACCCAAAATGAGCTCGACACACCAAACCAAGCTTGCTCTGTCTTCTTCTTTGTGTCCTCTCCTTACCTGGCACCCAGAGTTGTCCCAGGTCCCCTGGACCTCATCCCAGAACACACAGTGGGACAGGAAGGTGGTGATGCCAACTGTGAGGTCCCTGCCAGGGCTCAGCTCCAGTTCAGGCTCGGGGACCACAGTCAGATAGTAGATGCCTTCTCCAAAACGCAGATCCTCTGGGTTCAGAATCCACGTGGACAGTCCATCTGCAAGAAAGAGGGCTCCAGGTCAGCCCAAAGCCTCATGGAGACTGGGGCTAATGTGATGGGAGAGAAGGACCGAGGTGACTGGGCAGGGAAGCTGACCTTGATGGTCTCCCTGAGGTCCTAGGAAAGCCCTCTTCCCCCGAGACCAGGAGCAGAGAAGAAGAGGCATTCTCAAGTCAGCACGACTGGCAAGTAAGGTAGATGAGAGCTCAAGTTCTGACTCTGTCCCTTATTTGCCGTGTGACTTTATACCAGTTACTTAACCTCTCTGTTCTTACCTGGCAAGAGGAAATGTCCATAGTGCTCATCCCAAAGGTTGTAATGAAGATTACAATGAAATTAGTTCTATAAGTGCTTATCAGGTTAGGGCATTTAGAAAGTGCTCACTTAATGTTGCCAACTAATAAATAATACTGATGATAACAGTAGTAGTAGTATTAGTAATAACACCAAAAAATCAGCATTTAATATAGGAAAAAAAATTTTTTTCTCCGTGGCTTCTGATTCTCAAGTTGTCACCCTCCCCCCACTGCCCAAGAAGCTGGCCCAGTTGATGCACTACCTGCAGCAGCCATTGGTGGAAGGTGAGCTCTGGCGTCGTAGCTGGTCTCATTGGGGCGGTAGCCGTAGCCCAGGCTGAGCTTGAGGGAGATATTGGGCCTCCAGTGCAGCTGGATCCCCAGAGCTGCCCCGTCTGAAGTCAGGTTCACCCACAAAGCTTCAGGACTGGTCAGATTTAACACAGTTGGCTCACTGCGTTCTGAAAGCCGGGGCAGCAGGATCTGTCATCAGAAACAGTCAAATCAGGGGTGTGCTGGGATGGGAGTGCCCGTCAGCATCAGGGCTGCCGTACGGAGCAGGGCAGGGTGAGTGCCTGGGGCACCGAGGTCCACTCTGCTGGGCTCATTTTATCAGCTTCCTGAGGCTGCTTATCTCGGTGCTTCTAACACCACAGATTTGCCGTCTCACAGTTCTGGAGGCCAGGAGTCCAGAATCAGTTCTGAGGGGCCGAGGTTGGCCGACTGATGCCGTCTGGAGGCTCTAGGGGAGAACCTTGCCTTTTCCAGCTTCTGGGGGTGCCACGTTCCTTGGCTTAGGGCCCCTCTTCACATCATCCCAATCTCCTGCTTTTGTCATCAGGTTAGCCTTTTGTCTTCTGTGACTAATTCCCCCTGTCTCTGCCTCTTGTAAGGAACTGGGATGACACTGGGCCCACCCACATGGTCCAGGGTCATCTATCTCAAGATCCTTAACTCAATCACCCCTTCAGTGTGCCTTGGGCCATGTAAGGCGGCAACTCCACAGGCTCAGGGATGAGAATATGGACATCCTGTGGGGTCGTTATTCACCTACCATGCACTCGTCAGACTGCATGCCAAGGCTTGGGCTGCTTCTGCACAGAAAGAGGGCCAACTTTTTCTAACTTGCACAAGTGTGCTGTGTGAACTAGTGGTCATATTGATGACGATGTAAAGCAAGGAAAGTGTAAGTTAGGAGCACAGGCTATAGAGGCAGAGAGACCTCTGTTTGGGTCTTGGCTCTGTGCTATATCGGCTGTGGGACCTCTGGCCAGTTAACAAGCCACTCTGATCCTCTGCTTCCTTGTCATCAATAGAGCACGTAGACTCATTCAGGATATTACAAATGGTATCGCATACATGGGGTGCCTGGCTGGCTCAGTTGGTGGAGCTTCTGACTCTTGATCTCAGGGTTGTGAGTTCAAGTCCCACATTGGGTGTAGAACTTACTTAAAAATAAAACCTTTTTGGGGCACCCAGGTGGCTCAGTCCATTAAGCATCTGACTCTTGGTTTCAGCTCAGGTCATGATCTCATGGTTTATGGATTCAAGTCCTGTGTTGGGCTCTGTGTTAGCAGCATGGAGCCTGCCTGGGCTTCTCTCTCTTCCCCTCTCTCTTTGCCCTTTCCCACTCAAAATAAATGAATAAACATTTACTACAAAAAAATATTTTAAAAAATGATATCACATACTTAATTTTTTTTTTTTTTTTTTTTTTTAAAAGGAGGTGCCTGTGTGGCTCAGTCACTTGAGCATCTGACTTCGACTCAGGTCATAATCTTGCAGTTGGTGAGTTCAAGCCTCATGTCAGGCTCTGTGCAGACAGCTCAGAACCCGGAGCCTGCTTCAGATTCTGTGTCTCCCTCTCTCTCTGCTCCTCCCCCACTTGTTTTCTCTCTCTCTTTCAAACAAACAAACATTAAAAAAAATTTTTTTAATGACATCACATACAAAATACTTAGACAAGTGCCAGATACAGATAATACTAAAAATTTAGCAGCTGTTATTATTCTGCTATTACTATTGTTAGAAGTTCTCATAACCATTCTCCATTAAACCAGCGTTCCAGATTAACTGGTGCTCTGTTAATGATTGATTAATGGTTGGTTGATGCCCACTGTGCACTGTTTATTTCTGGTGGCCTTCTGTGTTAGACGTGGGCATGGTCCACCATGAGCCTCCTTCAAGGAAGGACCTGCTGCCCAATCACAGACAGGCTGTAGCTGTCAGCTCCTTCAGGGTCTGTCCCAGCTGCAGAGGCCCACCTCGTCTGAGGCACACCCTCCCTGGGGCCGCCTGCATCCAGGGGGCAAGGAGGGGGTATGAGGCCAATAGTTAGCAGCCTGCTGTGGGGCATCTGTCTCATTTGTACATGAGGGATCTTATTTTATGGAGGTGATTGAGTGATGATGCGGAAGGGCCAATGCCATTGAAAGAAGAATTTATGGCTTACATTTCCTGAGAGGAGGGGACCACCATGCCACGCAGGGCCACAAGGGAAGCACCTGGTCAGGAGACGGGGTAGGCACAGGGAAAAGCTCAGGTCAGGGCTGTTATTGGGATCTCCATGGGAAAGGCAAGGCAGGGCAGAATAAATCATTTTCAGGTTGGCCTATTTGAATAATTTCGGCAGCGTTGGGGCTATAAGAATGGTCTCTGGTGGCCTGGTACCTGGCCTCGGGATGGTTTAGGACAGGGGAAATGTTGGCTTGGTGTGTGAGTCAGATAAAGGGGCTGGTTGGGGGTATGGACTTGGGGTTGGTTAGTCTGCATATGAAAGGTACGCCCTGGCAAAGCCCTTTGCTACCTGTAAGGATCTGCTGGCCTTGGGAGGGGCACTTTCTTCCTCACCAGCAAGATTTTTAAGATATCAAAACATCAAGAGATACAGAAAATACTAAGCCTGGTTAACATAATTCTAATGGCTAGTACTTGCTACGGTGCTCCCCCTTGAGTTGACTGGGGCTTTGTGCGATCTGGATTCCAGTCTGGCTTCTCTTTCTGCCCAGTCTTGGTGTCCTTCCTCCCTCTTCGCAGGTGCCAGTCTCAGCAAACTTCTAACACCCCGAGCTCTTACTCAGCACCTGCTCCCAGAGAACACAGCCTATGACAGCTCTCTCCTGCCAGTCAAGGTGTGAGCTCACCAGTGGGCACATGCGTTTATCCCAAAGCTGCTTATGTCCACATGTGCTTGTAGAGGTCAATTTTAATGATATATTCCACAGAGTGACATAAAGTGACAGAGTACTAGTGTGAAAAGAATTTTTTGCCTGAAAACTTAAGCTGAATGCTTTGAGAAGACACTGGAAAGATGAATTGCTAAACATTGTTATTGAATTAGTCATTGATGAGAAAACTAGATTAGGAAAACACTCACTAAAATCTCAAAAGGATCTGATCTTGTATTACACCATGGTGTGCTTAGGTTTTTGCTTCATTTTAATGTTTCTATTTATTTTTGAGAGAGAGAGAGAGGGGTGGGGAGGGGTAGAGAGAGAGGGGGACAGAAGATCCAAAGCAGGCTCTGTGCTGTCAGCACAGGGCTTGAACTCACAAACCCGGAGATCATGACCTGAGCCAAAGTCAGATGCTTAACCAACTGAGCCACCCAGGTGCCCTGATGTTTTTGGTTCATTTTAGAGAAAATCTGACATTTCAGAGGCCGCATTGTAAGGGTCGTTTATGTAATGAAGATGATTAAAATTCCAGTCAACATATTGAAAGAAATGTTTCAATTGTACACCCCAAGACTGACAAAAATGTACGTTTATAGTTTTAAATTGAAATACAACGTGTAAGACAGAGTATGGACCATTCTTAATGATTCTCCTGTTTAATCAACTTTTGGTCCCAACCAAGTTGAAAAAGAAGACAGAAGTGACACTTGACTTCTGAAAGCACCCCTGACTTCTACCTCAATGTTCTCCGACAGATTCTTCACGGGTATGAGATGTCCACTGGGACTGGTCAGACGGAGGCCACCAACAGTTCCACTGATGTCAAAGTCACTTTGGGCTGGGAAGGGGCTCATTGGGAAACTCATCATCTGAAACCAAGAACACAGAGTGCTGGCCAGGGCCCCTGAAGGCTGGAAGGTGACTGCGTCCCTGTGTGAATGACAAGGTTTCCCAAAATGGGACAGACAAGTGGCCCTCGCCCTATGGGGTGAATGCGGGACCCCGCCGTTAGCTGTGTCTGGTTTTCCAGGTGCGTGATTGCCCTTCAGGGCTGAGGACCCACTCAGACCTGCTAGAGTTGTGCAGCTGCTGGACTGCGAAACCATCTGAGCCTTTTTTCTTGGCAGAGCCAACAAGTCCCCAAGAAAAAGATATTTGTCTGCCTTCGTTGGGGCTGGAGGAACAGAGAGATGTGCCCTAACTCAGGAGTAAAAGAGCTCTCGGCTTGCCATTTCCTAGTTATGGATTGAAGTCTGAAGAGCTTTATTTCCAGTAACTAATTGAACCAAGGCTGCTGGGGAAATTCCACGACCAGCGGAAGAAGGATGGATTTGGGAATCTGCATCCCAGCCCTGCCATTTTGCTTGCAGCCTCAGGCAGGTCGCTGCACCTCATTTGTAAAATGGGCATAGTAATATGTGATGTGTACTGAAAGTAATATGTGCCATCATCAACATAACTGAGCAAATGCATGTGCACATGCCCTAGAGGCCGTAAAGGGCTGCTCCCAAGGTCATTACTGCCGTTACCCTGATGTCCACAGGCTCCTGGCTGGACTCCGTGGAGCTGAGGGAGGAGGCCGCGGGCAGGGTGAAGGTTGCAGAGCTGGCGGCAGCGGTGTGCACGGAGGAGCCCCGCCAACTCCAGGGCTGTATTCTGGCCACAAGGTGAGAGCAGAGGTGCCAGGAGAGAGAGAAGAAAGTCAGTGTCAGAGAAAGGGTTCTTGCTCTGCAGGGACCCCATCAGAGAGGGTGGCTCTACTTCAGTCCCCAAAGGCAGTTCTGTACGCTTGTGTCAAAGGAACAGCATGGAAGGCAGCCGGCACCTCCCTCCCCCTACCCCCACTGTGAGGACAGGGCTTTAGCCAGCTCTGTTTACCGCTGCACCTCCAGTGCCAACGAGAGCGCCTGGCACACGGTGGGGGTCCATATGTCCTTTGCTGAATGAATAAGTGAACTTTGTCGTGGGATTTTCTCCAGGTGTAGCTCCCCTAGCTACTTGATCTGTGATGTCATGGGTTCCCAGCCCCATCTTCTCTGGCCTTTGACATTGTCCTGTCTCATTACATTGGGGACCTGGTTTCAGAGTCTAGCTCTGGTCAGAGTGCCACTTCAAAAAACTGCCCCTGGGACCTGGGACCCAAAGCGTCCCAGCAGGGCCTGCAGTGCGATCCAGCCCCTGCTTCTTAGGGGGAGGGATGCAGGGCGGAGGGCATCCTCAGGTCCACAGACTCCCAAGGCAGGTGCCTGTTGAATCCCCACAGCTCTGGGGAGCACTGGGCTTGGCCAGGCACACCCGGGACGTGGTTAAAGGTGGGCAGGCCCCCTTCATTCAGCCTCCCTGCCTGCACGGCTCTAACATGACCCAACTCTCAGGACTCGTGGGTAGCTCCAAGATGGGGTGTGGACTCGGCCATTCCCTTCCTACATGGTACAAGCACCCCCAGCATGGGGACCTTCTCGGTGAAAAGCCCTCCCACTTCTGAGGCTGGCTGTCTGGGCTCTGCCTCTCACAGGGTCTTGGGATGTGACTGTGGAAAGAGCCAGGTCAGGGGACAAGCTTTCTTGGTGACCCCAGTGCGGCTGCTTACCTGTTTGTGTACACGGAGATGGAGGGGGCGGCCAGAGTGGCCGGGAGGCCCCCAGGCAGTGTCCCTAGTAGGAGGGCAGCCTGCACTCGCTCCACAACTCTGAGCAGCTGGGGCACGGCGGCAGTCTGCAAGAGGAAGCAGGGGTGCTGCTGTAGGGCCGTCTCCATATGCCACCTTTGCTCATTGTCACCAGGCTAGTGGGGGGCCTTCAGCAGGGACGGGGGGGGGTGCGCAGAGGAGGGGACAACATTGCTGTAAATTGAGCAGCAGGCTCTGTAGGGAATGAGGAGTAAGCACTTCCAAGGTTTCCAGCACTTACGTGAACATTTTTCATCCTCACGACAACTCTGAGGCAGGTGCTCTCACTTACCCATTCGGCAAACAGGGAAACAGAGGCACATAAAGAGTAAGTGACTTGTGGAGGTCACATGTTGAAAAAGGCAAGTGCCAGGACCCATGATGAGGCTGCCGGGCATGTGGCTTCTGAGTCCGTGCACTGAGCTGTCGCACTGTGCATCTCTCTGTGCTGCTCTCTTTGACCCTGACATCCACCCACAGCCCACGTCTTATTTATAGTGAAATGGAAAGCCGCAGGCAGAGCCATTTCACTGGATCATCTGGGCACGGACTGCTCCAAACCCCCAGATGAGGATGCACCTCGCTGAGGCCAAGACTGGTGTGAAGACCCAGGAAGGGCTGGATGTTTGCCAAGAGTTCCTATTGGGGCACAGATTGCATGTGTGCGTGCGTGCATGTGTGTGTGTGTGCGTGTCTGTAAGAGAGAGGGCATGACTGAGCGGATGTGAATGTATGTGTGTATTTAAGGGTGACTTGTGAATATGAGGAATTAAGTGTGTATGTATCTCTGAGTGTGAGTGTGTGATTGTGTGTCTGCATGTGAATGTGTGTTTGAGGGTATGTGTGAGTATAAATGTTGGATCATAAATGAGTCTGTGTGTGTGTGTGTGTGTGTATGGTTTTGTGTGACAGTAACCATGTGCGAGTCTGAGTCAGTGAGTGTGTGTAACTGTGTGGCCATTTGTGAAGACATGGGTGTAAACGTGCATCTCTGAGAGTGTGTGTGCAAGGCTGTGTGTTTAAGCATATGTGTGAGAGTATACGTGAGTGCCCATGTGTGTGAGTGCATGTGAGCATTTGTGGTTTTGGGTGTGTGTGAGTGCATGGGTGTAAAGGTTTGAGCGTGACCACGTGTATCTGTGTGTGTGTGTGTGTGTGTGTGTGTGTGTGTGTTCTCCTGAGTAGAGGTGATGGCCCCACGAGGTTAAGGACTCTGGAGCAGCAAGAGATGGGCCTTCAGCCCCATCATGAGGCCATCCTGGAGGCCCTTCCCCGGGTGCTGCGACAGGGTGCTGGGGCCGCTGAGACAGTGCAGCACCCATCTTCTCTCCAGAGGCTGCCTCTCCTCTCACAACGTTCCGTGTTTTTAGAACCACTGTGAGGGTGGACATGTGATCTCACCAGCTGGCTTATCTGGGAGGCTGGGGATTGCCTCAGTTTACAGATGAGGAGTGAGGCTGAGAGTAGTCATGCACCCAGCCCAAGTCTCAAGGTTTGAAAGTAACAGAGGCAGGATTGGAGCTCAGGCTGCCTCGCTCCAGAGCCTGGCTCTGCCTACCCTACCACACCGCCTCCCGGAAGCTCTGGTTTCTGGAACTTGTCTTCCAGTTCCCTAGAGAGGACTTTAACCTCTGTATCTCAGTTTCCTTATCTGCAAGATGAGAAAGAGCTGTCTAGAAAGGCTGGTGTGAGTGGGGCGTGTGGTAGCCGGGAGCTTTGCATCTAGGCTGAAACGCCTACCTGGCTGCCATTGGTCCCTGTAGGTTCTTGTGGTCCATCCCTCAGGGAAGCTGCTAGCACACTGCCCACGGCCTGAAACAGGTCCTTGGTAGCCATCTGGCGCCGCTGGTCCTCAGGATGGGCCTTGGGGCTCGCTGCCAGCAGTGCTTCGCTGGCACCCTGCAGAGCCTGGGTGGCCTCCCACTGGGTTCACCCCAAGGGGAGGGAAAAGCAGCGTGAGCCCCTGCCTGAGCTAGACCAGCCCCTGCACCATTCATAGGGCAAGGGCTGCGATAGACGGGAGCAGGGCAGAGAGATAAACTAGGGGAGATCTGGACCCATGGCACAGGCTGCCTGCATCACTCACTTGAGGTCAGCTTCTTCTTCCCACAGTGTGCTAAGTTCCTTCAGGAGAGGACCCTAGTCCATCTCTGAGTCTTCCCAGAGTGCCTTGCACATGTCTAGCACATAGCAGTAATCATTCACTAACTGGGGGATTGGATGAAAGGGTGGATGGATGGATGGGAGGTGGATGGATGGATGGATGGATGGATGGATGGATGGATGGGTAGTGGATAGATAGATGGATGGATGGATGGGTAGATGGATAGATGAATGGACCAGACATTCATTTCAGTTTTGTAATTGTGTCTGTATTTGTGAAGATATTTGTGTAAAGTTTTGCTGCCCCAGTAGTCTGAAAATGCCACAAGGGTAGAAGCTATGTCTGTATGACTTGCTGAATTCTCAACGCCCAGTATGTGCACAGTACCTCATATAAACTAGGCACTTGGGAAGTATTTGTTGAATGCATAAGTAAATTAGTGCCTGGATAAATGAATGGAAGTATGGAGGGACAGATGTACACAGGTACTGAATAGATGTGTGCGTATGGAATGGTTGGATGAGCAGACAGGTGTATAAATGGCGGGTGTGATGTTAAAAGCATCATGGCCTCAGGAATAAAGGTCAGCCTTGCTGGCTTCAGGCTGGAGAATGTGAGGGCTCCACCTCCTGACAGCAGGTGGAGCACACAGCCAGGGTGCTCTCTCCCCTGCTTAGGGTTCCATTCTTAACCCTTGGCTACCATTACATTGGGAGCATGGTGATTTCATTTAAGTTCTCCAAGAGGCAGACCCTGAGGCAAGGATTTAAGGTGTGGGCAGGCAGAGTGGGCTGGTGGGGCGGGGGGTCAAAGAAGAAAGAAAGTCAGGGGCTGGCAGCTGGGTGTCAGTCTGGTATGTCCTGGGGAACATGGGCAGCAGTATCTGGGCACACACTTGAGGGTCACTCAGTGATTAGAGTCAGCTGCTAATCGCGGGGCAGTGGGGTGTGTGAGCACCCAGGCTGTGACACCCAGAATGAGAAACAGGAGCTGCAGGAGGACATCTTCTCTCTCTCGGTACCACCCATGCAGGACCCTGGGAAACCACATGTTGGAAGCCTTGGTGGCCGCATGGCAGAGAGACCGTCGACCTGAGGTGACTTGTCAGTTACCCACCGCAGAGGTGCGTGGCCCATGGCTTGGCCTGGGACAGCAGGTGGGCCTCACTCACCTGGGCCGAGGGTGTGAGCTCCTCACTGCGGTGGGTCACCTCTCTCAGAACCTGGGCCAGCCCTTGCACCTTCTGCATGTCCCCCAGGGTGGCGGTGACCATAGACAGCGACCCCAGCACATGCTCTCTGACCTGATGCAGAGGGAGGAAGAGGAAATGTAGTTTCCGTGTCAGAGAGATTTGGGGTCAGAGCAAGTGACCAGGCTCATCCTGGGTTTTCCAAAGCCCATAGACCTCTGTTTGCTTCATAGAGTGTGTGGTGGGCAGAAGGTTGGCCTCCCAAAGAGCTCTACATCCTAATGCCTGAAACCTGTCAGTGTGTCACCTCACATGGCAAAGGGACTTTGGCAAAATTGCTTTGGAGTTTTATTTAAGTTAGGGGTTCTGAGATGGGAGGGTCTCTGGATTAACCAGGTGGGGCCAGTGCAGCCACAGGGGTCTTTGTAAGAGGGAGGTAGGAGGGTCAGAGTCAGAGAAGGAGATGTGCAGATGGAGGCGGAGGTGGGGAAGAGGGTGTGGGAGGAAGGAAAAGGAAGTGAGGAGGGGAAGTTTGGGGAGGGAGGGAGGAGAGGCTGGCTGGGGGCTGGCCTTGACAGCCATAGAGAAGAACTAAGAATGTAATTCCTGCACTTGCCCAGTAGAACTGTCTGCACTGATGGAAGGTCCTGTCTCTGCACCCTCCACTCACCAAATGCAGCTACTGAGCCCTTGAAATATGGCCAGTGCAACAGGAGAACTGGATTTTAAACTTGGTTTCATTTTAATTAATTTAAGGTTTTCTTTTCTTTTCTTTCTTTCTTTCCTTTGTTTTCTTTCTTTCTCTTTCTTTCTTTCTTTCTTTCTTTCTTTCTTTCTTTCTTTCTTTCTTTCTTTCTTTCTTTTCTTTCTCTTTCCCTTCCTTCCTTCCTTCCTTTCTTTCTTATTTTAGAGAGAGCATGAGCAGGGGAGAGGGAGGGAGGGAGAGACACAGAAAGAGAATCTTAAGCAGGTCCATGCTCAGCACAGAGCTCCCACAACCCTGGGATCACAACCTGAGCCAAAATCAAGAATCAGATGCTCAACCAACTGAGCTACCCAGGCGCCCTATTTTAATCCCTTTAGTTTAGATGCAAGTACCTAGATAAGTGAGTGGAAACCATTTGGCACAGCCCAGATCTGAGTGACCAGAGTCCTCTTGCGGCCTGCTCCTCACGGCTCACTCAGCCTACCTGTCTGACGGCCCTGCGTGGAAGCTGTAGAGTTTGAACCTGTCTGCTGTTAGATCAGGATGCATCCAGGCTACAGCTTGGATGGAGAGTAAAAAAGGCCAGTATATGAGGGGACTCTTGTCAGAATGTTCTGGAAGGGTAAGTCATATTTGCCTCTGTAGATCTTCCTTCCCACCTTGGTCACCGTCCTGGAGGCAGCTTCCGTGGGGATGCCGGCTCCTGACTCTGGCCAGTGGACTCATGCAGGAGGAGAGAGAGCTAGAGGCTGTACATCTGGTGACTCTGCTGGTCCACTCTGGGTCGGTCGGTGGCCTCATTCTTCAGAAGCCACTGCTTCTACCAGGAAGCCCCTCCACGTGCGGCCGCTCACTCTGGATTCTGTTCACTTCAGGCTGAGCCCCAGCTTTTATCAGCAGCACGTATTAGGTGCTCAATAAGCACGTTTATCTATAAGTAATCTCACTATGACAACACCACTTCTTTGTATTAAGTACTTACCATGTGTCCTGCACCATGTTAACTAAACACTTTTCTTGCAAACCCTTCAGGGAACAAGAAAAGTCTTTCTTTTTTTTTTTTTTAATGTTTTTTTTTTTTTTTTTAATGTTTTTTTTTTTTTTTTTTTATTTTTAGGAGAGAGAGAGAGACTGTGAGCAGGGGAGGGTCAGAGAGAGAGGGTGTCACAGACTGAAACAGGCTCCAGGCTCCGAGCTGGCAGTCAGCACAGAGCCCGACGCGGGGCTCGAACCCACGAACCGCAAGATCATGACCTAAGTGAAAGTCGGACGCTTAACCGACTAAGCCACCTAGGCGCCCCAAGAAAAGTCTTTCTTTTCTTCTTCACGCCCAGCAGATATATGTGCTACTATACGTGTGTGTGCACATGCACATGTGTGTACTTACACCCACATGTACCAGGATGTAGAGGTACCAGGCACCAGGAGTAGAGGTAATCATAGGTTCTATAATAGTTGTTTATCATGTCCAGTTATAACACACAAAATGGCTATTTTGTGGGGTAAAACTGGTTGAATGTTGGTAACTTCAAAAGGTTTGACCTAACTTTATGAAATAACACTATTTATCTTCCCCATTTTCCAGTGGGGAAACTGAGACTTAGAGAAGTTCATTCACCAGCCTGTGACAATACAGATGGAAAGTGACAGAAGTGGGATGACATCTAAGGTCTGGCCCCAACCCATTAACCATATGACTGGGGCCAGGCCACTTTCCTCCTCTGGTCTCGGTTTTGTCGCCTTTGACCAGAGGGCCTGGAGCAAGACTCTGAAATTGCTTCCTTTCCTAGAAGTCTTTGACTCCAGGCAGAGCAAGGAAAACAGGTTTCCATCATTTCAGGTAACTTAGCAAAAGGACCAGAGGAGGGAGGTGACATCAAGAGCTCAGGAGATACCAAAGTCTTCTCCACAGCTCCATGAATTCCACCCCCCACCCCAGACTCTGGGACCCCAGTGGACCGTGTAGAAGGGGCCCATCTTGGGGTGCCTGGGTAGCTTAGTCAGTTAAGTGTCTCATTTCGGCTCAGGTCATGCTCTCACTGCTTGTGGGTTTGAGCCCCAAGTCGGGCTCTGTGCTGACAGCTCAGAGCCTGGAGTCTGCTTTGGATTCTGTGTCTCCCTCTTTCTCTCTGCCCCTCCCCCATTCGCACTCTGTCTGTTCCTCTCAAAAATAAACATTAAAATTTTAAGGAAGTGGGGGGGCCCATCTTGCACACCTTCTGCCTGATGTCCATGTTCAGCAGCAGCCCGCAGCCCTGCGCCTGGCACTCCTGGTCCAGCACGGATGACACGGTCCTGGCCAGCTGGAAGAGCCGCTCAGGGTCCCGCTCGCCTTGCAGAGTGGCGGTGATGTTCTCCAGCACTGCAGCCTGGAATGCCACGTTGTCAGCGTGGGTGTCTCCAAGTCCCACCTCATGGGAAACAGGAAACATGCTCAGTGCAGGGAAGACCTGACTTGTTCCGGAACCTGGAGCCTGAAGCCACAGTCTCCATAAGGCTTCGCACGTGGCGTGGGGTCTCCCCTGAGGCTGAGGGCGGCGGGGCCCACTTGTAGCAGGCCGCCAACGGCCGCCGAAACCAAGCCTTGGGCAAGTCACTGCTTCACCCTCACTGCGCTCCTCGCAGTGCCCACAGTCCCTTCATGCTCCACCTGGCCTCTCACCCTTGAAATCTACCCGGATTTTATCCAGTCTCTGCTATGTGGCCCTGATGGCTGATTTTGGCCCTCCTTCCTTTGGACTCTGATGGCACTGGTTTAACTCATCCCAAGGTCCTCCTGCTCCAAGCCTCCAGGACATTACTCCAGGGCACTATTCTGACCACTGAGAGGTAAGGTCTACAAAGGCAGTGACCATGTTCACAGCTGTGTCCCCAGGGCCTGACACAGAGCAGGTGCTCTGAAAATGCTAGTTGAAGGAATGAATGAATCAGTGATTCATCTGGTCATGCCCTTGGTTCCCTTCAACCCAGCCACCCTCTTGGTGAAGTTCAGCTGGGTAACGAGTTTTCTCAATAAAGAAGCAAAAGATGCTGCCACCTACCTTCACCACTGCATGGGCCTGTTGTTTGTCCCCTGCACGATTGGAGACAGAAATGACCACTGTCAGCATGAAGTCATTGTTTACTTTCCCAAGTGGCAGATAAGCTGACTGGAGGGTAGGTTCAGGGCCACAGTGTAGACAAGAACCTGGTAAATGGAAACTGAACAGTTAGGGGGGCATCTCTAGGCCCCGGGGAGACAGGAAACCCACCAAGGTAGAGCCTGATGACAAGGACACAGAAGCCACAGCTCATGGACTTCATGCTTTCAGGGAAAAGACAGCTACCTATACTGATCCACTGGTCTCTGTAAGTAATCACATGATGCTATCACTTTGGAATAATTTTACTAGAATCTGTAAAAAGAAAAAAACTTAAAAACATTTCCTCTTTACAGGCTTAAAAAGAAATTCAAGGTGGTAAACCAAATTACAAAAAGGAGGAGGAAGAAGAAAAAGGCAGGAGGCGATCTTAAAACATTAGCTCAAAACATCCAAGCTCACTCAAAAGTCACTTCCTGTATAAAGGCCTCCACAGGTTGGTGAATCTAAACAGCGCCCCTGTCCTATGTCTTTATTTATATATTTACCAACTGTCTCCACCACTAATTATAACACAATGAGGTCAGGGACTTCCCCTGTGGAGTTCACTGCTATATATCTAGCACCTGGAAGAGTCTGACGTGCAATATGTATTTTTTGTTGAATGAATGAGTAAATGTATATCTTTCCTATCCTTAAAGGAGACCCGCCCCCCATCCCTGGAATCACTAATCATTGTAACATGCAGGCAATTGTGAAGTTATTGAATTGTAATTCACAACTGAGTTTTATATGGTCCCACTTCCTGCCCCTCTGCTCACCTGTGTGAGGCAGAGGGCAGTACTACTGGGGAATAACTAGTTGGAATTAGAGCAGCTAGCCAGCCTCTATTTGATTGCGGGGGGCGGGGGGGGGGGCGGGGAGAATGCAGGTTTGACATGAAATCTACTTGCCTCCCATGAATTGTCCCCCTCCAGGTTCAGACCCAGTCGCGGCCATCTGAATAGCCCTGCATTCTGCATCTACTTAACTGGCACCCTATGAAAAGCACCTTCCTCGGGGTCTTGGGATGGCTTATGTCCTCCTCTCCCTAGTCAAGGCCTTCAGTAGTCACATCCTCATCCATTTAACCCTGTCCACATACTTTATGCCAGGGCAGAGGTCATTTTGGCCTCCATAGCCATAGGAGAGATATCAATAGGACCAGATTCTCCTCTCCCCGAGTGTATGGTTGGGTCAGTGTGCCTGGGGGTGGGGCTGAGGTGTAGTTGGGGGGTGTCTTCATTCTGCAAACCTCTCTCACACATGGAACATACTTCTTGCAGCTCCCACAGAGAGACAGGCCCCTGTTCTGGGAGAAATTGAGCCTAGTAGCTGAAGGGAGAGCACAGCCCTGGGCCAGTACCTGACTCCAGACAGAAGCAGTACTCCAGGGGGCCCAGGGCCGAGGATGTGTTGCAGAAGATGGCGAAGCTCGTCAGAACGGTACCCTCCTCTGGAGTGATGGTGCAGGTGGGCACCTCAGGGGGAGGCACAGAGCCAACCACATAGGTGTCCTCCCCATAGGCATGCCTGGTCACCACTAGGGAGTGAAGACAGAGGGTGTTTGGGGGGCTGTGTGAGTCACACGAACTCCACCATGCTTCAGGATGGCCCGGGAGCTTGTTAAACATGAAGATTCCCAGGTTCCTCTCCTGACCCTGAGCCCTGGACCTCTCTGGAGGTTCTGGGGTGGAGCCCAGAAGTCTGTACACCTAACAACTCCCCCTGATGCAGGGTATTCTGGGATCTCACTTTTTGTGGGATTCCTTTTTTTAATGTTTGTTTATTTTTGAGAGAGAGAGAGAGAGAGAGAGAGAGAGCGTGCTCGCACAAGAGGGGGAGGGGCAAAGAAAGAGGGAAACACAGAATCTGAATCAGGCTCCAAGCTCTGAGCTGTCAGCGCAGAGCCAGATTTGGGCTTGAAACAACAAACTGTGAGATCGTGACATGAACTGAAGTCAGACACTTAACTGACTGAGCCACCCAGGCTGGATCTCACTCTCTGAGAGTCAGTTCTTCATCCATAAAATGGGGCTAATATTAGTAGCTTCCTTGAAGCTTTGGTGAGGAGGAAGTATATTGGGAAATGAAAGGACTTGCTTAAGATCACGGAGCTAGTAGGAAGGGCCACAGCCAGAATCTAGAAATGGGCTGACCCCACCCAAAGCCACACTCTTTCCAGGCTGGGCAGCACCACAAAGAGCCTACAGTTACCTGCACCAGCATCCCTCCCCACGTGATATTTCAAAAAAAGTATGTCCCTGGAAGAGCTGGGCGCGAAGAGGATTTTAATCAATTAAAGTGAATTCCTTGGCCTAGACCTAATTCAGAAGTTTGGGGCAAGCCTTGGAGTGTACATTTTAAACCAGTATCCCTGGTTGTCCCAGTATGTGTGGTCCATGTGCCACTTTGAAGAAATCCGAATCAACTGAATCTATCTGGAAAAGCGGAATCTCCCATTGTTTGTCTTCTTGAGAGTCCACATTTTCCAGCGTCCTGGCTAGTTCAAAGTGAGAATCGACCTGGTGGGACACGCAGGCTGCACCGCCCCCAGAATGATCTGTCTCATCCACCCTGCATAATGCAGTTCAGAGGCAGGAAATGGAGACACAGAGAGTTTAAATGCCTTGCCCCCCGCCCCCACCCCGACCCCAGCTGGAAAGTGGTGGCGATGGGGTTAACACTAGAGCCTGCGTATGGCCCCTGACCCTGCACTGAAGCCCCACATTTCTGAGCTCCTGGATCTGTCTTGGTTCACTTCCAGCAGACAGACGTGCCCATGCCGGAGCCTGCCGGGAGCCATCCGCACCTGTGGCTCTGATTCGGAGGGCCTGGCCCCGGGTCTGCAGGAAGGAGCTATTCAGCCGGAGAGTGGAGGTGTTGCTCTGAAGGAGGATTAAAGCACTGGGCCAAAATCCTTGCAGTCCACAGGCAGCAGGGAGAGACTCCGCCTGAAAGAGAGCACGGCCCAGGGCCCCCACGAGGCTGCAGCCAGGCTGCAGGGCCTCAGCAGGGCAGTGGTTCATTACCCCTGGGAGGCCTTCCAGATTTGTCTCTGCTGTAAAGGCACCGCCCACTTCCCCGAGTCAGCCCAAATACCCAATTTCCAGCCTTGTTTAGGTGCTTGTCTGAGGTCAGTTTCCCTTGAAGCAGAACCTGAGACGGGGATTGACGTGCAGGTCATTTCCTGCGGGAGGGCCCTTGGGAGAGCCAGAGGGGAGAGGGAGGCAGAGTAGGGCACAGAATGAAACTTGACGGGGGAGTGATTTCAGGAGGTGCCCAGCCAGTCTCAGCCTGATCCCACACGGAGTGACAGCCACACCACAGAAGTTACCTCACTTGTAGGCAAGGGGCCAGGGCCATTGGGTGCCCCCAGCCATCAGTTATTGGCCCGCGGTTCCTACACAGCAGCTGGGGACCGTGCATCAGCCTGGTAAGAGGGACCGGGCTGGACACCGGTAGCATCTCCTGTGATGTTTCTCCAATGTTTTTGCTCTCCGGCATCTGACCAGTGCCCTGGGTTTCCTCTGGGGAACACCTTCCAACCCCAGCCCTACGGGGTGCTTAGTACTGGGCATGTGACACAGGTCTGGTCAATCAAAGTGGGTGATTGGCGGTGTCCTCACCTTCTCCAGCGAGGTGTCATCTAAATACCAGTTGAACACGGCCTCTGCGGAGCCATCCCCCACGGTGACTCTGAGCACAGTGTCTTCCCTGGCATTCACTGGTCTGCAGTTCTCCTCACAGCTGAAAGGGAGACGGAGTGCGGAAGCTCGCTCAGGCCTCGTGGCCTGGTCTTTTGTCCAGTCCTCCTCAAGTCCTTTGAGAAGGTGGCACAGGGCCTTTCTTCCAGAGAAAGATGGAATAAAAGTAATCCCTGTCCCAACCCAAACCAGGTCCTGGCATTGGTCAAGGACATGATTTGTGCCCGACTGAATTCCCACTTCATTCAGTGTAGGACAGTGGCAGGGAAAGTGCGTGAAGTCCAAGGTCCTCAGATCCTGTCCCTGTCTCTTATGAATGGTCACCTTGGATGACTCACTTAAACTCTCTGAGCCTGTTTCTTCACCTGCAAAATGGGGAGTTAAGAACAACTTCTGTGACTCCTTCTAGCTCTAATAATAATAAAGGAATACTGTGGGTTTTATTGCCTGCATTCTACAGGTTAGAAATGATTTGCGTCATTACTGCCTCATCCAGTGCTTATCACAACTGTAGGAGCCACATATTAGAACTCCCTTATCACAGCCAGCAACCTGGCTCCCGGAGCCGCTGTGATTGGTTCCCAGTGACACGACTCCTGAGTGGGGGAGGGCAGCACGATCCAGCATGTCTAGATTCCAATCCGGGGCCTTCTCTACAGCATCCCGCTCCCTCCCTTGAGCCATCAAGGGCCAGTGAGCCATCACTTCGGCACCTGCCGCGTGTCCAGCCCTCCCCAGAACCTTCCGGTTGTAACTCCATCGCAGAGGGCAATCTCCCTCCTTCCGCCTTCATGTCTGTCCTAACACTGATGTGCCAGATATTCTCTATTTGTCCCCGCAGCCTGCTCTCTGTCAACTCTGTGGCCCTGAGCACCAGGAGGCTAATCTCTATAGACTATGTCACCTGCATTTCCATGCCGCTGGCATGGGCTGGGGATCAGAGGGTGATGGGGGGAGGGGGAAGAGGGCGTTTATTCACCATGGTCCCTGCTCCTTAGCAGGTGGGCTGCTGTTGGCAGTGGCTGTGTTCCTCTAGCCAAGTGCACAGCTCCTGGGGGGGGGGGGGGGGCACCTCCCCGCAGCTGCAGCTCCCAGGGTTCCCGCAGTGCCACCTCCCCCCCGCCTCCCCGGCTTACCTCTGCGGTCCTAAGAGGGAGAGTGGCTTCCTCCTGTTGCCCTGCTCTGCTGCACTGTCATCCCTGGCTTGGTCCTGTATCCTTGTCCACATCTGTCTCCCCGCCCCCCCACCCCGGTAGACCAAGCCACCTTGAACCTTCACTTTGATGAGTGCAAGGGCTCACACAGTCTCCCAGAGCCCCCTCGTGCCCTCCACCAGCCTGCTCTCCCCCTGCTGCCATGGCATTCTGTACTAGGACGTCATCGTGACATCAGCCTGCTTGCAACCCTTGGGTGGCTTTCCAGAGCTCTTCAAAATCATGTCTTTATTTACAACCCACAGGGTCCCACCAGAGCCAGGCCCTGCCCGTTTTCCCAGTTTCTTCTTCCCCCTCTGTCTCCCTCCATACTCGCCACACCAGCCTCTTTTACTTCTGGCTTATTCTGTGCTCCCTCTTTGCCGCCCCGTGTTCCCTCTCCAGCCCCCCTTTTGCTGCCAAGTTAATTCCTCTTCCCTCTTCATCTCGGCTGAGGGAAGCCTTCCCTGCATTGGCTGTTCAGTAAACAGTGGCCAAAGGGACATCGGTGCTGCGGGAGTTTGCTCTCGCGCCCCCACCTGACTCGAGGCCTGAGTTCCAGGGGTGCCGATATGTAGAGGCACCGCTCCTGGTTCTCCAGCTCCTCGCCCCTCCAGGTGGCCAGGCGCAGGGTGACAGCAGAACTGGGTGGTGGCAGGCAGGACGGAGGAAGCACCAGCTCCCTCTGGTCCACACGGAGCAGCTGCTTCTCCACACAGGAGTCCCACTGGGCCCAGCAGCGTCCTGGGAGAGGGGGACAAAGGCTGTGATCATCCAAGGACCTCTACGGTTTGGGGTTTGTGCAAGAAAAGAGTCATAGATAAGAAAAGCAGCTCCAAAGAGAGAGTTTGATTTTTAAAAACGGTCTCACTTGCAGGGTGCAGGGATAGTGCCACCGATGCTTCTGGGGGAAGTGAGCCATGCTTCACCCCGACCCTGAGCCGACCCACAGGGTATGTCAGCTTCTTTTGCACCAGTGACCTGGACTGATGAACGGGCAGCGACCTGGACTGATATGGCAGGAGAGAGGCGGGGCGGGGAGGGGGCTGAGGAGGGAAGGTATACAGCTCTGCCTGGGTGGGGGGGGGGGCAGCTTCCTGTCCCTGGTGTGACTCTCACACCATGCGGAAACAACTGTCCTCAGCTGTACGCCCCTGTGGGTACACTGGGGATCTGGGGGGCCATCTTCTTCACCTGGGAGGCCTCACGTCATCTGCTTTATGATACTGGCTTGGTAAGCTTCTGTGTCCCTCGCCCTTCGTCTGTGTTGATCAATGTTTATCCATCAGTAAGCTGGCTTCCCCCACCCCACAGTGTGGTAGTCCTTCACGGGACATGATCCGGGGTCAGGCTATCATCTCAACCACCCAAACTGTATACTTGTATCCTCTATGAATTCAGAGAGTGAGAACTAATAGTCAAAAGAATGTCCTGAGCACTTACCAATGGATATCAAAAGGCTTTACGTTTTATATGACTTTTGACCCAGTTATTCCATTTCTTGACATTTATTTATTTTCCTCAGAACTTATTTATGAAGATAACCCCAGATGCAAATAAAGGCAGAACTACAAAGATGTTCATTACAATGTTGCTTATATATGGACAAATAATTCAAAACAACCTACATGTCCAAAAAATAGGGCAGCAGTAAATAAATGACCATACGTCAACTGGACAGTCTATTATGCACTTACTCTATAATGAAATCAAGGTGAAGAAGATACCATGGCATTAAAATACACAGGATGTATTGTTCAAAGAAAAAGAACTCATAAAAATGATACATGAGGTATGGATGACATTCGTTTCCAAAAGAAAGTGTACATAGCTGGGGTGTGTCCCTCTAAAGGACAGCTGTTTCTGAGAAATGGGTACTGGTGCTGTCCTGTTGCTTTGTCAGAAAATGCCTCCTCGCTTCTAGACTCTCTTCCCAGGGACAAGGGCAAGGGAGTGACCAGAGGGACCCACCTAAAGGGGAGGAGTTGTTTTGTTTCTATCACTGATGTTGTTTGTGGTGAAAATAAAGCCTATTGACTTTTAAGGTTAATTCTCTAAATGCATCTCTGTGTTGCCTGCCTTTAGGGCTCCCTCTGGCCTTTGTTTCCCACTGCTCCCCCCCACCTCCCATTTCCACGGAATTCTCAACCTCCGGCACATGCAAAGTACACAAAATGTCAGGCATAAGTAATGCCTGTGTGGGGAAAAAAAAAAAAAAAGCAAAGCTGACCTCTATCCATTACTTTGTGGTGAGATAGGACAGTTCCAGAGCTCTAAGGCCACCTACCACATGACCACTGGAAGCGTAAATCCTTGTCCCTGTCTGGCCAGCCCAGAGTCACGGTCGTGAAAGGATCCACATACTGACCAGGCTCCACGTACACCTGCATGTCCCTTTTCTCTCTCTGCAGAAAAAGCAGCTGGCTGGTGAGACGCCCTCCACAACTGGTACCCGACCTCCTACCCAACAGTAGTCTGTGCGAACGGTAGTCGCAGCATAGGGCGTGGATTGGAGACAGACCCTCTCTGATCTGCCTGGCTTCCCTCCGGAGATGGGTCACGGTAAGTAACTTTAGTCCGAACGTGGGCTCAGTGCTAAGCGTCCACCATGCATCCAACTATTACCAGAGCCTGCTCTGGGCCAGGCCTCGTGCTTGATGCCTGGAGATACAAGATTAGAGACTGGGGCCTTGCTCTTACGTCTAGGAGGGAAGATGGACAAAGAAACCAATGACTAAAGCAGAGTTCTAGCTGCTACAATAGAGGGGATGGGGCAGAGAATTATGAGAACATGTAAGAGGGAGGCAGTAGGTTGAGAACATCTGCTCCTCTGAAGGCTTGGTAGCATCTGATGCCTGGGTTGCCGCGGATTAAGTGAGAGAAGCTAGTGATGTGTGTCCTCTTTTGTCTGGTGCAGAGGAGAGCGCAGAGCTGTGACCTCTGTAAGGCTGACAGCCAGTGTTGGGGCAAGCTTCCCCAGAGGACAAGACCGCAGAGCTGTTGTGAAAGAGGAGGGATGAGGGTGAGCTGGGTAATAATGGAGCCCATGGGTTCTAGGAGGAGGGATTGGCGGGCATAGGGTGTGCTCCTGGAGTAACTGCAGGCAGGACCTATCAAACAGCGAGGCCTAAAGGGCTTAGCCTGGTGTAGCAGGAGGCTACATGGCAGAGCTCAACCCTCAGTGGTCTCCCATGGCCTGTGAATAAAACCCAAACCCGTGTCTTGGCACCCAAGACCTGATGTGGTCGGGCCTCTGTCCATCTCTCTGTAATCTCCTGTATGCTTCCCCTCCCCCCAGAAGGCCTCAGGACACTTCTAGCCTTGGGGCCTTCATATCTGTGGACCCAGAAAACTATTGCTCTGCTTTCCAGCATGGCTGACTGTCTTATCTTCAGGTCCCCACCTGAATGTCACATGTCAGATTCAGAGAGGCCTCATCTGATCACATTTGCTAGGCCACCCTGTGTTGGTTGCTGTCACTACATCCTGTTGCTTCTGGTTAGACACTTACCACAACTGCTAATCCACTAAGCTCCAAGAAGGCAAGGGCCACAGCTGTTTATTCACCTTTGTATCCCTGGTCCCTAGCACCCGGTCCTTGGACATTGCAGATGCACAGTCTTTGTTCTTGAATAAGTACATGCATGGGGAACGTCAACAGCGAGAAGTCGAGGACTTAGTCTTGCTGTGAAAACTGAGGAACCTGGGCCTGTTTTCTAATTTAAGCATTAACAGCTATAAATTTCCCTCTGAATACTGCTTCAGCTGCATCCTACAAATTTGGATAGGTTATATTGTCATTAACACTCAGAAATATTTTTATTTTTCCTTGTGAATTTTTTCTTTGACCCTGTTGATTTTTTTAAGTGTGCTCTTTGACTTCTGAGATGTCTAAAAGGTATGTACATATCCCAGATATCTTACTGTTGGTTTGTAATGTAACGCCGTTCTGGTTGGAGAACATGCTTTGTGTGATTTCAGTCCTTCTGGATCTCTTTTCAAATGGAAGAAATCTCCATGCCTCCTAGTAATCTGGCTATAAGCACCAGTAAACCAAAATTCAAAACTAAAGCAGAGTGCTCAGACCTCTTTTTCTTGTGAGGTTAAGTGTTTAAAAATCAGAACAAAACAAGACAACTCACATTCTTTTCCTTGGCATTTGTTCCAGACGGTTCTTGCACACTGGCAGGAGCTGTGAACACAATGAGAGCAGGCGTCAGACTTTGGTAGGTGTTTATAAGGTTACCAAAGGGCAGAGTTGGAGGGTGTGTTGCATATGCCCGGGGGAGATCACCTGTCTTGGGAAATGGGTTAGGGAAATTTTGCAAACATTCAGGTCATAGAAATGGGTAAACACCCAAACCGTCATGTCCACCACTGGACTGAAGACATCTCTTTGGTTGTTAAGAAAGAGGCAGGCAGTTGCCAGTGCAAATAAAACACAAGATTTAGAGATAGACATGCAGCTGTATGCTGTTAATGTTTAACTACCAGTTGAAGGGTGGGTAGTGCAGAGCCCTGATTTGTACCTTTTGCTACTTCCTGTGGTGTCGGTATTCCCATGAAGGCAGATTTCAGGCTACCAAGCTGACCTCAGTGAATATAGAGCAAGAGATGGACAGACCAGCTTTGGCAAGCTGCTAGGGGCCGGCCTCCGCACACCACAGTGCATTTCTGGGTCTTTCTGTTGGCCTCTTACTGGCTGTGTGAACCCAGGCAGATTAGTCATTCTTTCTGAGCGTTCGGTTCCTCACCCACAACAAAAAGCAATCCCTATTTCTCAAGGCTCCAGGAGGGCTGACTACTGGCTGTGCTTATATACCATTGCTTTATAATCTACGTACATCTATAAAGAGTGTTAGTATAGCAAGGTAAAAAAAGAGGAAAATGTACACTCAATTGATATGCCCTGAAAATCATTGAGATGTGAATGTGGTTAATGTCTAGTTGAAGTGTAGTGATTAAGACAGGAATGTATTTTATTTGCACTGGCAGACCCGTGGGAGTCATCAGGCCCTAGTGTCCTGATTAAGATCTGGGTGCTGTTGATCTTTACAAAACTCTCTCCCAGTGAATTCTCATTCTGAGAACTCTCACTTTGAAGGTCTATAAAATTATGCAAAGCAAAGCTAAGATGCCAGACAGAGGCCCTTCTTAATCTTAAGAAGGACGATAGGCCAATAACCCTGAATGAAGAGATCAGGAAAAGCAGTTGCTGCCTCTGATCCTGCTGTGATTTAGCTGAGTGACTTTTGGAAAGTTCACCTCTCTGGGCCTCAAATTCTATATGTGGAAAAGGAGGGCTGTGGACAATACCCCCGGCATCGGACGTCCCCCCCCCCAATCCAGACATCTGTGCCCCCTTCTTTTGATAACAGCCCTTACAGGCGATACTTTCCCCGAGGAACCATCCCTCCCGCACTCTCAGTCCTTGGTTTGGGTGATGCCAACCCCACAGCGTGGTCCAGGTGGGCATGTGACCCTGGCCTGCCCAAACTGAATACCACTTTTCCCCTGGTCTCAGTACTGGGTCAAGGAGCGAACATGAACCGAGCTTGGACCAGGAAGAGGCAGCCTCAGGACTTCTGCTAGAAGTGTTAACAAAGAGGGGCTCCTTCTCTGGGGTTAAGGATCAAAGCCTAGGGCCATCTTGCTACTGATGGGAAGAGGGAATCAGAATGAAACCAACATAGAACCAAGAGATGGGGAGAGGCAGATTTCTGACGACATTGAGTGACTGGATCCAGCTGTGCCTTTTCAAGTTGATAAAATTTCCCTTTGGGTTGAGCCACTCTGAACGGCTTTTCTGTCCTTTGCTACTCAAGGAGTCCTGGCAAACACATGGGCTGTGGACTTTCAGCTCTGTGACTTTAAGCTACTGTTGGCTGCCTACCCACCAGTCATTAGCCCACCCTTCTTAGCCGCCAGAATCCACTTCTCCACAGAGCTGGAGGTGCAGGACACTTGCTTCCCAGCACCCCTACAGCTCAGGTGCATGACCCTGATGGTGTCTGCTGGGGACTTGTGGGGAAAACCTCCCCGCTAGTAACAACTGCTGCAGAGGGGAAAACAGGGGAAACGTTGATGAGACACAACCCTACAGACAAAGCAGAAACTCTGAGAATGGCAGAACAGAATAGCAGACTGAGCCTGAGTCCTTGCTGGTGACACTGGGCCACTGAACCAATCTAGGAACCCCTTACTTCCTAACTTCTCAGTATGTGAGATAATAACAACCTGAACTCAAAGCCACCTAGGTTGGGCCTCCTGTTGCTTGAAACCTAAAGCAGCAAACTTGGGATGTTTTAGAATTCTGTAAGAACGGTTGAATGTTTTACTGTGTTCATTACTGCCCCTTTAGAGTTAACGAGAGAATTCTTAAAATCTACAGAGCAAGGTAAGTGTTCAGAGCTCTGTTTTGAATAGTCCCTCCCCGAATCCCAAGCAAGTGCAGTGACCCAGACTGCTGGTTGCAAGTTTTATAGCCCCTTACAGAAACTCCTTGCCTGAAACAGTGATGCTTCCAATGTCCAGACTCAAGTTTGAGAAGGCATTCCTCACCGTCACCGTGACCAGAAAGGTGCCTGCAATGCAAAGGGTGGAGGATGATGGGTGTTGCCATAAGTTGTTTAACTTGTGTCAAGACAGCTCTCCCAAGCTTCTGCTTCCTGGTCTGCTGACAGCTGCATTTGAATCTTTCATTCTCTGTGCATTTAATGGACCCCTGTTGTATACCAGGCATGGTGCAAGGCTCTGAGGACACAGAGGTGAATGAAACGTGGTCTTTGTCTTCAACATCCTTATAGTCTAGTACACTTGCAGGAGACCAGGTGCCAAGCCATGGCAAGAATTGGCGTGGGAGCCAATGTGCACATGGTCACTGCATTGATCGTGGCTCATGGCAAGGCTAAAGCTAAAGTTCAAAGGACAAGTAGTGCTCATTAGATGACAGAGGAGATTCCAGCAGAAGAAAGGACATGAGAGGCCTTTAAAAAGATTGGGGGCCAGAGAGGGGAAAGAAGGGTTTGTAAGATATATTCAGGGTATGTGTGTATCCCACCCGCTCCTGCCTCATGAGGAAAGGTGGTATGGGTGCTAGCTTCTTTTCTCGAGCCCAGAGAGGAGCTCATCAGAGGGGACCATGGGGAAGGTGGAGATGTGCTCCTTTAGATCGGGGACGCCTATGAACAGGTTCCTTTCTCACACCCTTGAAGGATGGTCTGTGACAGGGAGTGGAGTGAGAGGGAGGATGGGAGGGAAGAAAGAGCTCCATTTTTGTATTTGGAAAACTACTGGTAGCTGGCCAAATGAAAAGCGAGAATTTTCTGAGGACCAGATGTTTGGCTTGCCCTCCCCACCCCGCAGAAGCCAGGGACACAACAGGGGCTCAAAAGCCCACAGAAGCTGCTGCAAGAGGCAGCTGCAAACATCTGCTGGGCCCGAGGAGCAAGGCCTGCCAGGACCGGGCCAGGGCTGCCAAGTGAGGGTCTTCCTGCCCTACCTGGTGCCCTTTCCTTTCCCCTCACCCCCTTCGTCTCTGCAGGCGTCCAAATCTGTTTCTTGTGGGGAGAAGCCTACTTATCATCTAAGAGTGAGCCAAAACTTCACAGGGCGTTAGAGATTTTAGCTATTATCCCCTGCCAAGCGACTTTTGTAGAAGACAAAAATTAATTTGCATTTGAATTCTAGCCTATATACTGTGTATGTTTTCCACTGTCATTTCATTCCACTCTGGATTCTTCCTGTTCCAAGCTGGACCTTTGATACCTGGCGCAGTTGCAATGTTTTTCTTCTCAAGTGTGTCATTTAGCCTGCTATCTGTATTGCTAAATCTGCTGCTTGAGGGCATGGTAGCCCCACACCAGCACAGTATTTTATATACTTCTGAGATCCGTGGGAAGGTAGGCAGGGTGCTTGGTGGGCTGGGGACTCTGTGACCCTCATCGCATCCCTGGCTGCTGACTTCACCACCTTGCTTTGAAGGACTCCTGTTCTCTCCAGATTAAATGCAAATGTCTGCTCTAGTCTCCTCCCTTGGTGCCAGCCAGTCTGTCACCCTATCTCTATTCCAGCCAGCATCATGACATGACACTTCCTCTCTTGTCCTTCCCTCTCCCACCTTGTTTTTATCTCTCTCTCCCTGAAGGGCATGGACTGCAGTTTCCCCCGAAACCACACTCTCCTCTAGAAATGATGGAAAAATTGGAATCCTCCAGCTCTCCTCCAGTGGTTCTCAGTGGGGGAGATTTTGCCACCCAGGGGACAGGTGGCCATGTCTGGAGGCATTTCTAGCTGTATGTAGGAGGCTGGTGCTACTGATGTCTAGTGGGTAGAGGCCAGGGATGGCAATAAACACCCTACAGTGTGCAGGACAGCCCCCACAACAACAGCAACACAACAAAAAATGATCCAGCCCCAAACATCAGAAGTACCACAGTTGAGAACCCCTGTGACTCTAAGCTCTGAGGGCAGATCAGATGTCTCTTCTTATTTTGTGGCCAAGGCTGGATGCTCTGAACCACATTTGTGTCCAGAACACACAGACACAGGCTGGCAGGATCCTGCACACAGAGTCAGGAGAGGAAGAGGAGGGACCTTTGGGAGGGGACCCACCCACCCCAAGTACCTTCAAGAGGAACTGCCACAGAGTAAATCCCAAATGGCCCCTCAAGGCTCTCTTCTTCATGGGAGAAGGTTGCAGTGAGTCCTGCCACTTCAAAGGTCAGCCTCTCTGGTGTGCCACGAGCCACTGAGACGTTGACCAGTAGGTCTTGTCCAAGCTCCAAGTGGTCAGAACCCCAGGAGGCCCGTAGCCCTGACAGAGGCTCCACAAAGTGGACTGTGATGTTCCTGGAGGGAGCAGAAGTGGTGTTGCTGGTGGCTCGGATCTCCAGGTGGTGCATCCCTGGGCCCATCCTCTGCTGGGTTGCTCTGTCTAGGGTCAGGTTGTAGGGTAGCAGGCCGCTTGGTGTGGTGAACTCAGCCAGGGTTGTATTCCCCGACAGCACCGTGTAAGTCACGCCTCTTCCTATGTGGGGTAAGAAATATTTAAGAATGTTGGCAACAACCATGCAGTAGACTGTACTGAGATAGTTGAGACTCAAGCTCTGAGGTCAGGTTCGGGATATAGACATGGAGACAGTATAGCCGTGAAGACGTGTGGAGGGATAAGGCCCACCCGCAGGTATTAACAGTGATGATCTCTGAGTATGGGGTTTATGAGTGATTTTTCTTTTTGGGTCCTCTCTGCTCATCTGCATATTCTGCTTTATACTCTGCATGTGTCACCCATAAACTTAAAAGTTTGTAATGAAAATACAAGAACTAGAACATTTTGTTGACAGGTTTGTCCTTGGAGGGTGGAAGACTAAAAAGGGAGCATCTCCCAAAGTGTGGCTGATTGTTATGCATGAGAATTAGCCTCCAGCCTTGTTCTAAGCCGGTTCCTTCCACCTGGGGAGAGGGGGTCCACCGGAAACCCTGCACCACAACTCAGCCTGTTCACCTTGAGATGGGCTCCCTTGTAGGTTGGGGCTGGCAGCCCTAACTGGATGCTAAATATTGTGGTTGACTCTAAAACTCTGATTTAAACCAACAAATTAGGATTCTTTCCAACAAAAACCAAGCTAGGGTATTTCTTGTTTGAGCGAAGACGAAGTTAATGATGATGATAAAGACCATGATGATGGTGCCCTCTGACTCCCATGGTTCTGCTCTCTCTCTCCACACTTGGCAAACAGTAGGCAATAATATTTGTAGAATGAAAACATAAATGAAGGATAATTTTAGGTTTCCCTGGTGCACATAGGAGCCGTTTTTGGCCAACAAGTGCACCGGGACAGAGAGGAGCCCCGAGGAGTGTGTTAAAGGACCCTGTGTTTGAGCTCCGTTATATCTCTGCTGGGTGAGGCTCCAGGAGCTGTGAGGTCAGACTGAGCCACGTCTTCACCTCTGCAGCTCTGTGCCACGCAGTTTACCCCAACAGGCTTCTGTCAAGATCTCAAACCGGACCCGTGCCTGGAAGACAGATGGTGCCCCAGATGCGGATGGGTCTTAGTTGGTAGGGTCTCCACTGAGAAAAGGGAGGATACTCAGCATGTTTAACAACTCAAAGTACACGGTCCCAACCAAATAGGATGGATGTTCTGATAAATCAGAACGAACACTGTGACCAATCAGAACAGATGCTGTGACCAATCAGAAAGGACACTTTGACTAATCAGAATGGCCTCTGTGACCAATCAGAAAAGAAACTGACCAATCAGAAGAGACACCAGCCATAACAGCTGCTATGGCTGTCATAGTGTGTGTGGCTCCACAGCAGTCCTGACTGGGGGCAGCATGTTTGTGCCAAGCTGGTCAACGCTGGCCACACTGGCATGGGCACAGGCCCAGCTGGTAGCTCTCCCCATCCTATTCAAGTTTCCCAACAAGGAGTGACTTGGAAATTTCGTTCTGATGGGAGTGTGGTAAAGAAGGGCATCCGGAAGATATAGAGCTTCACTTAGCTTACTAGCCTTGTGACTTCAAGCCAATTTCTGAACCTTCCCTCCATTTCTTCATCTGTAAAATGGAGATGATAATAGTACCTACTGGGGGGGCTAGGACATATAAAGCACTCAGATCAGTTCCGAGCACATACTAGGTGCTAAATAAATTGAATAGCTAAAAAGCTAACTGGATACATGAGTGTTGTTAGTATTTATTAAAGTCTGGGAGGTGGATGGATAGATCTGGGGAAAATCAAGTTTGCTTTGACCTTGACCATTTCTGTAGACTCACCTCCATCAAGTACCACCTGAATCCACAGTGGTTCTCCGAAGATGGCACGGCAGAGAGGGCTGGCTCCCACCATGGACAGGCTGGAGCACCCAGTCACACTGAGCCTTTCCATCTTGTCTCGGATTGTCACATGCTTCTGAGCCATCACATGCCACTCACTGGTTGTGCACTCGGCAAACACAGTATATTCCCCAGGGGCTGTGAACTGGTGGATCACGTTGCTGGATAAACTGCCAGCAATAGTCAGTGTTAGCAATGTTGGGGACACACAAACACATGCATTCACACACATGTGTGCACATATGCACTCACCGACCTTGCACCTCCCCCGCCCTGCAAAGATAAACAGATGAAGAAAGAGATGCTACATGTCAAAGTTCTTGGTGTTCACAAAGGTCATGTTGAGATGTCTAGAGCAGGTGGGAGTGGAAGAAATAGCAGTGACCAATCGGGGAGACAAATATTTGGTTACAAATCCTTTTTCTGCTATTTATTTCCTCTGTGGCTCACGTAAATCTCCTCTCATCTGTAAAATACTATGCCCCAGCCTACCTTTCTGAGCCTTATTTTCCCCACCTATAAAATGGGATCATATTCCAAATGTATCAGAATGGTGGATGTTTAGCTTCTCATTTTCCTGAGGGAACTAATTGAAAATCTTTAACATGGCCTGTACAGACCCACATAACCTCCCTTCCTGGCCTCACCCCCATCTTCTGCCACACCCCTCCAACTGTATGTCTGCTCAGACCTCTTTTCAGTTTCTGGAATGTACCACCTTCTGACTGCCTCAAGGCCCGCAGGTGTGCTGTTGCTGGTGTCTTTGCTGGGAACGCTCTTGCCTCATCCCTCTGCTCACACTCATGCTGCTTCTTTGGTGCTCAACTTAAACATCACCTCCTCAGGGAAGCCCTCCTTAGGTTCCCAATAAAGGCAATGCTATAGCTTCACTGCTTCTCCTGGGTGACATTCCTTGTGTGCTTGCTCTGTCACTGTCATTCTTCTCCGCCAGGTCGTCAGCACAGACGGTGTCTGTCTAGATCTCCATTATCAACCTGGCACCCAACATAGCACCTAGCATAGAGTGCATGCTGAGAAATATTTGACAAATGAGCATATTTGTGAAAAAGCTTGAAAACAAACCAGATTTTTGGTGCTGGCCAAGAGGAGTAAAGCCACCACTATCTCTTCCATTGATTACAACTTAAAACCTGGGCACAATTCAAAAAGAAATTTCCTGAGGACTATGAAAAGTAAACAACAGCAGACAGATTGGGGAGGAAAGTCCAAACTTCAAGAATTATCCATAAAGATGGGATTTTCCTGTTTTGTGTCTTTTTTCGTTTTTAATTTCCTTTATCACTTGGCTTTGTCCCTAGGGTAGCCTCAGTCATGAAACTGCACAATGAATGAAGAAAACAAAAACTCCAAGAGAAATCCCCTCTGTTCAGCCAAGAGACCCAGCCTCCCACATTACTGGAATGTCTTTGTATAACTAAAGTCATAGCCCAGCTACAGACAGTCGATTTCGACAAATGCCAAATGCAAGTTGTTTAAAATGTGGGGACTGGGGGCGCCTGGGTGGCTCGATCGGTTAAGTGTCCGACTTCGGCTCAGGTCATGATCTCATGGTTCGTGGGTTCGAGCCCCGCGTCTGGCTCTGTGCTGACTGACAGCTCAGAGCCTGGAGCCTGCTTCAGATTCTGTGTCTCCCTCTCTCTCTGACCCTCCCCTGCTCATGCTGTCTCTCTCTCTCTCTCTCTCTCTCTCTCAGAAATAAATAAAACGTTAAAAAGTTATAAAAAAATAACCAAGATAAAATGTGGGAACTGGACGATTGTGCAGCTTAGCATTTGCTGTTTTTTCGTTGCCATGGTCGCAAACGGTAAGAAACCTGCACAAGAAGGCTGTGGGTATTTGTATCACTTAAACATTTTTCCTCCCAAAGCATCTTCACGTGTAATTTCTCATTTTACTCCACGAAACAAGAGAGCCATCAATATTAATGCGGCAGGGAAGGAAATGGAAACCCAAGACCGGAAATTACCTCACACATGTGAGCAGCAGCTGGGATTAGAACCTTAGCTTCTGGGCACACAGCACGGCGCCTGAGGCCTCAGAATGCTGTCGAGTTTGAAATCTGCACTCACAGGGTCAGCTCTGGGCCATGGACAGGGCTGGCCCCTCTTGGCTGCCCCAGCCAGGCCTTCCAGCAGTGCTGAGCACGTACAGGACTGGATTCAGAGCCTCCAGCTCCCCACAGGATGGAACTGCAGATGTTTAGGGTTAGGAACAGGGCTTACGAGCCTCCCTGACTTCCCTGGGGATTCATGTTGAACCGAACACCCCTGTAAGAAGCCCCCAACCCAGTGAGCATCTGGAAGTTCTGGATTATTCTGGGGATACCCAGCAGAGCAGAACGGAGCTTACCCGAGGCCCGGGTAGGGCTTTGAAATGTTATTAATTGAGTTCAGCTGCCATGAGGCCAGGGGTGGGGTGGGTTATGCTCCCCTAGAGGATGCAGAGTCCAGTGCCTTCATGCTGTGTAATCTACCAGGGGCCTGAGAGCCTCAGATCTGATGCCACAAAGCCCTGACTGGCGTCACCGCATTGCCACTCACAAGCTGTGTGCCTTGGGCACTGCCACGGTATCTCTCTGAGCCTCAGCTGCTTTGTCCATAAAAACAAAATGATAATTACCCAGCTCAGCACTGACCAATAGAAATACAGTGTGCACCAGCTGTGTGTATGTTCTAATAGCCACGTTGAAAAAGTAAGAATAGGTAAAATAAATAAATTTTAAAATAATAATAATTTATTTTCTTTAACCCAATATATCCAAAATATTTTCATTTCAACATGTAATCAATCTTTAAAAATTATTGAGATACTTTACATTTTTTAGGAGAGGTTGGTGGTGGGGGCTAAATTTTCAAAATCTCATATGTATTTTACATTAACAGCGTATCTTAATTAAGACCTGCCACATTTCTAGTGCCCAGTAGCTTATGTAGCAAGTGGTTATTCTGCTGGCTAGTACAGCTCTAGCCGATAGGGTTTGTAGTGTGGATTAAGTGGGATTATATGTGAAAGCTGCTTGGCTGGACCTTTTTTTTTTTTTTTTTTTTACAAATAGTAAATTTTACAAATCCTGAACCCATATTCTGCAGCAAAGAAAAAATAAATCCAAGGGTTCAAGATCCTTGGGGACAGAATCATTTATTCCATTGAAATACCTTATTTTTTTTTTCTTCTAATGTGTTCAGTTTCTTCTCTAACCCAGTCCTGGTGCTGCTTTTATTTGAAGGAATCTTAAGGATCAGATTTACCCAGCCTTGACCTAGACCTTTAATAACCTTTTTTTTTTTTTTTTTTTACAAATAGTTTGTCAAATTAGTTTCCACATAACACCCAGTGCTCATCCCCACAAGTGCCCTCCTCCATGCCCATCCCCCCTCCCCCCCACATCCATCAGTCCTCAGTTTTTGTCAGCATTCAAGAGTCTCTCATGGTTTGCCTCTCTCCCTTTCCCCCACCATTTCCCCCCTTCTCCCCCTCGTTCCTCAGTTCAGTTCCTCCTAATCCTCCTATACATGCAAACATACGGTATTTGTCCTTCTCTGCCTGACTTATTTCACTCATTGGCTGGACCATTATTAATAGTGCTACTATTCTTCTTTATCATTCTTACCAACAGAACACATTCCCATGTCCAGGTGAGCATGTATTTCACCTCATTACCAACTCCTTGGACAGTGACCCAGGAGAGATTCTACACAGAGCCAAGCCGTAAGGACCCAGCTCTTCACGACTGGTCACATGGCCTCCGTACTGCCACTCCTCCCCACTCCTGTATGTATGCTCCTTTGTGCTGTGGCCCTGTCGTGCCTTCCATCAACAGGTAGAGTCTCTTTCTCCACCTGTAGACCCTGGGCGTGGCCATGGAACTTACTTTGGCCAATAAGACATTAGAAAACGTGATACAAGTAGAGATTTGAAGAGTTTGCACAGTAGGCCTTGTTCTCACTTGCCGCTAGAAACCTTCTGCCACCATGCCAGTGAGGCTAGGCTAGCCTGTTGGGTGGTAAGCACTGCATGCCCTTAGCCAATATTCAGCTAACCACCAGACATATAGGTGAGGACTTCTGAGGCCGCCCGCCCCCATCTGGGCTGGCCCAGATAAGCAAAGCCATCTAGCTGACCCAAAGAGCCATGAGGAATAATAAATATCCTAAGCTACTAAGCTTTGGGATGTTTCGTTATGCAGCAGAAGCTGACTGATACATCCTGACTCAAGGCTCAGAGATTCCTCTTACCTGGGAGGGTAGAAGGGATCAAAAGTGTGGCCATCTCCTGTACTAATTATACATGAAAGGTTTCCGATGTAGGGAGAGAGGAGCCATGTCAAGGAGATGGTGACATTGTCAAAGATGAAACTCTCATTGGACACCATCAGCTGCAGGCCTACAGATCAAAAAGGAAAATGCTGTGTGGCATCACAAAGCAAAATTGCATGCCTCTGTTTAAAACATACTCCCTTCTATCCACCTGTCTTTTATCTTTAGGTGGGGCTTTTTAAAAAGTGTTTTAAATTTCATTTTATTTTTACTTTTTTTTTAATGCTTATTTATTTTTGAGAAAGAGTCAGAGAGACAGAGAGAGACAGAGGAATGGGAGGGGCAGAGAGAGAAGGAGACACAAAGCCGAAGCAGGCTCCAGGCTCTGAACTGTCAGCACAGAGCCTGACGTGGGGCTTGAACCCACGAACCATGAGATCATGACCTGAGCCAAAGTTGGACGCTTAAATGACTGAGCCACCCAGGTGCCCCTTTAAAGTTCTTTTGAATTTTATCTTTCATTCATAGGTAACACATGACTAAGGTACAGAATTTGAAATGTATAAAGGGCATGAGAAGAAAGCCTCCCTCCCCTGTCATTCTCCTGTGTCCCCAGAGTCAGTCATTGTTACCAATATCCCGGATCACCTTCCAGGGATACCTACACATTCCAAGCACACACATACTTTTATGTTCTTACAGATGGTGCACACTGTGCTCACTATTTGGCACCTTCCCTTTTTTTTTTTCTTCCACCTAGTATATCTTGGAGATAGTTCTGTATGAACTCAAAGCTGCCTTGTTCTTTTTAATAGCTACACAGTGTCCTCTAATTTATTTAACCAGGATTCTGTTGATTGTCTAAATGTATATCATCATGTTTAAAAAGACAAAAATGCAAATCACCTTTAGAAAGATCTCCTTGGCTAAGGTGGCCAAGGATTCATTGTGAGGCATTTAGTGCACATTATTTTACAAAACCTGAGCTTTCAAAACTGGCATGGAGATCAGGGAGGGGCATAGAACTTGCTGGGGCTTTACACAGCCCCAGGCTAATTAATTTGTGCCACAGATTCTTTCAGTTTCTGAGCACAAATGGAGAAGAAAAAAGAGAAAAGAAGCTGAATGCACATGAAAAGGCCTTTTTCTGAGCTAGTCGGAAAGTCTTCGTGGTCCCGATTCACAGCCGCCTGAGGAAACTCAGGCAGCAGCAGGGGCTTTCTGGGCACTGTGGCAGGGGGCATGGGGTCGGGGACTGCTGGCTAGGGTCTCTCCCTTTACAAATCAGAAACACTGATCAGAGCACACCGGTTCCCAAGGGGCAGGATATTTGAAATCGAAACCAGTGCAGAAAATTTGGTCCGGGGTCACCAGACTCAATACACCCTCTGGCCTAAGTGATGCATTTGTCCAGTGACGGCCACACTGCGACGGGCAGATCTCCAAAGGGCACCCTTTGTCCATTAGCAAAACCACCAAATGGAAAGCACTGCCAAAACACGTGGCCTCTCCTTCCCAGAAAACAGAATGAAGACATCCTGCTCCCTCTCACTCCTCCCTGGCGCGCCCAGGACACTGACGGCACCAGTAGAACTTGTCTTCTCTGTGCAGTGTCCCGCCTCACAGACCCTGCTGTCCTGGATTGCCCCTGGGGCCCCCAGCATTCCCTGACTCGCTCTTTCCCTTCAGAGCTCCCTGCACCATCACTCATGTCCTCCGTGGGAGGTGTGTCGTGACCGATTCCCTGGACGATGGCAGAATGTTGCCTTAGGGGAACGCAGTGCTCTGATATGCTGTTAGTAGGCGTGCAGATCAGTGCGGCCACTTAGGAGTGTAATTTGGCAATTTCTGTGAGCATTTAAAGTGCACATACCCTGTGACCCAGAGACCTCTCCTCTGAGCAGAATCCAGCACATGTCAAGATACATGCACGAGAATGAGTGCAAAGTGATACCTAACAGCAGAAGATCAGAAACAGCCTAAATGTCCATCAACAGGGGGCCGCTTCAATAAGTTTTGACATAATCTTATGATGGGACACTATGCAGTCATTAAAAGAATAGATAGTGACTTGGAGAGATGTCCAGAATATATTATTAAGTAAAAAAAAAATTGAGCTGTAAACTAATATATTTAACATGATTTTAATTTACGTATATACAGCCATGTCTGAAAAGAGTTTAGAAAGCAAGGAAGTAGGGCCCCTGGGTGGCTCAGTCACTTAAAGGTCCAACTCTTAGCTCAGCTCAGGTCATGATCTCACGGTTCAGGAGATAGAGTCCTGTGTTTGGCTCTGTACTGACAGCTCGGAGCCTGCTTGGGATTCTCTCTCTCCCTCTTTCTCTGCCCCTTACCCACTCATTCTCTCTCTCTCATAAACAAATAAACAAACAAACATTAAAAAAATAAAGAGCAGGAAAGGACTTAACACTAAACACTTAACAGTGGTTTCCTTATGAGTAGGACTGGAGAATTAAAGGGAGGAATTCTTTCTTGATTTATAAAACTTTTATAAGTTGTGGTTATACAAGCTATTTTTGTGACTTTCGAGTTTTTAAAAGTCTATGCATAATCTAAAATGCAGTTTACAGGAAGGGCGGTGGTCAAGGTGGGTATGGGGTGTGGGAATGAGATCTTTAGACTTTGTTCCATCAAGCAATGTTGGTCTTATCTGATGTGTTTGTCGGGTTTTCCAGGAAATTTAATTTCTGGCTTGACAGTTCATTTCTGCAACCGGAGCCTCAAACTCTTTACCCCAAGAAGCTAAGTCAGGTGAGGAGGCCAGGCTGCAGGGGGGACTGAGGAAGTTTTAGTACACAGATCGGCACCCAGGAGTGTCCGCTCCCTCTGCTCCAAGTGGGGCTGCACCTGGTGTGGAAATCAGGGAATTCCCATGTCCAGGCAAGCTGGAAACTCACCTTCCTGGCACTGGTACTGCACCCACAGGTAGCTGCCCTGGGTGGGGCACAGGTCCCTGAAGTGGGTCCCATCTGCGGCCACCTGGCACACCTGCAGCCCCTGGCACTGACCTGGGAAGTGCCCGAATCCCAGAAGAAGCAGGAATAGCAGGAAGGACAGAAAGGGACAGGTTCAGTCAGAGATGAATGACCTCTCATTCATTCATTCATTCATTCACCCACCTTCTGCCCAACAAATCTCTGCTGGTGTCCACAGAAGACCAGGCAGGGGACTAGGTCCTAGGGGGAGAAAGAAGTAGGATTCTTTCCCTCAAGCTGCTCAGGGGCCAGCACAGGGGTTCTCAAATCTTAGAATATGCCAGAATCTTCTGGAAGGCTTTGGAAGACAGAGATTTCCAGGCCCCAACCCCAGCACTTCTGATTCAGTGGGTGTAGAGGTCAGCTTAAGAATTTACTTAGAATTTCTAGGGGCAACTGGGTGGCTCAGTTGGTTAGGCATCTGACCGCAGCTTAGGTCATGATCTCATAGTTCCAGTACACAGAACAGTACCCAGCACCTAGCAGGTACGAAATGAGTTTTGCATGAGTAAATACAAAGAGAGCCTTTGCTCTCTTCTGTTGTGGCGTTGAGCACAGTGCTAGGTGATTGTTTGCATTCATATCTGTCTCCCCATTAGACTGTGAGCCCTTTGAAAAACAAACTGCTTGATTCTTCCCAGGATTGAGCCCAGGATAGAGTATGACATGATGTTGGGCTCAATGAATGTTCACTGACCAACTGACCGAATGAATGAATGAATGAGCCTGCTGCTTAGATACAAACAGACCCTTCCAGATACTGCCCAGATCTGCTCCTCTGACCTCTCCCAAGAGGATGCAAGGTTCCCCTCCAATGTGCTTTCTGGAGGTGGCTGCAAGGTTTGGAAACTTGCACCTGGGCCTTTGCGGAATAACCCACTCGGTCCCCTCAGTGGGGGGCAGTTCCGTCATGAGAGCGGCACATTCGCCAGCCCATCCAGTCCAGGCCTTTCCCACTCCGAGGGGCCACAGCCTCAGCAATGCCAGAGCAACAGGGAGAGTGAGTGGGAGCCACGTGGCTGACGTCAGCATCTCCTGCCCCTACACCTGCTCCCAGGGGACCAGGGACAATGCTGGGCTGATGCGGAAGGGAGAAGAGCAAGTCGCTTTCCCAGGGAGAGGCAGCATTTTCCCCAAGCTGGGGACGAGGCTGCTTGGCAGATTCTGGGAATACAGGGCATTCCTCCAGGAATCTTCACAAGCCTTTGGGTGGAGGCAGAGGCCCTCAGTGAATTGCTGAGAGGCGTATGTGGGGAGACTCAGCCTGAGGCCCCAGAGCTCCCAGCTTGGGCACAGACTGCTGCCTCCTCACTTGGCCAAGAAGCAAGAGACCACCTGCCTTCCTGGGACCCTGCAGACCCGACACTAATAACCACAGCAGAGAGGAGGGGCATCCCTACGTCCTGGATGATACAGGTTTCTAAGACCTTTGTGGCCCCCAGGAGGGTGCAGGGAGCCCCTGTAATTCCTGAAACTGAACCCTTGTCACCAGGCAAATGCAGCTCACAGGCTGATTTCACCTGATTCAGAAAAATAAGGCCATAGAGAAACTCTCCCACATGAACAAGAGATGCCACCAAGACTGTGTGTTTCAGCATTATTCAAAATAGCCAGGCATTAGCACACAGCCCGTTCAACTCTCAACAGAGAAAGAAGAGTTATGGTACAGTTATGCAATAGATGAAACAAACTGGTATGTGTATCAAAGTGGATAGTACGAAATTCAAAGTCATACTCATTTCTGTGATGAAGGGACATTAAGCAAATACGGAATAATGTCAGGATTTAACAGCAAGGGGTAGGTGGGTCTATGGGAGTTCACTGAAATTTTTCCGAGTTTACTTATTTATTTTGAGAGAGAGAGAGCGCACGCACACGTGTGTGTGAATGGGGTAGGAGCAGAGAGAAAGAATCTCAAGCACAGAGTCTAATGCAGGGCTCGAACCCACGAGCCATGAGATCATGACCAGAGCTGAAACCAAGAGCAGGGTGCTCAACCAACTGAGCCACCCAACCTCCCCAGAATGCTTTTATTGTCTATATGTTTGGAGTATTTAGAAATTTTTAAACATTAAATTAAAAAAAGAAAGCAGGGTACCTGGGGGCCTCAGTCAGTTAAACATCTGATTCTTGATTTCCGCTCAGGTCATGATCTCATGGTTCATGAGTTCAAGTCTCTAGTTGGGCTCTGCCTTGACGGTGAAGAGCCTGCTTGGGATTCTCTGTCTCCCCCTTCTCTCTGCCCCTCCCCTGCTCATGTGCGTGCTCTCGCTCTCTTTCTCAAAAAAAAAAAATAAATAAATAAATAAATAAACTTTTTTTTTTTTTTTTTAAAGAAAGTAGGGCACTTGGGTGGCTCAGTTGGTTAAAGATCTAACTCCAGCTTAGGTCGTGATATCACGGTTCATAAGTTCGAGCTCCACATCGGGCCCTCTGCTGTCAGTGCAGAGCCTGCTTCACATCCTCTGTTCACCTCTCTCTGTCCCCCTTTCCCATTCATTCTCTTTCTCTTTCTCTCTCTCTCTCACACACACACACACTCACAAATAAAAGAAACATTAAAAAAAAAAAAAAAAAGCAAGTAGTATTGCTTGTGACCAAGTGGACTCGGGGGCAGAATGCCCCCCTGCCTGCCGAGGTGGGTGTGGCACCCAGTGAGGAGGCAAGCCATGGCCCCCTCCCTTCCCTGCATGGTGCTGTGGGCAGAGGCTGACCCATCTTCCTAATGCTGGAGGCCCAAGGTCAGATGTGAAGATTGTTCAAGCCTTCCAGAACCCTTTTCCGGGTACGGGGCCCCAGGAAGTGCCCTGCCCCCACAGCCAGAGCTGTCCTTGGGTCCTACCTGCCACTTCGTCCTTGACGCTGACCCAGGTACATCCTTCCTCCAGTTCGGAGGGGCGCGCAGCATCCTGGACGCAATAATGGGGACTCTGGCGCCCGTAGAAGGCGTCCTGGATCTGGATAACCTCCCCTGAGCCACAGTGCATGGTGGCATTGAGGCCGTCACAGGCCAGGCTCTGGCCAACACCTGTGACAAAGGGAAGGTGACACCTTAGGACGCACCATGGTCACGCCTGGGCAAGTGCCTGGCTGATGGGAAGTGGAGGGGTGTCAGGGGTGAGGCTGAGATGAAGGGACACAGAAGCCAGCTCCACAGGAGAGGGGGATAGATGGTGGTGGGCGTGAGAATGGCTCTGGAGCCAGGCTGCCTGGGATTAGAGGCCACCAGCCGTGGGCTGTGTGACCCTCTGCAAATCACTCAGCTTCTCTATGCCCCTTAGCACAGGGGAGTGTCGGTACTACACCCCTAGAGGGTCTTTAGGAGGATTCCATGAGTTTATACATGCAGAGTAAGGGCTATACAAACACCAACTTGAACCTTATCTGAAAACAGTGCCTGGCACATCATAGATGCTAAACAAGCATCTGTTGAATGAATGAGTGATTTTAGTGCGTCTTCCAACCAATCCTAGAAGCTCAGCTATTATCTTCCCCTCTAGGAGCATCAGGCTCAGGGGGCCACTGTGCTGAGACCACCCCCACCCCCACCCCCGCCTCCAGCCCGGCTCTTGAACCGGTGAATTCAGTGAACGTTTGTTGGAAAACAATGACCTGGCTCAGGTGAGCACAGCCAGAAAGGAAACTATGGACCTAAACTCCAGCTTGTCTGCCTGCTGGGAACACCACAGGGTAGAGGAGGAGACCGAAAATCTGTGTTAGTTTCCTACAGCTGCTGTCTGTACTAACTACCACCAAACTCATGGCTGAAAATGGTACAAATCTATCGTCCTCGAGTTGCAAAGGTCACGAGTCCAAAATGGGTCTTACTGGGCTCGTGTCAGGGATCTGGTGCCTCTGTCTGTCCTGAGCCTTTTTCTGCTTCCAGAGGAGACGCGTTTGTTGGATTGTGACCCCTTCTTCCATCTCCAAAGCCAGCAGCAGCCAGCATCTTCCAGGCTCTCTCTGGCCACAGGCAAACATGAGTTCAGGTCTTATCATGGTCACTTCCCAGCTGTGTGGTCTTGGGCAAGGAGCTTACCCTTTCTGAGCCCCACTAATCCTCTTATAAAGAGGCCTCGCCTCGAACAGCAGAGGTGCTTCTATTGTGAGTAAATGCACACAGCTCTGTTCCTGGAGGTGCTGCTTGGTTGTGTCAGCTGTTCACAGTGTGACCTTGTAGCAGTGGCCCCAAGGCCCTGGGGCTGAAAGGTTCGGAGACAGGCTCCAAGTTGGGGTGCAGAAGGGGGCAAGCTCTGGGGAGCTGTGATAAAAAGAGAGGGAAGTTATATGACCCACAGGTCCCTGAAGCTACAAGTTTCCAGAATCAGCCCAGCTGGAGGAGTTAACCCTATGTGGCTCCTATTTAAAACCAGACCGGGGATGTGGGGGGCGGGATGAAGCAGGGCGTCCTATAAGTGCCCAAATCCAGAATGGGCCCTGGGAGCTGGGGTTCTTCACTGTGGGGCTTGGAGACAGGGAGGGGGCTGAGCCCAGGAAGCCTGGAAGCTTCTCTTAAGCCTGTCTTGAAAGTCAGGGGAACATGGGGCAGCTTAGTTCCAAGACCAGGCCCCTACACCAGGGCCTCTGCATGGTAGGCAGGACCAGTGGTGGGGCCATGGGTCCCTCCTGCCAGGGCTCTTAGACAGAGTCCCCAGGGAGGAGTCCCCAGGGCGAAAAGGGGGTCAACCATGGACAGCAGCTAGAAAGAACACAAGAACAGAGTGTGGGGACGTTCTGGAGTCAGGGAGGGTGAGTGCTGGAGACTCAGACCCGGGCTGGCCATGGCAGCAGGAGTCAAGGGCAAATGAGAACAGCCTCCTGGAATCACGTCTCCTTCATAGGAAGACTGGGAAAAGAGAGTAAATAGGGCTGGGCATTTGCCCCTAGATGCAGGTGTCTGAGAGGAAAGGAGGGACGTAGGTGAGACTAGTAGGTAAGTGGACAGGGAGAGGGGAATGTGAGCTGGGGAGGTGAAATAGACACAGAGCGCCACACAGAGACAGGTAGGCATTTCGGGAGACGTGGAGACAGAGATAGAGACGGGGACACAGGAAGACACAAAGACAGAGACCCAGGGACACCCGGAAAGAGGTAGAGAGAAACAGAGACACATGGAGGGACACAGAGAGACAGAAGGAGGGAGACCCCACAACAGAGGCCAGCTCACCAAACTCGCAGATGAAGGCAGACGGCTGAGTGCAGTTGTCTGAGGCCGCCCATCCAAAGGAATCGTCTCTCTCGATATAACCACAGGTGTTTGGGGCAGGAGAGGCCCCTCGGCGCCAGTGGCTGTAGCTCACATTTGAGGTGTCCAGCCAGATCCCCGGCCCTGGGATGGGAACACAGGCACCAGGACTTGCAGACATTCTTCTGACCCTTTTTATGCACAGGCGTCACCTCAGCTCAGCTGCTGGTGCTGCGGGAGGTGCTCAGTTAAGGCCGACAGGCTAACGGCCTCTCTTTCCCATGCCAACAAAGAGACATTGCTAGCTGTTACCTTCCAATACCCAGACGTAAGAATTCAACCTAAAAACTGGGGTGCCGAGTCAGGGAGCCCAAACAAAGTAGTTTCATTAAGGACATGATGCTTCCAGCTCTGTCTTACCATAGCCTAAAAAAAGAGCACAGAAGTGTGCCTCGGGGTGTTCGAAGGCGTTCCATAGAGAAGCAGGGTCCCTTGTCAAATATATTTGGGCACACTCACTTAAAATGGGAGTTTTCCTTACTTCCGGGACTCCTCAGTCCCTTGAACACACTGATGTGACTCTTGAAGTCAGGTTGTGAGTGTGTGTGTGTGTGTGTGTGTGTGTGTAATACAAAGGCATTTCAAGGACACTTGAAACCTAGAAAACACTATAAATTACTCTAAAGACTCAAAAGTGTATTTATTCATTTTTAAAAATAAATCCATATGAATGGTTAAAAAAATTTTACAGTGGAAAAGCGTATAAAATAAAAATGTCTCCCTGCTCCCAACCTATGGGTTACTCCCATTACTGTTATGTCTTGTGAATTGTTCTAGAGTGGATTTTATCTATATGTCAGCATCCATGAGTGCCTGAAATCTATTTATACAAATGCCATCATACTCCACACGATATCCTGCTCCTTCTTAAATAGCATTAAATATTGGGGGTTGTTACATCTCAGTCTACACTGATCTACCTCATTTTCTGTAAAATGAGCCATGTGGTATCCCTTGGTGATTTCAAATAGACACAACTGCTTTCAGTGGATAGGAAGGGATGTTCAATAAACAGAAATCCACAATTGCTACATCTACAAATCAAGAAACCATTCAATAGATATTGCCTGAAAATGCATTTCAGAATTAAAATCCTGTGGCTATGAGTGTTTCCCAGCTGCTCCCTAATTAAGCCTTTCCGTCCACTCTGGTAATAAGTGCTTAGCCCAGACCAAGTTACGCATTTCTAAAACCCAGTGGCTTCCTCAGGGCAATGTCATGTGGCAGGGCGCTGACTCAAGAGAGTCCTCTCGCAGCGTTCTCTTGGGCAAACAGTTTTCTCCCCCTGGAGTTCATTTTCCTCATCCATAAAATAAGAGTAGCAATGTGTACCTCATGGGGTGGGTGCGAGAATTGAATATAAATGTTCATTTGTCCATTCTCTGCTAGGTGCGGGCACTGGGGAAAGAAGAGTGGCCAGAATGTGGTTCCTTACCTCAAAGAAGCTCACTGTCTAGGAAGGAAGATAGACACCTAAAAATTGAAAGTCATACCAAAAGTACCCTCCCAGGGGTGTGGGCAAGGCTCTACGGTGCATAGAGGACTCAGCGGACCATGCTGGGGTTGGAGGAAGGAGCCCTCACAGAGTAAAAGGTAAGTAAGAGTTTCTAGGAGGACCATTAAAACGAGACCATCTACTGTGAATGGGGCGGAGCCAAGCTCTTAACGTGCTTTACTCTCATAAGAAATGGAGAAAGGCATGTGGAAGTGCTTTGAAAATAGCTTAGTAATTATTTCCTGAGACTCTGTTCCCACATCTATACAACAGAAGCAACAATATCATCTCACTGGTTATTGTAGGGATTTGGGGTGATAATGGGCAAGAAGTACTAAGAATAGTGCTGGCACTATTCTAGCAAGAAGTGAAGAAGCTATAGCTAGTATTATTAGACACACTCAAACGAATATTTTCAGAGTGTTGGCTATGTGTCAAATTCTGTGCGAGATTCTGTACATGAATTATTTCCTTTGATCCACAAAAGTGGAGGGTGTCCTTACCATGAGAATTAGGATATATTACATTGTTCTATGAGGTTCTGGATTAAGAGGCAACGGTGAGAGGGGCACCTGGTTGGCTCAGTCGGTTCAGCGTCCAACTTCAACTCAGGTCGTGATCTCGCAGTTTGTGAGTTTGAGCCCCACGTCGGGCTCTGTGCTGACAGCTCAGAGCCTGGAGCCTGCTTTGGATTCTGTGTCTCCCTCTCTCTCTGCCCCTCCCCCACTTGCTCTCTCACTCTCTCTCTCTCAAAAAATAAAAATAAGCATTAAAAAAAACTTTTTTTAAAAGAAGCAATGGTGAGAATCACAGCCACAAGCTTCCTTTGAAATACAGCTTTCAGAGCACCTACCTTCTGTGGTTCCATTCCGAGCCAAATTTCCTACAAGTCCAATCCACCATTCCCTGTCCTGGGAGATATGCTTCTGCAGAAACTTCTGGGTGTCCTCATCACGAATAAAGACCAAATGGCCCCCTTGCCCCTCGCACCAGCTCTGGGCACCATAGAAGGTGTCACTGAGAGGCACAAATTCATAGCAAGAGTCTCTGAAAGCCACTTGGCTCTTTGAGCAAGAGCTGCCGTCTTCTGGCGTAGCAATCACAGCCCTAAACCTCAGAGCAAGGCCCAGGAGTAGCAAGCCCGCTGCCTTCATTCTTCAGCTATCCCCTGAGCATCTGGATGGAGCTGGCGCTGAGGTCCTTTTTATACTGGTGGCTCACAACTGTCTGCCGTCCATCTTTCCCTCTCTCTTTCGTCAAATAATAGCACCTGCCTCTTAGTTAAGAGACAAAAGGCTCAGGATGAATGTGTCTGCATTTTTGCTTTCCCCAGCTCTTTGTTCGATGCCTGTTCCAAATCCCATTGATTTGCAAAACGGTCTTCAAGAGAAACATAAAGCCGCTATCTCACCTGTCTGCTTGTCATTCGATAAACTGTTAGCTTCTGATAAAAATTCCTTGCTATTGGTTTGATGCTGTTACCCTGGAGGACCGCATGTCTCACGAGAGGCCATCAGCATGTGAGAAGTATGTGATAAAAGAAAAATGGCAGGCAAGTGGGAGTGATGAGATGGTAAAGGAACCAAGTAGCCCTCATCCCCAACCCTATTGTCCAGAGTGGGAGCTGTGCCCACATGGTAATCACATTCTCTCCAGCGTGGGCTTAAATCCTAATGGATATGTCTCCCTCTCTCTGGTTCATCACATTACCACTCATGCCTATTGGAGAATACAAATTTCCTACAAAATTGTTTCAATATCATCATGAAAGTAAGCTTTTAAAACCTCAAACCTGCCTATCCTCACCCACTGCCTTAAACCCTCTAGTGGATGTCCATGGTCTGTGCATCAAGTTCAAGCTTCTCAGCTTTGTATACAAGGCTTTGTATGAATTGGCCCCTGACCATATTTCCAAAGACACCCTCCAAATGTGGGGAAACAGACTCACTCATTGCTGATGGGAGTATAAACTGTTATAACCTCCATTGTGGGCAGTCTGACCGTATCTATCAAAATTTTGTTTATTATTTTTAAGATTTTTTAAAAGTAATCTCTATAGCGAATGTGGGGCTTGAACTTACAACCCTGAAATCAGGATTCAAATGATCAGTATACTGATTGAGCCAGCCAGGCACCCCAATATCTCTCAAAATTTTAAAAGCACAATCCCTGTAATGTAGCAGTTCAGCTTCTAGGAATTCTACCTACAAATAAATTCATAGATGCACAAAATGTCATACATATAATGTTATTTATTGCAGAATTTTGTAAGAAGGAAAATTTGGAAACAACTTAAAGTGTCCATTGGTAAGAAAGTGGTCAACAAAATGTGGTACATACCCACACACAAAAATGATCAAATTCTTTATATACAAATTTGGAAGAATATCTAAGATTTTTGCTAATATTAAAAGCAAATTATGAGATAGTGTTGATGGCCCAATCCTATTTTTTTAAAAAAATTTTAAATTTATTTATTATTTTGAGAGATAGAGCACACATCCATGTGAGTAGGGGGAGGAGCCGAGAGAGAGGACAGAGAGAATCCTAAGCAGGCTCTGTGATGTCAGCACAGAACCCGAAGTGGGGCTCGATCCCACCAACCATGAGATCATGACCTGAGCTAAAATCAAGAGTCAGGTGCTTCGTGGACTGAGCCATCCAGGCGCCCCAATGATCCAATCCTATTTACACAAAAATATCTATGAAGATTTATTTGTATGTGTAGAATATATCTCATAAAGGACTTACAAGAGACTGGCAGTAGTGATTGCTTGGGTCAGGGGTCGGGGGACCTAGGTGAGTAGGAGGCAGAGGAAGGAGCAAGACTTTGGTTTCATCGGCCATATTTTGGAAACTTTCCTATCTTGTACCATGTGATAAATATCTTAGCTGTTCAAAAATAATAAATTCTTTTTTTAAAAAAAGCTCATGGTGGGGTGCCTGGTGGCTCAGTCGGTTGAGCATCCGACTCTTGATTTTGGCTCAGATCATGATCCCAAGGTGGTGGGATTGAGCCCTGTGTCGGGCTTGCGCGCTCTCTCTCTCAATATATATACATATTTTTAAATCTCACGGGCCCATCATTCCTCCATTAGGTCAAAGTCACACACAGCTCTTTCTAACTATCCTAGTTGCCTTCTAGTACCTTCCTTCGTGCCTCCGTGTGTCTGTGCTCTTCGCTCTGCCAGGAACCCTTTTCTCACGGTCCCGCCCAGTCTACTTTTGATACCCCACTCAAACGTCAGTTCCTCTGCGGATTTTGTAGAACTTGCCTCACATAATATGCCTCTCTCCTCTGAGTTTCCTTTTTCTTTTTTGTCGATAAAAACTTAAGACATGGGTGATATACCATACAATCTACCCATTTAAAATGTGCAGGTCAGTGGTTTGTAGTACATCCATGAAGTTGTGCAACCTTCACCATGATCCATTTTAGAACATTTTCATGACCCCGAAAGGAAACCCTTTGCCCGGCTGGCATTCACTCCCAACCCTCCCTCCTGCCAGCTCCTGACAACCACTAATCTCCTTCCTGGCTCTGTGGATTTGCCTACTCTGGACGCTTCATATAAGCAGAATCACATAACACATGGTCTTTGTGACTGGCTCTGTTGGCCCAGTGTCTTCAAGGCTCATCCATCTTGTAGCACAGACCATTACTCTATTCCACAACCTCATCCCTTCCCCCCTTTTTGGGTACTCAATAAAAGTTTGTAGAATAACTGCTGAATTAAAAGTTTTCCAGAACTAATATGTTCCTCACCTTAGCTCCTTGTTTGCTGAGGAATGTTTGTTGTTCGTGATAACTTTCAAAATTAACAGTGTTTGACAAAATTACTAAGTTGCCTCATTGGTGGGAAAAATTGTTTTAACTGCTAACACCAGAGTTCTTCTTGGGAGCTCTTTCACTTTAGGAAAATACCTGTATGGGCCATTTGGGTTGGGACAGAGGAGACGCCAGGGTATGGTTTATATTATTACAATGAAGCACAATGCTGGGGGATGGGTTTGCATAAGAAGTTAGTGATTCAAGGATGGAGAGGGGCCTTTGCAATGTGGTAGAACTCTAGACCTTCAAAGTAGGCATTAGGCAAATAGTTTCTTGCAGCAGGGTGGCCAGAGCCTTTAGAGAACATGGGTGCCTAATGTCTGGCTTTAAATTATTCACCTGTTGTGACAGAATTCATCTTTTTTTTCCTCTCCATTCCCTTCTCTCCCAGTCCTTGGCAAGCACTATTTTCTGTCTCTATGGATTTACAGATTCTGGACATTTCCTATAAATGGAATTGTATAATATGTGACCTTTTGTGTCTAGCTTCTTTCACTCAGGAGCTTCTTTCACTCAGCATGTTTTCAAGGGTCATCCACATTGGAGTGTGTGTTACTAGTACTTCATTCCTTTTTATAGCTAAATAATGCCCCGTGTATGGATACACCACAATTTGCTTATCCATTCACCTGTTGATGGACATTTAGCTTGTTTTATTCTATGAGTTTCTTGCAGGAAAGGGATAATATCTCTTAATCTCTGTTCATCCCATGACTGGCACACAGTAGGACTCAATGAACATTTGCCAGCCTGGCCCCATCTCCCATGAACTTGCGTGCTGGGGTAGGTTGAGAGGCTATGACTTCTAGTTGACCCATGAACGGGACCCAGGCAATTGGAAGCATCTCATCCCTGCCCCGTCCTTAGAATGTGCATTCTGTTTGCCTTCCCTGCTCCCAGAAGCTGTCCCAAGGACACAGCCTTGAGATAGTGAAGTGGTGTTGAAATCATCTGGACAGTATGCAGGACTGGATGCAGTTAAAACCTCTATATAAACTTTTGAGACTTGGCAGCAAGTACAGAGAGCTTCTTGTCTCGTAGCACCCAAGACAGGCTTGAGTGTTAAGTTCTCTTAACTGCCACCCACCAATCTGCAGGGATCTGCTTTTTCTTCCGTCTCTCCCTGTGTACAGAGGCCAGTTTCCAAACCAACACTGGGACTGACCCATGGCCCCCATCCCTTTCCCAGAAGCCCTTCCAAGCCCTCTGGAGTAGCCCTGCCAGACGGAGCCCAGGGCAGGTCTCGAGTCATTGCTGAGTCACCGGCAGGAACACAGTGAACATTGGTCTCTTATCTCTAGGGGCCAAGCTTCTAATGGCTTCTATTAGAAAACTCTCTGGAAGGCCTCATGTAGCGATAAGGTATCTCCTGGGTAAAGGGCTTAATTTATGTCCCTCACGGAACGTGCTTGGGACTTTTGATAATGAATGCAAATGTGCAGGCTGAATTCCACTTTTGAGTTCTTTATGTTCTGACAAATTGCAGACTCCTGGGCACAGAATTCATCTTGGTGATATCAGCTCCCATGTGCTTTAAACATCTGTGTATGTGAAGAAAGAAAGCAGGACATGGCTGGACCCATGAGAGCCTGTTTCCAGTGATCTGATTCAGTTGCCTGAGCCTCTAAACTGATTTTGGGGGCCAGCAAATGAAAAGAGAGAGCAAATTTGGTTTAAATGAGGCCTTGAGTCCAAGTCCTTGAGGTCTTGAGAACCATAGAGATGTTCACACCCTGTGGCTCTGTCATCCCAGTCCTGGGAGTCTTTCTGTTTTAGTTTGGGTTTCCCCAGAAGCTCACCAAGCCAAGAATTCAAGAGCAAGCAATTTATTTGGGAGGGCATGCAGGAATTGGGGGCAGGGGAGGGGGGAGCACATCGCTTTATATGAATTGGTGTTTTCATTGGTCATAAATTGAATTGAATCTTTGCCCTCCACTCAACTAAAACGACAACCCAGTGGGGCGCCTGGGTGGTTCAGTTGGTTAAGTGTCTGACTTTGGCTCAGGTCATGATCTCACAGTTCGTGGGTTCAAGTCCCTCGTCAGGCTCTGTGCTGACAGCTCAGAGCCTGGAGCCTGTTTCAGATTCTGTGTCTCAGTCTCTTTCTGCCCCTCCCCCACTCATGCTCTCTTTCTCAAAAATAAACATTAAAAAGACAACCTAGCAAAAGAATTCTTATGGTTCCCTCACCCCAATGCATTTTCATTTCTTTGTGGTTCCTTGAAATGCTTCTTGCCATGGAGATAGATGTTTACCCAGACACCACCATAGCATGAGTGTAATTAGTTCGTATTACATTTCCCACTTAGTTTTAGATCCTAGGCCTTTTCCATGCTGCTAAAGGGCTTTGGAATTGGCATGGTGAAGGCTGTGCTTCCTTTCCCTGAATAGATATTTGCTAAACCATTCCCACAGTACTAGTTTGTGTGGTTTTTGTCAGCTCTTGGTTATGTGTTCAGTTTTGCAATTCAGTCAACACTGCTACGAACATCATCTTGCACTTGACATTTAGCCTGAGCTGACTTAACCTCCTGAAGGTTGCAGCAGGCATTATCACAGGCCCATCTTAACCACTCACATTTACCATGTAAGGCTTTTAAATGCAAGCACCTGTAATAACTCCTTGCCTTTCCCTGCACATGAGGGGCAGGATGGAAGTGCCTGGCAGTTCATGCCTCTAGGGAGAAACTCTCACCCTTGATTGGCCAGGGTTGGGGGGGGTCCATCACCCAGATTCCTCAAGATAACTCTAAAGGACACTTACACCATCCCACGGCCCAGCAGCCCAGCAGCCAGACTGAGCCTATGGTGGTAACAGCCTAGATAAATGCACTGTCAATGTCTTCCCTCCCTGTTTCACTTCCCCGTGCCCTTGCTGGCATTTCCTGGATTCGCCTCCCAAATAAATCACTGGCACTTCAATCCTCGTCTTGGCTTGTGCTTCTGGGAGACCCCAATCTGGGAGACCCCAACCTTAGACAGGTCTATCCCCAAGACTGGGAGGCCTGGACCCATAGGGCGCAAACATCTTCATGATTCTTGCTTATGGGTTCAGTGTCTATTTAAACCAGATGGATTATCTTGGTTCTTCATGCTGCTGATCTCGCTTGAGGACTCCGACTGCCAGATCAAATCCTGAGAAAAATGCTCACACAGCTGAACACTGCCTTGCCTACTTTCCTGACAATTTCAGTTCTGTACTTGGGGACCATCTCTGAGCAGTTAATAATGGCCTCAGTCGTTGAGATGGCGGGTGGTATTCTCTTGTTTTTTTAGGCGTGTATGTAGTCTACATGGAGGTAGTCCTCCATGTTGTTCTCGAATGTTAAGCTGTTTGCTTCTACAAGGTGGCTGGTGAACTAGATCTTGACAGATTAGCCAGGAAGAAGGGGATGGGGTGGAGGTAGGGGTGGGGAGAGCCGGTAGAAGGGGTGTCTCAGGGAGGGGCCCTATAAAAGCAAATCCTTATTTCTCGTCAGTGCCCCAGAACCAGCATAAACTACGCCCCCCAGCATCATCCGCCCCTCTCGGGTCTGCCCCAGCTGTCACACCAGTCATGCGTGTGCTGTTTCTTTACAAAAGTGCCTCTTCTAATACCCTTGCCTGAACACCTGTATCCTTTTTTCAAGAATAGCTCAACTATGAACCTCTTCTCTGAAGCTGGCTCACGGTCTCCAGGAGTTAAATGCCATATCTTCCATGTCCTCCTAGGAGTTTAATCTGCTTCCATGTTAGCACTGTTTAGGAGTGTTTAGCCTTGAGAGAGAATAAGAGAGAAATTATGAGAAGAATCTGGCTATAAAATTAGTCTGTTGATAGCCTTTTAAATTTCTATTTTTATTTTTTAAGTTTTGTTTTGTTTTATTTTTTGAGAGAATGCAAGCATAAGCTTGGGACGGGGGTAAGAAAGAATCCCAAGCAGGATCCACGCTGTCAGCACAGAGCTGGACATAGGGCTAGAACGCATGAACTGTGAGATCATGATCTGAGCCGAAACCAAGAGTTGGATGCCTCACCAACTGAGCCATCCAGGCATCCCAAAGCCACAAATGCACAAACAGGTACTTGAACCCTGGACCCTCAGAGTAAAAGTCTGATGCTCTACCGACTGAGCTATTCTGGGCTTCAGTTTCTACTTTTAAATTGTTTTTGCTTAATGGCTGTTGTGGGTTGACTTGTATCTTCCAAAAAGACATGTTGAAGTCCTAACCTTTGGTGCTTGAGGATGTGCCTTCTTGATGGAAATAAGGCCTTTGTGGATGTAATCAAGATGAAGGCATGCTGGGGGAAGGAGGGTCCAGACCCAGTGACTGGTGTCCTTTATAAGAAGGAAATCTGAACACAGAGACAAACGGACACACAGAGAGAAGTCCATGTGACAAGAGGCAGAGACTAGGGCCAGGGAATATCAAGGTGTGCTGGTAACCACCGGAAGTTAGAAGTAGCTAGGAAGGATTTTCCGGAGAGACTTCAGAAGGCACCTGGCTCTGTGGACACTTTGATTTTGGACTTCTGACATCCAGAACTGTGTAAGCTACCTAGGTTGTGGTATTTTTGTCATGAAAGCCCTAGCAAATCAATACAATGATGATGTAGCACAGTGAGGCCGTGTGTCATTCATTCATTCATTCTTTCATTCAATAAATATCTGTTGAGCACCTACTACGTGCCAGACATTGTGCTAAACTCTGGATTTGAAACAGAAGAGTGACATGATCAGGCTTGCATTTCAGCCAGGTCACCTGGTGGCAGCAGGGAGGGTAGATTGTGGATAGGACTGGAGGCAGGGAGGCCATGAGGAGGCTACTCCCAAGAGGTGAGCAATAGTGAGGATGGTAGCTGGGGTTGGGAGGGGGGTGGCTGGAGGAAAGAGGAACAATCTGAAAGATTACTTAGGAAGCAGAAACCACAGTCTAGACTATAACCTGGTAGTTGTCATTTAAATTGAATTTTTGTGAAGCTTCACTGACCGGGCTCTGAGCACATCACGGTAGAAAATTAAAGTGTTCCCACTCTGGCGTTAGAAGGCACACCCCTTTCTCCCAGTAGTGCCCTCTGCATTTCACTCTGTCCCTTCTACCTCCCAAGCGTGGCATATTATTATAATAATTATTATTTGCTTTCCTCTCTTCCTCATTAAGCTGGGAGTTCATGGAGTCCAGGAGTTACAACTTCCCATCTCTCTGTCTCTAATACCAAACATGAGGCTAGTCTCTGCCTCTAGTAGAACTTTGTGGAATTAATGAATCCTCCTAAATGTTAATGGGGTGATTTGTGGTCTTCGGTTTCAGTGGTGAAGTGTGCCCTCCAAGAACCCTAGCACGGCTCTCCCTCCACTTCCTACATCCTGCTTTCTGGATGGGCCGTGGAGCTCACCACTGACCCTTCTCCCTTGGGAAGGTGGCTGCCACTGGTCCTGGGACTTTGTCCCCTGGAAACTCGCTATCGGAGATTTCCGCTTTATCTACTCGGTTTTTCACCCTGGCTAATTAAAGGCACCATTTAGAAGCCAACTTAATTGGATGGGGCACCTGGGTGGCTCAGTTAGTTAAGCATCGGACTTTGGCTCAGGTCATGATCTCATGGTTCTTGGGTTCGAGCCCCGCATCGGGCTCTGTGCTGACAGCCAGCTCAAAGCCTGGAGCCTGTTTCAGTCTGTGACTCCCTCTCTCTCTGACCCTCCCCTGTTCACACTGTCTCTCTCTCTCTCTCTCAGAAATAAATAAAACATTACAAAAAAGTTAAAAAAAAAAAAGAAGCCAACTTAATTGGAAAGCTGCAGTGTAATGTAGATTTGATGACATTACCTCCAAAGGGGAAATATTAACTCACTTTAGACAGTAACTTTGTAATAGGAGATACAGAATTGGAAAATAAGGTTGTCGATTGGTTTTTCATTCTTTTATAGCACAAAAACTTTTCTTTCCTAATTCAGGTTTTGCTTCTTCACCTCATGACTGCTTTATGGATGCAACACATTCCGTGGAGAAAGCGGCCTCAGGAAAGGTAGCCTCCTCTTCCTTGCTCCTTCCCTAAATTATACAGGAAGAGGACCCCACATTCAGATCTCCCACCTCTGCCACGTGCTGTGTGACCTGTGGCCCTGGGACACAACCTCACTGAGCTTTGGTTGTTTCCTTGATTAAAAAAAAAAAGAGGGTTGGGGAGATTATAACAGTACCTGCCAGGTCTGTGCCAGAATTAGAAGGTAGAGCTTGTGCAAAATACAGGTGAGGGGGCGCACATCAGTGAATGCCTCTCCTCCCTGTGGAAGCGGGGAGATGAAGCCTTCCTGCTTGCCCGCTGAGCACCTCAGACCCTCCAAAGGGCAGACCGTCTGTGCATCTGTACCAAGTCCCGCACCCTCCGGAAGCAAATCCTCTCCTACAGGCTCTGCATCGCTGCTGGATGTAACGTGGCCAACTTGTGCCAACGTGTATGACTTGGGAGGAAGCCCAGGAGATACCTGACCTGACTTGGGGACGAGCCCTGCCAGACAGCACCTCCGTGGAGCCCCTAGGGCCCTCCTCTGGCTCTCTGCTTCGTCCTGTGTCCCTCTAAGCAACCCCAGCTCCAGGCCCCAAGCCTGTGAACATTTGCCTCGTCCCCCTCTCCCTCTCCCGCTTGCCCTTTTCCTCTGGCCCCGGCTCACCTCTCCTGCTTCTCTCTACCACAGCCACCCCCCTGCCCATGATCTAGAGCTGTATGGGGTGGCCATGCTGTGTGGTCCCTCTGGGGCTGCACCCTTTCTGGGACCACTCTTCCCCGCTCCTCTACTTGGCCAGCTCCCAGCCATCCTCACGCTTCTGGCTCAGCGTCGCCGTTTTCATGAGGCGTGGACAGCGCCTCTCTTCACCACGCCCCTTGGCCCTGGAGGGTCTTCCTGTGTCACCTGGGACGTGCCACTGCTCCCGCTGGGTGGGTGCCATTCCATATTTGAGAAACAGGTGAATGAATGAGTGAATGAGCACATACATGGGCCGATTTACATTGTTACCCTGTCATGCAGCCATAGCTGCCCCTGTCACCTCGGTCATATACATATGCCATCTTAGCAATCCTCCTGCTAGCTCAGCACTGTCAGTAGAACTTTCCCTGCTGGTGGGAGATGTTCTGTCTGCACTTACCAATATGGTAGCCACTAGCCACGTGTGTCTGTGGAGCCTTCAAAATGTGGTTAGGATGAGGGAGGAATTTAATTTCATTGTAATTAATTGATGTTTAGATTCATATAGCTCCATGCTGCCTGTGGCTACTGTACTGGGCGGCACAGCTAAGCGCTCACATTAATGCCTTCACTGGACATGGTCTCTTGACTGAGAGATCACTGTCTAGAGTATGAAGCCCAAATTCTTACATCCTCGCACGATCCAATCCCTGAACCACTTTCTACTCCCATCTGGGCGGTAGTGGAGACAAACCGTGATTCCAAGTACGGCCTCAGAGCTCCAGGGCACTGGCGAGTTGCTTAACTCCTCCGTATGTCACTTTTGACATCTGTAAAATGGGCTGAATACCCGTGCTCAGGGGTATTGTGAAGAGGACATGTGTTCCCCAGTCCCAAAGGCTCAGAAGAACATCTGGCATGTCGGGAGCTCTCAGTAAGTGGCACCTATAAAGATCATTAGGTCCCTGGCAGAGCCAGCCTGTCCTCCTCACTATCCCCCCACTAGAATAGTCCAGCTCCATGCCATCTTTCACAGTGGTCCTTCTCATTGCCTATCCAAACACATCCCACTCTCAGGGGCTCCACTGGGCACCCCTCCTCCAGGAAGCCACCTTTTCCAGCCTTCCCCAGCCTGAGCAAACTTTCCTTCCTTGGAATCCCATGATACTTCCTATCTGTGCCTCTCCTAGAGCAGCCGAGGGGGCACCTAGCTGTTACTGTGTACGTGTCTTTGCAGCCAGACTAGAACACACTGAAGATCCTAGACTAGGTCACGGACGTCTATTCCCCTTCCAGTGACAGGCCAGAGATGTGTGCATCGTAACCGGCCAAAGCAATTAATATTTCTGATTATCAGATTGGCTGACCTTTCCAATTTTTCTCTCTTTCCCAGGGAAAGAAAGGCAAGGAACTATTCTGAACACCACGACAGATGTGATCGGAGTCTTTATAGTTTAAACTTTTGCAGCCACCTGATGGGACTGGTATTAGAATTCCTATTTCAAGATCAGGGAACTAAGGGTCTGAGATTTTTTTTTTTTAATTTTTTTTAATGTTTTTATTTATTTCTAGGAGAGAGAGAGAGAGAGACACAGCGTGAGCAGGGGAGGGTCAAAGAGAGAGGGAGTCACAGACTGAAACAGGCCCCAGGCTCTGAGCTGGCAGTCAGCACAGAGCCCGACGCGGGGCTCGAACCCACGAACCGCGAGATCATGACCTAAGCGAAAGTCAACCGACTAAGCCACCCAGGCGCCCCTAAGGGTCTGAGATTTAAGCAAGTGGCTCAGACACTCCACTGGTAAGCAGAGCTGCAGCTCCAATACAAACGGGTCTGTTGGGGATGTCAGGGCCAAAGATGGCCCAAAAAGGGACCACGCCATCCAGACACCACATTCACACCCTCACCCGTCCTTCCCCGCTGCGTCTTGGTGGGCTCTGGGACTTGTGCTCCCCAGTAGCAGTCAGTGAAGTGAGCCTATGCCAGTCGTGGGCTCACCCTTATAGGAGACTGGAAGCTTCTGCTTCCTTTCTCTTGGAACTCTCATTTAAATTTTTTTACTGTTTGTTTATTTTTGAGAGAGAGAGAGAGATACAAAATCCGAAGCTCCGGGCTCTGAGCTGTCGGCACAGAGACTGACATGGGGCTTGAACTCAGGAACTGCAAGATCCTGACCTGAGCCGAAGTCGGATGCTTAACGAACTGAGCCACCCAGGCACCCCGAAACACTTAAAATATATTTTGTTATTTATTTTGGCAAGAGCACATGTCAGGGAGGGGCTGGAAGAGGGGATAGAGGATCTGAAGCAGGCTCTGTGCTTACAGGCTGACAGAAGTGAGCCTGATGCAGGGCTTGAACTCACAAACCATGAGATCATGACCTGAGCTGAAGTGAGGCACTCAACTGACTAAGCCACCCAGGTGCCTCTCTCTAGAAATCCTTTGTGGAAGCTTTTGCTGCCATGGGAGAAGTCCAGCTACCTGCCGGAGTGATCACATGGAGAGGGTCGAGGACAGACCCTGAGACCATGCGGAGAGCGAGAGAGGCCCAGACGCACCCCCCCCCCCCAGCACGTCAGTTAACCGCCAGCAGGCTTGCAACCACCTAAGGAGCCCCAAGCGGTGGAAGCAGAAAAACTCCCCAGCAGAGCCCAATCCCCCCACAGGACTGAGCCCAGAGAGATCATGACTGTGATGGTGGTCTGGCACCACTGAGCTTTGGAGTGGTTTGTGATGCAGCAGGAGATGACCAAACTCTCGCATAAGATGAGCTGCTCTCGTCCACGCTCCACTCCCTTGCTCTCACGCACTGGCCAGTTTTCAGTCCATTTGAAGGCAGCAAATGTATTCTAAAAATGGTCTGTGGGACCCCCACTTTGGCTCTCATATCTACTTCTGTTCCTCAGTCAGCAACTTCACAAAGTGGGAAGTGCTCCTGTGTCATAGGAAGGGACTTGCACTGCCTAGTGCATGAATCAAGTTCTGTCACATCTCTGAGGCTGCTAATGGCTCCCTTGCAGGACTGCGTGGGAATTAAGTCACAAACCTGACAAGACACCTAGCATCGTACTTGACACATGTCAGGCATCCAGTGAATGGTGTTAATGAGAGGCTGGTGGACACAGCCCCACGGGCGACAGGCCTCTTGCCCTGCTCTCCCCTTATCAGCAAAGGCCTAGAAAGCAGGGCCTCCATGGGTCCAGAGCACCACCAGAGCTCCTTGAGAAAGAGCAGCTGCTGCTTGTTATCTCTGTTTACAAAAAGGAAGGATGGAGGTTCAACTTGGAGGCCGTCCCATGAAACACGCAGGACCCCTTACCCCTTTGAGAAATATATGTCCTTTCGTATATTATATACAAAGACTCCATTTCCCAACAAAAAAGAACATCATGGGAGCGAAGAAGGCAGAGACTGAGCCTCATTAATCACCCCTGTAATGCCGAAACATGGCAACTAGTCAGCGGAAGTTCAAAGAAGGCACAGAATTATTTTCCTGCTTCAGTTGCTGCTGTGTTTCCAGCACACAGTAGGTGCTTAGTAAATATGTGCTGTGTGAAAAAATGAATGTGAGAATGGATGAACGTTGTACTGCCTGTAGCCAACACTGCAGTTTATCCATCCCAAGCCGTTTCCTCCTTGTTCCTTTGCTGATGGAATCCTGGTGTGAATCTGGTAGCAACGTGCTGCCCGGGAGACTCCTGAGGGATTTAAGAACATCAGGGTACACCTGCTCCTCCTTGCCAGGAATTGGTCTATGGGTGGTCATGTGACACCACTGAGCCAATGATACTAAGAGAAAAATATGCTTGGGGGATTCTGGGAAAGGTTTTCCTTAGCATAAAGGAAGAGAGCTATGAGAAGGAAATGCCTCCTTGTCCACATCTTGTGTCTCTGTTTTGGCCCATTATTTTGGGAGGGCGTGATTCCTGGCGTGAAGGCAGCTGTTCATAAGCAAAACCGAGCAAGTGCATGGATGGCAAGCAAACCTTCTGAGACTGGCACAGGGTGCCTGGTGAGAGGGTCCAAGTGAACTTCCCGGCCACCCAGGACCCCTAGATGACTTGATGTTTGAGATAAATGCACATCTTTGGGGTTTCTGAAGACACTGTACTTCCAGCCAAAGCATTTTCTTTTAACTCCTTGAACCTCTGTGATATTATTATGGGCTGAATTTTGTCTGCCCCTCCCCCACCTCAAGATTCATATGTTGAAGCCTCAGCCCCTCAGACTGTAAATGTTTGCAGGTAGAGCCTATTAGGCACGGTGATATTAAAATGGCCCTGCTCTTCCCTGACGTGTCTCCTTCTACGAGGAATTTTGAACATACAACCAAGGATGTGCATGTCCAGACAGACAACCATGTGAGGACACGATGAGAAAAGACGGCCGTCGACACACCAGGCAGAGAGGCCTCAAGAAACCAGCACTGGTGACAGCTGGATCCTGGACTTCCAGCCTCCAGAACTGTAAGAAAACAAGCGTGTGTTCTTCAGGCCATCTAGCAGTACTTTGTTAGGGCAGCCCTAGAAAACTAATACCAAAAGAAAAGAAAAGAAAACTGATACAGATTGTCCGTTGTTAGGATCAGTTTATTATCCCCGTTATCAAAAAATCCTGACCTCGCCATGTAATTGCCCCAAGGGTACAGAGTGTGAGTAAAGAAAGCTGGGCTTAGCTTCCTCACTATTAGAAGAACAAGGCAATGATATCGATCAAGACTGGCCCTCTCAAGTCTGCCAGCAATGGACACATCCACCCATTGCTTCATTCAGCAAGAATCTAGCAAACATCCGTCGTGTGTGGAATGGTCACCGAGTGTATACTTTGGAGTTAGGCTTGCCAGGTCGGCTTCCTAATTGTCTCTGTGTGGCCTAAGGCAAAGCTGGTTCTTTCCTGACTTTTTGCATCTCTATAACAAGGTTAAGAATACCCACCTCCTAGGATTATATAAAGTCAGGGCAAGCTGGTGCACGAAGAGTGCTTGGGAAAGCACTTGACGCCGAGAACACACTGGGTGGGTAGCAGCCATTGCTTTGCTGGGTATACAAAATGACAAAAAAGGAGGCACAGTCATGTTTCCCTCTCTATAATTTCAATGTCGTCCTCCCACAAACCCTGAGACGTAAGTATTGCCATCCTGTTTCAAAGAGTAAAGTGAGGTTCAGAGGGGACATGTGACAATAGTTTGGTTTTTTTTTTTAACTTTTTTAATGTTTATTATTTTGAGAGAGTGACTATGAGCAGGAGAGGAGCAGAGAGAGAGAGAGAGATTCCAAAGCAGGCTCCAGGCTCTGAGCTGTCAGTACAGAGCCCGATGCGGGGCTCAAACCCACGAACCATGAGATCATGACCTGAGCCCAAGTCGGACGCTTAACCGACTGAGCCACCCAGGCGCCCCACCACAGTTACAGTTCTTAATCGCAGGGCTGGGATCCCAACAGGGTCTTCTGAGCCTTTTTTTTTTTTTTCTTGCACCAGAGTTGCTGCCTGGGATGCATTTTTTCCTGAGCCCATAGTTTATGCCAGAAATTCTCAACTAATCCCCATGAGGACACAGCATTCAGAACCTAAGAATAATAACCCGAGATGGATACACATGTTTAGACCAGATGGGAGAATAAACTGGCAAGTTACGGGCTTAATGGAAAATGTGGGTCAAAGGGAACTGCCTTCTGAGCGATTGGGGAAGAAGGGGTAATAACTGACTGGTAGCTGTTTGGGGCCAGGTGCTTTTGCTGTCCCCAGTACTTGGGGATCTTGGAGATTTTGATATCATTACACCCCCATTTTACAGTTAAGGAAATGGAGGTGAAAGCAGATTCCTAGAAAAAGGAAGAATCAATCTAGTATCAACTCAAACATGCAGCGTCTTCCCTTGGACCACAGCCCCTCAGCCCCTGCCGAGAATTAGAATCCTCTGAGACATTTGTAAAACGAGCGAGGGCTCGGCTTCCCTGAGAGATCCTGCATCAGTAGGTGTAGAGGGAGGCCAGGTGCTGGACCCGACCCGAGGGAGCTCCAGCCAGGGGTGGGTGTACAGCCAGACCAGGCAGCTGTTCCATCTGGGCCCCGAGATCCAGGAACTCGGTCTGGGCCCAGACCTGGCAAGAACTGCCCTCAGCGGCTGAGGGGAGGCGGGCACCACACTCTGCCTTCCTCTGCCCAGGGGGAAACAGCTGCTCTTTTAAGCAGTGGGAGTAGAGAGGAGTCCATTAATTCATCAACCAGCGTCCTGGCCACTTGATTATGGATTTGGGGCAGTTGCATCACAGCAAGAGGCACAAATACAGGGGAACCCTGAAATCACATGCGAGCACCACTGAAATCACATTTGGGCATCATTTTGACACCAAGAAGTCGAACTGACGTGTTTTTTTTTTAACCATTCCCCATTGTTCTTGAGTAGCGTTTTTGGTTCCCTATGTTTATTTAAGTGGGTAAACATTTTATGTTTACTTCTCAAAAAAAATAAAGTTGCTCTTTGCCTATGATTTTTTTAAGGAAGGGGCGGTTCAGGGACCTTTATGCCAAACAAAGCAAAAACTGACTCTGTGCAGAAGAAGGTCCTTCCACACACAGCAGGAATTCCTGTGATTCACATGCTTCTGGCTCCCTTAATCCCAGGCGTCTTGCGTCACTATCAGGACCTCTTCCTGTTGTGATCGTAAATCTTCTCCACCTCCTGGGTTGGGGTATTTCAGACTGCATACCTACGCTGAATGCACACACTTGATTATCCCACCAATTTGAACCGAGAAAAAAAAATAGCTTTCCCTGCTTAAGCCAGAAGCAGAGCTGGAGAGGGAGTTGGGGATACAATTAAGATTGTCCAGGACTCCCAGCTGGGGAATTTGACCTTTGACCAAAGATAAATAACGCCAGTACAGCGCAAAGAGAAACCAGACCCTTGTGGCCTCGGAGGGAAAGAGATGTAAGTGAAGGAAGCTGCAGGAGAGCAGAAAGGAAAGAAAAGGAGCTGCAGAGCAATTGCCTCGAACACAGTAGTGTCTGCTCACTGTCAGCATCACCCCTGCTCAGCGCCCCGTGCGATGGATACAATATTTGGCAGAAATAAGAAGGAGCAGCTAGAACCCGTGAAGGCCCAAGTGACAGGTGAGTGTTTTGCACAGACGACTGGCTCTTCTGATCTTGTACAGATATACACTCTTTTCTGTTTATGAAAGTAATATGTATTGTACATTATTTTTGGAAAATCTGGAAAGCAATAGAGGGAAATGATCCGTAGCCCAGACGTGTTCTCTGTGAACATCTAGGTGTGCTTTTATACACGGGGACTGTGCCCAAGGAGGAGGGAGCGGTTCTCCCTCTTTGCAGGAGCGACAGCGGAATTAGTCTGCAAAACGTGGCACATCGCAAGCGTGTGATACGTTTGTGCAACTATGCACCTCCTAAGTTAATTTCATAGTGCATTGGGGTGTAGGTGAGCCCGGGCTCGTGCATGCTAGAGGACATGCAGAGCACACGGGATTCCCTCTCAGGCGCCCACGGTGTCATTTTGTCCTTAGACTTCCTGCAGAGCCATAGGCCAAACAGCACCTGAGCGGGGTCCGCCGTGAGGAAATTCCTTCAGCAGGCTCTGTGTCACGATTTCTTCATCGCTTATTTCTCTGGCCTTCTCTTCTTCTGAGCTGCCCCAGACAGCCACGAGCAGCCCGGCTTAGGCCACACAAGTGTTTTCACCCTCAGATACACGGACTGGAGGTTTTCCACGAGTGAGAGTTTTTCTCTGTGAGGAAAGTCAGATTGTAGCTTTTCAACTCAGGGATGGCCTTGGCAGCCTTTTGAGAAAATAGCTTCTGTGTATGTTTTTCTCTGATTACCAAGGTCACGTACAAGCTGTGTGTGTGTTCCATGTATATGCACATATATAAAAACCTTGAAGTACAAACGAGAGTACAAACAGGGAAACCAGCTTTGTTTCCATCTCTCACGTGCTCTTAAAACTGGAAGATTTTAAGTTTTTTTTTAAATTTTTTTAATGTTTTTTTAAAATTTATTTCTAGGAGAGAGAGAGAGACAGCGTGAGCAGGGGAAGGTCAGAGAGAGAGGGAGTCACAGACTGAAACAGGCTCCAGGCTCTGAGCTGGCAGTCAGCACAGAGCCTGATGCGGGGCTCGAACCCACGAACCGCTAGATCATGACCTAAGCAAAAGTCGGACGCTTAACTGACTAAGCCACCCAGGCGCCCCTTAAGTTTTTAAAAGATCTAGATTATACAAAGATGGAGGTTTTTTTTCCAAAAACAAAAGTATGTTTACTATTAATTTTTAATTAAAAATTGTGGGTTTTTTGTTTTTTTTATTGTTTTTTATGCCTTTATTTTATTTTGAGAGACAGAGAGTGAACGGGGAGGGGTAGAGAAAGAGGGAGACACAGAATCTGAAGCAAGGTCCAGGCTCTGAGCTGTCAGCACAGAGCCTGACGTGGGGCTCAAACCCATGGACTGTGAGATCATGACCCGAGTTGAAGTCGGACGCTTAACCGACTGAGCCACCCAGGCGCCCCTAATTAAAAATTGTTTTAGGTGTATCCACTTTGAGAGAGAGCACAGCAGAGTAGGGGGAGAGAGGGAGGGAAAGACAGAGAGAGGGAGGGAGAGAATCCGAAGCAGGCTCCACATTGTCGGCACAGAGCCTGATGTGGGACTCAAACTCACCAATCTTTTTTTTTTTTTTTTTTACAAATAGTTTATTGTCAAATTAGTTTCTACATAACACTCAGTGCTCATCCCCAAAGTGCCCTCCTCCATGCCCATCCCCCCCTCCCCCCCACATCCATCAGTCCTCAGTTTTTGTCAGCATTCAAGAGTCTCTCATGGTTTGCCTCTCTCCCTTTCCCCCACCATTTCCGCCCTTCTTCTCCCGCTTGTTCCTCCGTCAAGTTCCTCCTAATCCTCCTATACGTGCAAACATATGATATTTGTCCTTCTCTGCCTGACTTATTTCGCTCAGCATAACACCCTCAAGGTCCATCCATGTTGCTACACATGGCCAGATTTCATTGTTTCTCATTGCCATGTAGTATTCCATGGTATAGATAAACCACATCTTCTTGATCCATTCATCTGTTGATGGACACTTAGGCTCTTTCCATGTTTTAGCTATTGTGGAGAGTGCTGCTATGAACATTGGGGTACATGTGCTCCTATGCCTCAGCATTTCTGTATCCCTTGGGTAAATTCCTAGCAGTGCTATTGCTGGGTCATAAGGGAGTTCTATTGTTAGTTTCCTGAGGAACCTCCACACTGTTTTCCAGAGGGGCTGTACCAGTTTACATTCCCACCAACAGTGTAGGAGGGTGCCTTTTTAATCAAACTCACCAATCTTGAGATTGTGCCCTGAGCTGAAATCAAGAGTTGGATGCTTAACTGAGCCACTCAGGAGCCCCTATTAATTTTTTTTTTTTAAATGAGAGCCTATCCTTTTATACTCTGGGATCCCATGGACACATCGCCCATATACCTTCTGTTTATTACAACTTGGAAATTTTGGAAAACCGTAATGGTAGGTACAGATCTGAATGGATCCTCGATCTAGATTAGCTGTTTCCCCACCTCCACCCTAGACCTGCCGCTCAGCATCACCTGGGCACCTGTTAGAATCATGAACTCCTGGGCCTACTCCCACTGAATCAGATCCTCTCAGGGTGGAGCCCAGGAGTCTGTTTCTACAAGCCCTCTGGCTGCTTCCAGGTATGAGAACCATTGCTGTAAATCACACCTTGAGGGAAGCTGAGGACCAGAGAGGGGCTGCAACCTGCCCAAGGCCAAGTATCCAGTGGAGGACAGGCTCCTGACCCTCAGTCCAGACTTTGAGTCCTGGGTCAAGTCTAATCAGTTGGCTAGTGTCCATAGGCCAACGCCTAACAAAAGATTGTGCCTACGTGGCCACGTCTGCCCAGAGAAGCCATATCCAGGCTTCACATCGGGCTATGCATTATTGGCTCTGAAACCTCCTTGGCCAGTTACTTAAGAATTAACTGCCTCCGTTCTCTCTTCTCTCAAACAGGGTTGCTGCAAGGGCTATATGATTTAATGCACCTGCAGCCCAGTGCCTGGCATGTGGTGCTCAGTAAGTGCCCTCCTTCTGTGGAGGGCTTTCACTGTGGGCTCACACACCTCTCTCTGCCTTACCTTCTCCTCCTGCATCTGGGTCTCTGTGAGTAGCCCCACTACTCCGTTGTCCAGGGCAGGAGACTCAGTGGCCCTTTGGGGTGTCCCCCCATATTTACTCAAACTCCTAGTCCTATCCATTCCAGGCCCTCCAACTCTCTGTTCTGTTGTTTCCCCCCATCCTTTCTCTCTCTCTGGTCTTGCCGCCTCCCCTGGGCTCCTGCTGCCACACTCCATACCACAGTCAGAAATGACATTTGAAACCCCAAATCTGAGCATATTCCATCAGTATGAGCTATCCAGAAGATGCAGATCCTTAGAGACAGGAGGTAGATTGGTGGTTGTCAGGAGTACAGGGCTTTGTTTTGGGGTGATGGAATGTTCTAGAACTAGATGGTGATGGTTGCACAACACTGTGAATATATTAAAAACTCCTGAATTGTACACTTGAAGATGATGGATTTTGGGAGCACCTGGGTGGCTCAGTCGGTTAAGCATCTGAGGTTGCTTAACATCAGCTCAGGTTGTGATCTCGAGGTTCGTGAGTTCAAGCTCTCAGGCTCTGTGCTGACAGCTCAGAGCGTAGAGCCTCTTTGGATTCTGTGTCTCCCTCTCTATCTGCCCTTCTTCCACTTGTGTGTGCTCTCGCTCACTCTCTTGCTCTCTCTCTCTCAAAAATAAACATTACAAAAAATTTTAACATGGTGGATTTTCTGTTATGTGAATTTTATTTCAGTCAAAAAAAAAAAAACAATGCACACACAAAAAACTGATCCTATGGTTCTCTGTTTTGACCTCCAAGCTGCCCCCATTCTTCTGAGCATCAAATCAAAGCCCTTAAGTTCTCATTGGCGTTTATCACAGGGCCCCTGCTTAACTCTCCAGCCTCAATACTTAGAGCATCCTCCCTCGAAAATTACTGTCCAGTCTTGCTAAATAACTGGCACATCAGCTGGTCTTTGAGCTGGTCTTTAATCTCTTGGTTCAGATTCCTCCAGAGAGAAGACTTCAGATGTAAGTAGTTTATCTGGGACATGATCTCAAGAAACATCGGGAGGGAAACCAGTAAAGGGGGCACTGTCAAGCCACTGGCCACCGTGAGCCATCAGAGCTGAACCCTCTGGACATAGTGTAAGGCATGCCTCATAGTGTCCCAACTGAGGGCAAGGGAGTTGTGGCATTTGATGCCCAACTCCCCATCCATCACTGGGTGACAGCCACTTCCAGGGGCATTAACTCCAAGGTGTTCCAGCTTGCCCAGCGTGTGGGCAGAGCAGCTCCTGCAGTGAAAACAAAGCCTTCTGGCAGAGAAGTCACAGAAAGCAGCCTTCAGGGAGAGGTTTGTGCCAGGAGGATGAGGGTGGGGCACCAACCACGTCCGTTCCAGCACCCTAGCTCTAGAGCAGAGCTGTGCAACAGAAATATAATGCACACCACATGGGAACTTAGGTTCTCTAATAGCTATGGTCAAAGAAGTAAAAAAAGAAACAGGTAAAGTTAATTTTAATAGTAAATCTTAACCTACCCAAAATATTATAAGTTCAGCATGTAATCTATATTTTTAAAATTGCTGATGAGGGGCGCCTGGGTGGCTCAGTTGGTTAAGTGTCCAACTTCGGCTCAGGTCATGATCTCACAGCTCCTGAGTTCAAGCTCTGTGTCAGGCTCTGTGCTGACAGCTCAGAGCCTGGAGCCTTCTTCAAATTCTGTGTAGTCTTCTCTCTCTCTGCTCCTTCCCTGCTTACACTCTGTCTCTCTCTCTCAAAAAAATCCTAAACTTTATTTAAAAGAAAAAAAATTGCTAATGAAATATTTTACATTTTGTTTTCACACTTAGCCTTTGAAGTCCAATGTGTATTTTATACTAACAGCACATCCCAGTTTGGACTAGCCAGGTTTCAGTGCCCATTGGCCGCCTGAGGCTGGTGGCTACCATATCAGATGGCACAGTTCCAGAATGTTCTTTCCTTGTGCCTTTTTGAGACAAATACCTACCTTCCCTCAAGACTCAGCCAGCGGCTCCTCCAGGAAGAACCCTCCCAGCCCTCACCCCACCTTGGGGTGAGGTTCTGTTCCACGTAGCACTCTTGTAGAGCCTGTGATGTTGCCTTTATCCCAGTGTGGTTTGGCTGTCTGTTCATCCGTCTGCTCTGTGGGTGGTGGGCAACTTGAGGACAGGGGTGACGTCTGTTCACCTTCATACCCTCAGTGCTAGCACAATGCAAACTACCAGTGTATGGATGAATGGGTGCGGTGAGTGGTGACGGGACAATGGCCTCCATTCCTCTCCATGGCTGTGTCTCGTAGCTTTCTGGTGGGGACGAGGAACCGGAACCGGAAACAAAACTTTCTTTCTCTTAACAGGCAGGATTCCATCATGGCTGCAGGGCATCCTGCTTCGCAACGGGCCTGGAATGCACACAGTGGGGGAGACCAGATACAACCACTGGTTTGATGGCCTGGCCTTGCTCCACAGCTTCATGATTAGAGATGGTAAGGGCACCACATGGGTTTGCCATCGCTGATGAAAGACACCTACAAGTTGAGTAGCTGAAAACAGCACAGATGTGATCTTACAGATGTGGAAGTCAGAAGTCAAAACTGGGCATTGGCAGGGCCACACTCCTTCTGGAGACTCCAGGGAGAGAGTCATTTCCTTGCCTGTCCCCACTTCTAGAGGCCACTTGTATTCCTCAGCTTGTGGCCCCAGTTCCATCTGCAAAGCTGGCAGCAGGCCGTCTTGTGTGGTGCTCTCTCTCCCTCACTCCCCCCCCCACCCCACCCCCTGCTTCCATAATCACATCTCCTCTGATCCTCAGGTCTGCCTCTTACAAGGACCTTTGTGATGGCATTGCACCCACCCAGATAATCCAAGATAACCTCCCTTCTCCAAATCCTTACTTTAATCACATTTACATTGCCCTGTAAGGTAACATAGTCACCGACTCCAGGCATTAGAACATGGACATCTTGGGGAGGCCATCATTGAGCCAATCATGAAGCACAGACCTCCCTGGAAAGGCAGCTAAGGTTCTCTTTCAAAGAGAGAGACCTGCAAAATAATGTGTGTCCTCAATAAGAAGGGCAAGAACAGGACAAGGTTGCTGGCTTTGGAATCGGACACGCCTCAAATAAAAATAGGAAGAGCATAGAGCTGAAAAGAACAGAGCTGAGTCTGTTGCTCACCAGGCAAGGCCAGTCGCTCGACCACAAGCTCAGTGGCTCTCCCCAGGGGCCGATAGAAATGGCTGGATAAGGTGGAATTCTGAGTTCAGGTGCCTGCTCGACAGGTGGATTGTAGGCTATTTGCTGTTGGCTGTGGCATCACAACAGCATGCTCTGGGTTCTTACAGATGTCCGAGATGGGTTGTGTGAGGCTTTCACAGGCTCAGGGTCACATGCTGGGCAAGTTCATGTCCAAGTGCTTCTTCAGCTTGGTGACATTTTTCTTGAACCCCCAGATTCCTAGCATGATAAACCGGTCACTTCACTCTCTAGGCCTTAGTTTCCTCCTCAGCATAAAGAGCTTGATGATTCCCTCTGAAGAGCTGTCGTGATCATTAGAGGTCCTGGGTATGTAGGGGCACCTGGGTGGCTCAGTCAATTGAGCCTCCGACTTTGGCTCAGGTCATGATCTCATGGCTCGTGAGTTCAAGCCCTGTGTTGGGCTCTGTGCTGACAGGTCAGAGCCTGGAGCCTGCTTCAGATTCTGTCTTCCTTTCTCTCTGCCCCTCCTCTGCTCATCCTCTGTCTCTCTCTTTCTCTCAAAAATAAAATAACAAAAAAAAATTAAAAAATTTAAAAAAATTAAAAGAAGTCATCCTGGGTGTCTACCAAGGGCTAGACATGGTAGATACATGGTGATACGTGGTAGGCACAGAATCAATTGAAAGCCACCATCACTGTCACTGGGTTTGAATCCCATCTTCATCCTAGGTAACATGCACCCAAGCTGTGTGACCTTGGCCAAGTTACTCAACCTGTCTCTCTATCTGCCCCCCCTATCTGTGAAATGGAGATGTCAGCATAGAGTTGCTGTGGAAGTTAAAGGCATTAATATGTGTAAGGAGCATTGTATAGTGCCTGGCACGTAACACATGCTCAGTAAGCATTACCATTATTTTGCTTAATTGCTATTTCTTTTAAGCCAGTTAGCAATTATTTTTTTGAGTATAGACTCTATGCCAGTGGCTTGCTCCAAGATTTCACAAATAGAGACCCCATGTGTGAAAACCATGAGTTCTAAGTTTGCAAAAACAAACAGATTTTGCTGAGACTCAGCTACAGAGTGGATGGTTCCATATTTCTTGACAGCCCTAAGCCATAACAATCCTCTTTTCTAGACAGAAGTTACCAGATTCCTAGGGAAATAAAGGTGCATGAAAGATGAAGTACAGTGGCTTCCTTCCCATGAGGCCCTGCTTGGTGGACTGCCAGGTCCTTGTGGCCCATTTCAGCTGCTCACATTAGTGCTGCGTGGGAGATGTTCTTGTCCCCTCTTTGCAGGTGTGGAAATGGGAACTTCAGAGTGGTTGAGTGACTTATCTGAGGTCACCGAGGTAGGGCTGGGATCTGATTTTGGATACTAACCCTTTATCTGATATGTCATTTGCAAATTTCTTCTCCCATTCCATCAGTTGCCTTTTAGCTTTGCTGATTATTTCCTTCACTGTGCAGAAGCTTTTTATTTTGATGAGGTCCCAATAGTTCATTTTTGCTTTGGTTTGCTTTGCCTCCAGAGATGTGTTTGAGTAAGAAGCTGCTGTGGCCAAGGTCATAGAGGTTTTGTCTGCTTTATCTTCTAGGATTTTGATGGCTTCCTGTCTTACATTTAGGTCCTTCATCCATTTTGAGTTTATTTTTGAGTATGGTGTAAGAAAGTGGTCCAGGTTCATTATTCTGCATGTTATTGTCCAGTTGCCCTGGGATCATTTGCTGAAAAGACTGTCTTTATTCCATCAGATATTCTTTCCTGCTTTGTCAAAGATTAGTTGGCCATACCTTTGTGGGTCCATTTCAGGGTTCTCTATTCTGTTCCATTGATGTGAGTGTCTCTTTTTATGCCACGTACTGGGGTTTCTGAGGGAAAGGCAAGACAGGGTGGAGTAGACAGCATAGAATTGGCTGGTATGAACTGTGTTGGCGGGCTTTGGGCTATAGGGGCAGTCCCTGGTTGCCTGGCACTTAGCCCTGGGGCGATTAAGGTGGAAGAATATTGCCTCCCAGAGTACATGGGCCAGACAGAGGAGGTCTGGCTCTGGATTGGTTCATTTCCCGTGTCATCTCAAAGACATGCTTGGCCCTTTGCTACCTGTAAGAACTGTCTAGTCCAGAGAAGAATAGTTTCCTCCAGCCATAAAGGTTTTTTAAGATGTCACAACATCGTAATATACAGAAAAAAATGTATTTTTTCAATAGTTCTACCCATAATCTGGAACTATGGAAAATGAGAAGTACGGAGGGTCCACCCAATTACCCACTCTTTCTCATCCTGCTCTTGAACCTGTCCTATGTTGAGTGTACATGCCCCGCTCTGCTTTTCAGTGGTCAGCTTGCCATTCTCCAGCCTAGGGTGGAAAGCCCAGAGCACAGGATTTCTGTTCAAATTGTGTCTTTATCACCCAACATAGGCCCTGGCCCTGAGGAGCACTAGAAAACAATTTATGGAGCCAAAATGGCATGAATGATGTAAAGGTTGTTTTGGAAAAAGGGAGTAATACATTCCCAGCCCATCTCTTCAACACTCACTACAGGGAATGCTTGATGGCCACTGGCCCAAGTGTTTCATGTCCACCCATAACTTAGCCCTCACTATAGCTCCTGAGGAAGGTATCTCTCGATTTTACAATGAGTCTGAGGCCCAGAGAATCCAAGTAGCTTGCTCAAATACACACAGCTAAGAAGTGGTGGAGGGCAGGTATAATCCAGAATCCCAAGACCTAAGCTTTTTGCAGTTATACCCCCTCTGCCCCCTTCTGCCAGCTACCGTCCCTCATCTCTCCACTGCAGTCCTCTTGAGGCCTCCAGATTGCCAACACTGGGTGGCACGGCTTGGCCTCATGTCTCATCTCCGATAGAACTTCCAGAGGCTCCCCAATCTGACTCCCCAAAAGTGGAAACATAAACCAAAAATGTTAAGTACTACTATACGTGATTCAAGGGGGCGTGCACAGAGTGAGCAGCATTCTCTGATTTGCAGGTAACACAGAGCCAGTATTTCTCAAAAGGCCGTTTGTATACTTCTCACATCAGAACCCCCTAGGATTAAAGCTGTAAATTCTGAGACACCCCCCCCCCCCACCTACCTGAGGCTGAGTGAGTCATCATCCTGAAGGGTAAGGTCAGAGTATCAGTGTTTCTAACAAGTTTCCTTGATGACCTCGAGCAGACTGCCACAGTGGACCTGTAGCCTAACCATCCTGTCCCACCCAAGACTAAGGTGGGGCTCAAGCTTCTGCCATTGTTTCAGAGCACCAGGTGATTTAATGTAGAGCCAGCATGAAGAGCCTGAATCAGTGCCAGACCAGTAAGAAGAAACTGGAGTAAGAAAGCAAAAAGATAGAAAAATGGTTTGTGGCTTTCAGCAGAGGCCAGTGAAAGTTAATGCTTTGAGGGGCGCCTGGGTGGTTCAGGCGGTTAAGCGTCCGACTTCAGCTCAGGTCATGATCTCACAGCTAGTGGGTTCGAGCCCCGCGTCGGGCTCTGTGCTGACAGCTCAGAGCCTGGATCCTGTTTCAGATTCTATGTCTCCCTCTCTCCCTTCCCCTCCCCTGCTCACGCTGTCTCTCTCTCTCTCAGAAATAAAGAAAACATTAAAAAAGTTTTAAAAAAAAAGTTAATGCTTCAAAAACCTAGCAAAGATTTGGGGCACCTGGGTCGCTCAGTTGGTTAAGGGTCCAACTTCAGCTCAGGTCATGCTCTCACGGTTCATGGGGTTGAGCCCTGCGTGGGGCTCTGTGCTGACAGCTCAGAGCCTAGAGCCTGCTTCGGATTCTGTGTCTCCCTCTCTTTCGCCCTACCCTCCTCATGCTCCTTCTCTCTCTCTCAAAAATACATAAACATTAAAAATAATAATAATAAAATAACTGAAAACCTAACAAAGATTTAATTAAATGAGGCAGAGTGCAGGAGAAGCCAGACAAAAGAGTGCTCTTTCTTATAAATCTAAAATTGTGTCAGAATTTTAATAAAGCAGGCATAGAGGAGAATGAACCCATTTCCCTCAGCAGAACATTCAATACTTTTCTACTAAGAGGCAAGGTCATTGTCCCAGGAGGATCCAAATGTGTGAATTCTAAGAGCCAGCGTCACCAAGGTTTAGGGTCAAAAAGAGCTCTTCAGAACTTTTCTGAAGCAGAATTTTTTGAATTATTATAGCTCTAAGTAGCCTTTTAGAAGTTTGCTTAAAATGAAGAGATATGTATATATAAAAGATCCCATTCCCCGCAGAATATCAAGCTTGACCCAGTTCTAAAAGATTCCGTGCAGGAGCACATCTGTTTACTTGTGTCCCTTTAGAAAGAATGTGGCTAATTGGGGCTCACCAGGAATCAGGGTGCTGGGGAATGTACAGTGGCCTTTAATCTCAGCCTCAGAGCTGAGCGTCAGCCTTGAGCAATTCCAGAAACGCATTTTCCTGTGCCCTGTGCCCTCGATGCTCTGGGACTGGTTGTTTATAGGAAACGGGCCTCTTGCTGACAGCGAGCCTGGGATGGATGTTTACATCTCAAATGAGCATAATTCCTCATTTTAGGCAAAGCACCTTAGCTAGTGCCCGTGGGTGGCACACCTCAGAGAGTGACCAGCAAAGGACAGGCTGACTCAGGGGTAGACCAGGATGGCCCTGCAGCAGAGTCTGTGTAACACGTGACCAAAGACCAGTGTGTGTGTGGCCTCACCAACCCCTAGCTGAGTCTTTCTGCCTCCAGGATTTTTTTTGGACGATTCAGAATTTCAGCAGCCATTACTTGGCAAGCTCATGCTGTGTGCCAATGGGCCAGACTCCTATCATTCCATCTCGTTTCAAACAGCCAGTCCTATCTGGGGAAGGGCTGTGTGGCCCCAAATTTCCAGTTGAGAAAACTGAGGTTCAGTGAGATAAAGAGACTCGCCCATGGTCAAACAGCTTAGACAGGGAAGAAACCTGGAGCCAAAGCTGTGCCCACTCTACCTACTCTTGCATTTCAATAGCGTATGTAGCTTTTACTGAGCACCTACTATGTGCTGCATGCTTTACAGGACTTAAATGTCACAGCAACTCTGTAAGGAACATACCATTATCCTCACATCAGACCAGAGGGGATGGAGCCTCACCTCTGACACAGGTCAAGTGCATGGATGGTAGATGACCAAGCAGGGTTCATAGCCATGTGGAGACTTGAATCCCCTCAGGGGTAGAGATTTGCCTTCCCTGCTAACTCCCATTTCCTGGCCCACAGAGGTGTTTCCTAGGTACTTGCTGGACGCATGAACCCAGGGCTGGATTAACCAAAAGCCCCAACTCCCAACCATTCCTCCCTATTTCTTTGTGCTGCCCCAGAACAGAACTCCCCTTCCTGAACTGTCTCAGTCATCTTTATTCACAGCAGCCACCTCTGAAAGGATGTTTGAGGAGAGAATGGATGGTTATCTGCCCCTTGGGCACACAGAATTACCTCCTAAAGACTGGAGAAAGAACTAGAAAGCCCTTCACGATCTCTTCCAATTTTACGAAGCCTAGTGTCACCATTATTGTTACTATTTCCATCTAATTGTGCAGGTGGGAGTCATTACCACTTGAAATGGACACTCGCATCCTTTGGAGCTGGATGTGAAAATATAATCCTGAGGGTAAAACTCATCGAGTCTGTTAGAGGTCAAGATAGTGGTTCTCTGGGTGAAGGGAGGTGGTGATTGGATGAGATATGAAGGGCTTCCAGAAGGCTCTTGTTCTGTCAATTAGGAGGTAGCTCATAAGGGCAGCTTCCATTTCTGCAGCTTCATCAAGCTGTGCAGCTGTGGTAGCATATTTCTGTGGGTGTATTTTTAATAACCAGCATCGGACAGGATGGTCACACTGATGGTGGTGTCCCTGTCAGGGTCTGAGTCCAGATTACCCTCTTGCTAGCGGTGTGGCTTCAAGCAAGATTCGTAACCTCTCTGTGCCTCGATTTTAGTAACTGGAAATGGGTCTGCAAGGCCATGAATGCCTTAGCTCCTTGTACTTCATTTGGTAAGAAATTTGAAACTTCCCCCGCGTTGTTTAAATTTTGTTTTGCTGTTAATTTGCAAATGGCATTAGGTTGATTCCTTCCCCCCTCACCCCCCCCCCAAGAACACATTTCTAGTTGGTGTATTCTATACACTTCCACTGTTCTGAGAATTAAACCAGAAAATACACATAAAGTGTCCACACGGCACTTAGCACACACATGCTCAATAAATGTTAGCTTTTAGCACAATTTCCTTTCCTAAATACAAAAAGTCACCAGACAAGAATTTCTTAGGAAGGCATTCTCTCCTAAGCCCATCACTTAGGAAGGCAGTGGACTGTGAGGAACACTTCTCTGATCAACTTTTTTTTTTTATAGGAATGAAATGTCGGTGTGACTACTTTTTTGCATATTATAATTTAAATTTTTTTTAATGTTTTTTATTTCTGAGAGAGAGAGAGAGAGACAGCGTGAGCAGGGGAGGGTCAGAGAGAGAGAGAGACACAGAATCCGAAACAGGCTCCAGGCTCTGAACTAGCAGGCAGCACAGAGCCCGATGCAGGGCATGAACCCACGAGCCATGAGATCATGACCTGAGCTGAAGTCGGACGCTTAACCGACTGAGCCACCCAGGCGCCCCTGCATATTATAATTGTACCAGCATTGGAACCATACATTTTACTACAGCAAGGAATGTGTTCTTGAGGGTGGAAAAGTCAACGTGTCACTTCCTAATTCACAGCAAAATTAAATGAAAATTTAAAGACCTAGAGGTTTCAAACTGTCCAGCCAATGACATTCAGAGGCCTCTTGTATCCCAGTAGGGCTTCATCCCTTGACCTCGTCTCATTCCTGCTGCACCCAAGCCCCTATCTCGTGCTCAGGCCCGTCTTGCCTCAGCTCTTGCAGGCGGCGGGCTGCCCTTTCCATTCCAGGCCTGTGCTTTCAGACTTCCCAGGAAGAGTGAACGGAAGTGCCTTGCCCCCTCTCCTACTTGCACCTCCCCAGTCTGTTGTGGGCAGTTTTACTTGTCTTCCAAGTGTTCTTTCAAGGGCTTCCCTCCTCCAGGAAGACTTACCTGATCCATCCACTCCCGGTTGGGGAGCTGGGCCTCCTCAGCTCTCTCCTCTTCTCTCCCCCACCCCTGCTCCCCTTTCTCTCCAGGAAGGGACTTGTGAATATGTTACAGGTCACTCTGCAAAGTAAAATGGTCTTTGCAGATGTAATTAAGTTAAAGAACTTCTGTTGGGGAAATTTTCCTGGTTGTAGTCACAAGGGAAAGAGAAGGGTCAGAGTCAGAAAAAGATGTGACAGTAGGATCAGAGGGCAGCGTGATATGACCACAAGTCAAGCAATACAGGCGACTTTCAGAAGCTAGAAAAGCCAGAAATGGAATCTCTGCTGACTCCTTGCTTTTTAGGCCTATAAGACCCATTTCAGCCTATATCTTGTAAAACAGTAAGATAGCAAATCTGTGTTGTTATAAGTCACTAAGTTTGTGGTAATTTGTTACAATAGCCATAGGAACCTAATACAGGTCTAGAGCCATCTGGTACATTTTCAGGTTGGTCTTGATGAACTGGTCAAGAGTCTCTGCTTTTATGCATGACTTAGATTTTCTCCAGTAACTGCATGAATTAGACATCCACACATGCACTGACCCACTATGCAGAATTGGGCCCTAGGTCACCCTCTGGTTGTAATAGGTATCAAATATTACTCCAGGGGCTAAAATTGTCAATGAAAGGCTACCAAGGCTGAACCAGGCCCTGGGGAAACTAGCCCCCAAGTATGAGGCCTTCTGAACCAGTCCTCCAAATCTGAACCTCCCTGGAGCGATACCAGCATGGTAGAAGAGATGTCAGTGGGCCAGGCAGGTCAGCACCTCTGGGCTAGGTGACGTTTGGCCGGGCAACTGAAGGTTCCTGTTCCCTGCCGTGTGAAATGGAGCTCTTCAGGATACTTACCTTGACATACAGTTGTGAGTCTCGGGTGAGGAACTGTGTGATAGCTCACTGCAAATGCTCTTGTATCAAGCACACAGTAAAGGGACTGCTTTACTGAACTCACCTCCCCCTCGTCCTCTCCCCGTAACACCCCTAGCATGGCTGAAATTGACCTTAAAACTCTGTAAAGGTGTCAGCCTGGGATGATTCTGCATCTTTTTCTTTCTTTCTTTCTTTCTTTCTTTCTTTTTTCTTTTTTTTTTTTTTTAGGAGAAGTCTATTACAGGAGCAAATACCTGAGAAGCGACGCCTACAATGCCAACATCAAGGCCAACAGGATTGTGGTGTCAGAGTTTGGGACGATGGCCCATCCGGACCCCTGCAAAAACATATTTTCCAAGTAACTGTCCACTTTGAATCTGGTCGTGCTTTTTGACATCCTTGGTGGTCAAAACAACCAGCATCCGCTCCTAGAGTCCTCTTTAGTGTGCATGAAAACCACCTGACCAGGCTTTGCCCGTCTAGATGCTATGTGATTCTTGATCACTGAGAGCAAGAGAGGCGATAAGCATATGACAGATTATTAGGCATTTTTTTCCCACATGGCTGGCAGGAGAGCAATTTGGAATTCTCTTGCAAATGTGTGTTGTCTTCAATCTAGAGATAATCTTGCTTGCGTCTGGAATGACAAATGTACAGCATTATTCACGTCTGCATCATTTGTTGTAATGAGGAACTGAAAATAACCCAAATGTTCATCAACAGAAGAGTAGTTAGATAAAAGTGAAAGTATACAAGAAAATACCAGGCAGAAGTAAAAAAGGAATAAGGACGCTCTCTGTGTACTGAATGGAAAGATTTCCAAGATACATTGCTAAGTGGTGAGCATGAGGAGAAGTAAGGTGTAGAAAGAGCCTAAAATGTGCTGTGTGGGGTGCAAAAAAGCAGGAGGAAATGAAGATGTATTTGTGCTTGTATGTGTCTAGAGAAACTGGTAGGGTCTGTGGGGAGGGAAATTGGCAAATGGGAGAAAGACAAAGCAAAGGGCATTTTGTTGTTGTTGACTGCATTTCACATCACCTGAGCTCTAATGACTGAATGTATCACACACTTGACAATTAAGTTGTTGGCCAGAGAATCAGACTTGCTGTCAGTATCTCCTTCCTGATACTCTTCAGATCTAGGAGATTTAGGACATGTGTTGGTACACTGGCCCAGAGATGGAAGATGGCGTCTCCTTTTCCGGAACTGACATCATCTTTCCAGTGCCAGGATCCAGTGTTGGGGCTGGCACACAGCAGACACTGCACTCAGGCCTGCAGGTGTGGGGAGGAGCCATGCAGGACCAAGGGAGTGTGAGGGAATGGATGTAAAATACCATGTGTGACATCTTTGCTGCTTCACTGTTGGCCAGTAGGGGGAGCACTAACCAATACATGGATACAGGATCTTCTGATCAAACAAATGATGAGTTTTTAATCTCATCGTTTGTCTGCTTTCCTTTAAAAGAAAAAAAAAAAAACTTTTCCTGGACAAATTCAAAGGGCCCTCGTTCCTGCCAAAAGCAAGAATTAGCTGTTTTTCTAGTCTTCGGGGGCCATTATGGATGGGTACATATGATTTCCATAGAGCTTCTTAAAATACTTCAGGACAACCTGCCAGGAGTTCTTGGTATCTGTGGTGTGGGAGACCTTTGGATTTTTGAGAGCCCAGGAGGGTTCAGTTGGTGGCCATCTTGTCCCAGATGACTCATGTCTTAGCTCACTCAGCATGGTGGTATCTTTGGGCTAATGGATAACCAAGTCCTCCAGACTCAAGTGATCCTTTAGGACCCCGAGCTTTTTCTCCCTTAATTGAAGTAGAGCATTTTAAGTGGTCGGAAAACTAAAGCCATCTTGTGCAGAACTTTCTAGCTGGGTAGACACAGCCATCGATTTGCTATTGATCTGCTTTCCTCCGCAGAGCTTTCTCCTACTTTTCCCATATCATCCCTGATTTCACGGACAACTGCCTGATTAACATCATGAAGTGTGGAGAGGACTTCTATGCAATCACAGAGACCAATTACATCCGGAAAATCAACCCACAGACTCTGGAAACCCTGGAGAAGGTACCAGTGAATCTACAACCAACAGTAGTTCCTGGCCCGTGAAAGGGACCCCCTGGGTGGGGCCGTGGGGCCTGCAGGAGCTACTGGGAGCAGCCCCTCCCCGAAAGCCATTGGATCTTGAGCTTCCCTAGCACAACACTTAGCACTAGATTCTAAGCTCCCTCAGGGCTGGGACTGTATGGGTTCACTTCTGTGTCTGCATTTATTCTTAGGGCTACCGAAACAAAGTACCACAAACTAGGTGCTTAAAACAACAGAAATCCAAACTCTCACAGTTCTGGAAGCTGGAAGTCTGAAATCAGGGTGTCTGGGGAGCCAAGCTCTCTCTGAAGGCTCTAGGGGAAGATCCTGGCTTGCCTCTTGCTACTGCTCGTGGCCACCAGGAATCCTCCATGCTTCTTGGCTTGTAGATGCATCACTCCATCTCTTCTAGAGATACAAATCATTGGATTAGGGCCGACCTCCAACCAGAATGACCTCATTTTAACCTGATTACATCTGCAAAGGCCCTGTTTCCAAATATGTTGAAGCCCTAACTCTTGGTCCATAGATCTTTTTGGAAGACACAATTCAGCCCATAACACGGTCCACCGTCTTGGCACTGAGTGGGAGCTTAATGAATGAATTAAGTTGGAATGAATGACGGCACCAGAGTGCCCAGACTCTAGCAGCCCTACCTGGTGTTGACCTGAAGAGGGAGACCTTAGGCAGAGAGCAAGGGGTTGGAAATAAATACCCAAGTAAGATGCCTTTCCTGGGCAGAAGTCAAGTCAACATTTTCATGAAAATCAATAGACCCACTTTCAATCTTCTCCAGCTGGCTGCCCAAAGCCTCAGTGTCTCCTCAATATATTTTAACGATCTGGTAAAGGGAGTGCTTTTCTTAGCTGCAAAATTATGGCCAGCATAGGCAGCCGGGTGGCATAGGTCCAACCGACGTATGCTCTCCACAAAGCCTCAGAGAGGAAACACTAAGGGAGAATGAAGTATTGCCTGACCTTTGGCCAGAGGTTGTGCTGTTCTTGGAGAGGAAAGGAGGACAGTTGTTCTCACCGCCACCCATTATTCTATGGCTGTGCACTGTTGGGAGTAGGGGGTCATTATGGAGCTTGTTGGTTAAGTTTCGTTTTGACCAAGTGTTTTTGTAACTCTCTGTTTCCAGAATAATCCTGAGAGAGAGGCCTGGAGATTGATGCCTCTGTGGCATGCAAAAGGGGAGAATGTAAATGACGTAACCAGAAAGACATAGGGCAACAGCTAAGATTAGCTGTGCCCAGGTCATCACTCTGCGATGAGGCATCCTGCCTCCATGCTGAGGACACCCAGGGGGACAGGGCCTGGGGGCAGGGCAGAGCCTATAGCTCCCCAGCTCCCCTGCAGCCTCTGTGCTGTAGGAGGCTCCCTGGGAGGTCATATCAGGGCTCAGGAGTAAACATCCTCTTGATAGGTGAAGTCGCATTACTTTCAGACCAGGAGGGATGCAGAAGTAGTCGCCATCACTCTGAACCTAGAAGTGGCTCACTTTCATCAAGTCTTACCTAACCTCCCCACCTAATTTTGCAGGTGGACTATCGCAACTACGTGGCGGTAAATCTGGCAACATCGCATCCTCATTATGATGCGGCTGGAAATATTCTTAATCTGGGCACATCCATCATGGACAAGGGGAAGACAAAATATATGATCTTTAAGATTCCTGCCGCAGTACCAGGTGGGTCCTTCTGGGGATATGATGAAGCACAGATATCAAGCGTGGCTCCTTCCAAAGAGTTCTGATTTTTGTTGATGACCCAAGACTCAATCTGATACTTTCCTTCATGAATGATTCAGATGACCATGAATCTTTTCTCCTAAAGGAGAAAAGAGATGGGGATGGACTTCCTTTTGGAAGAAGTAAGTTCCTTTACTATTCTTTTTTTTTTTTTAATGTTTTATTTATTTCTAGGAGAGAGAGAGAGAGACAGCATGAACAGGGGAGGGTCAGAGAGAGAGGGAGTCACAGATTGAAACAGGCTCCAGGCTCTGAGCCGGCAGCACAGAGCCCGACGCGGGGCTCGAACCCACGAACCGTGAGATCATGACCTAAGCAAAAGTCGGACGCTTAACCGACTAAGCCACCCAGGCGCCCCAGTTCCTTTACTATTCTAACCTGTTTTTCTTTCTTTAGGCTTCAGTTCATTGATTCATTAATTTACCCATTATCCACCCACCATTTACCTATCCATCCATCCATCCATCCATCCATCATCCATCCATCCACCTATCAATCATCCATCCAACCATCCATCTGTCCATCCATGCACCCATCAAACATCCTTCTATCCATCCTTCCTTCCCATCGATATCTTTTAGTTTTCTAACAAAACTTTGTATGCCAAAGCCATGCTCCCCACTCTCATCCCAGCCCCTGAAGCCAGGCTCCCAGTGTTGTTGTGGGGGCTCAGCCCTGCTTCAGACCTTCAGCCTTTCAGACCCCCACCCCATTCTCTGGGGCTTCTGAACCTTCTCTATTTAAGGCCAGGAACCTGGAGCGAAGCCCAGGCCATTTGTGATTGTATGTCCCCAAGAGGAGAAGCTCCTGGCCCTTCTTTGTCCAGGACCCTCCTGGGAACCACACTGATGAGACCACACCCCTGAGGGGGGCTGCACAGGGCTCAGGAGACAGGGCAGAGCTTACAAGGATGCTGGGCTTGACCTGCCAGTTTAGGAAAACCAGCTTCCACATGTGATCCCTGCTGGCACCCTCCCTCTCCATCCTGTAGAAACTCTGAAACTAATTACTAGGCTCCAGGCAGATGTGAGCCCCTAAGGTCAGAAGGCACAGTGAGTGTGTTCTTGTTAAATGGAACTCCCATGAATTAAGCCAATAAAGGAATATAGGGCCTAGCCAGAATCCTAGAAATGTCAGACCTGGGGGAGGCTGGGGCATTTGAGCTTAGCACCTCTTATTTCAAAGGAGGATGATGAGGTCGAGGGGGATCAGATGAAATGCCCACCATCACACAGCTCACAGGAGCCCCCACATCTTGCCAGCAGCCCCCCTCTGGTCACCTGCTTCATGCTGGCAGCTTCCCTGGGATTCACGCCCGCCTCCCTCCTCCCAGGCAGGCCACTTTTCACTTCGGTTTGCTTTGTGCTCCATTTGTTTTGTGAAGAAAAGAACCGCCCCACAACCGCACAGCACCCCTCCCACCAGCCAGCTGTTTACAGTGTGCACAGGTGGCCACAAGAAAGGTGGGGACGCTTGCAGGTAACTCATTATAAACCAGCCCCAGGCCTGGGCGGGGAGGCCTTTTGGCCAGTGATGACTCATCCTTGCAGAAGAATAAGAGCAGGAGCTTGGACTCCCCATTATTTCATTCTGTTCTCTCACTCCACTCTGAGCGCTGTTCTCCCAGTAACAGAGGAGGCAGCCTGGCTAAGCGGCGGCGCTGGGTCTTGGCTTAACTTGTGCCTTTGGCCATAATGCTGGGCCATTCCATCACACCTCAGTTTCCCACCTGTAAAATGGGAACCTTACCGTCTGCTTGGATTGTCGCAGGATGTGTAACAGCCCCTCATCACAATGGGTACTTAGTCTCCCAGGTGTTTGGGAATGGGTAGTGCCCAGAGAAATTCATGGAAACCCTACAAAATACATGTTGAATGATGGTCCCCAGCAAAATATCAAAGCCGAAGTCTGGGAAGCTGCCCTATCCCCCCACCCCCAGCCCCACCCCCAGGCACTTGATAGAAATGCAGACCCTCAGGCCCCAGCCCCACCTGCTGGGCCAAACTCCACACTTTATCACGATGATCCATGTGCGGGAGGCGTTGTTCCAGAGCTGGGGCTGACAAGCCTTCTCTGTAGAGGGTCCCAGAGTAAATGTCTGAGGCTGTGCAGACACGTGGTCTCTGTTGCAGTTCCAAAGCAAGAACAGCCTGGGACCCTGTGTGAAGGAGGGAGTGGGGCTGTGTTCCTCAGAAACCTTGATGCGAAGCCAGTGCTGGCTGGGCTTAGCCCCCAGGCTCCACTGTGGGCCTGTGGCCCAGAGGCCTGGCTCTGTGGCTCAGTGTTTCCAGATTATAGCACCAGGTCTCACAGAGCTGGGGGAGGGGTAGACCTTGGTGGGAAGCACCCGACCCCGCCAGAGCTCCTGCGTCAGCCAGGCAACAACCCCTTCATCGGTTTACACCTTGGCTTTTACCCAAAGGTTCTTCTTAGTGACCAGGTCAGTTTGAAAGGCTCAGCCGCAGGTAACGGTGGCGTTGTCTGCGGGCAGCTAGGCCCTGCACAGCTCCTGAGGCTTAACTTTCTCTAGAGGATGAGATGGGGAAGGACCCCTTGAAGCACATGAAGGTCCTCGGCTCCATCACCTCCCGCTCGCTCCTCTCCCCGAGCTATTACCACAGCTTCGGAGTCACCGAGAACTACATCGTTTTCCTCGAGCAGCCTTTCAAGCTGGACATCCTCAAGATGTCAACCGCGTACATCCGGGGAGTGAACTGGGCTTCCTGCCTGAGTTTCCACAAGGAGGACCAGGTAAGGCCTGGCCAAGACCCCCAGCCCCACTATGCCAGCCAGGCCCACAACATAAGGACGGCCAGAGTAGGGTATCCCGGGAAGCAGACTGAGATGGAGGTTAGCATGCAGGGGGCGGGGGGAGGTTGGTTCCAAGGGACGAAGGAAGTGAGCTACCATGGAGTCTCCCAGGAAGTATTGGCCAAGCTTCCAGAGAGTTCTGAAGCTGGATGGTCCTGCAGAGTGGTCCTGAGTTAGGGCAAGAGAACCAGACCCCAAGCCACTGAGTCAGTAGAGCAGACTGTCCCTGGACGAGAGTGTGACCGTGGGCAAACCAGCTCTCATCAGCCAGGCAGCCCCCTCGGCTGAGGACCACTCCTCAGTCCTGACCCACGTCTGGGCTCCTTGCGGCTTCCACTGTGCATGGACAAGGCCCTTTCAGCACCCTGCAGCCACTGTACAATGTCAGGGAAGTGGTGCCAGAGAGGATAGGCAATTGTAATGCTAGAGCATTCCACCAGAGGTACAAGGGACACGTCTTCCGTTCAGGCACACCTGCGTGCTCAAAGCATAGACATGTGCATTCGTGTGTGTCTGCTTGTGTATGCGCGGGCCTGTTTATATGGATGTCTGTGTGTGTGTGTGTGTACTTGTATGTGTATGCGTATATCTATGCACAAATATGTGTGTATGTATTTACTTCCTGTTGAAATAAGTCAGTTTTTACTTGTGATAAATACCCAGTAATTCTTAGTGTCCTCTATTCAAACAATAACCAAGTATAGAAAGCAACGTATCAAGTCCCTTCTCCTCCGCTCACGCCCGAGCCCCTCCAGAGGGAATCGCCACGATGCTCTAACATCCCTCTCCCCTTTCTGCCCACTATGGCCATCTTTATGTACATATGCAACTCTGCATCCCCTTTGTTGCTGGCCACCTCTTTAAAACCTGTCCTTCCTTCTCTGTGAGGAGAGTGAGGTCTCTCCTCTGCTCAGAACCTTCTAGTGATTTCCCATCTTCCTCAGAATCAGATCCAAAACTTCACTGACCAGCCTGCAAATCCTCACATGTCCCCATCCCAGCCACCAGCTCCCTGCTCACATAGCTTCCTCTTGGTCCTCCTGTATCTCAAACCAGGCGAACACGTTCCTGCCTCAGGGCCTTTGCATTTTTGGTCCCTTCCACCTGGAATGTCCTTCCCCAGGTTGCTTCCTCCCTCAGAGTCCAGTTCCCCAGGCCTTCCATGATGATCCAGTCTAAAACAGATCCCACCCCAGGCTTTCTCCGTCCCCTACCTGGCTTCATTTTTCTCAGTACTGCTCATTGTCCTTGGCACATTATTTGACCTTTGACTGCTGGCCTTCCCCTCACTGGAATATCAGCTCCATGAAGGCAGGAGCTTGCTTTTATTGTCTTTCCTGAAAGAGTGTCTCATATGTCACAGACCCTCTCTCTCTCTTTTTGGAATGAACAGTGGGCCAAGGGGGCCAGCAGGAAAGCCAGCTGTAGTTGGGCTTTCTCTTCAGCCCCTGGAGATCCCTTGGCCCTCAGAGAATCCCATAGTGGGAAGACCGAGACCCCAGGGGCAGGCAGAGAGCCCTGGGAAGGGTTCTAGAATGCATTTAGAAGAGAGCTTTCTGGGGCGCCTGGGTGGTTCAGTCAGTTAAGTGTCCAACTTTGGCTCAGGTCATGATCTCACAGTTTGTGGGTTCGAGCCTTACATCAGGCTCTGTGCTGACAGCTCAGAGCCTGGAGCCTGCTTCGGATCCTGTGTCGCCCTCTCTCTCTCTGTCCCTCCTCTGCCCACACTCTCTCAAAAAAAAATTTAGAAGAAAGCTTTCTGAAAAGCTCCTGTGCCTGACACAGGGATTGGGGTCACAGAGAAGAAAAGAACTAAAATAATTACCTCTGTAGTCACCTGCCCATTCCAACCCGCCACCCCTAGGCTGTCAAAGCCTTCCTCCCCTGCACCCCCACTTAATGTTCAAAGCTGGATTCTGGAGGAGAGAAAGAGGTGCAAACGCGGGGAGGAGGTGACCAGGGAACAGCCTGGAGCAGTCCCGCCCTGCCTTTGGGAAGGAGGGTGGCTAGGCCAGAGCTGCCAGAAGGAAGAACCCCCACACATCCTTTGGATTAGGCAACTGGGGCTGCCGATGTGGCTAATTACCACCCAGAGTGATAGCACCTCGTGGCAGCCGGCAGTGTGTGCAGATACCCGTGTGGGCTCCTTCACCAGAACCGGTCTCTCCACGCTGCAGCCCCCAGGATAAAGGAGGTTGCCGTGACAACTGCATCCTGGCAAGCCAGGCAGCAGGTGGAGGTCGGGAGAGGGGACCCAGAAGGGCTGGTGTGGTTTTAGGGGCTCCAGGTGTGGCTAGGACCTAGGGAGGGCTAGCAGACTGGCCAGTTCTCCCCAACTTGGCCATGTGTTGCCAGGGAGTTAGGTCGTCACTGCCCACCCAGAATCACAGTCAAGTGAAGGGGTGGGGAAGGGACAGCGCACCCTCGGGGCCTCCTCCAGACACAGTCCTCCTGGCGGTGCAGGTCCTCCATGGTCCTCCAGCAGCAAAGCTTCCCTCCGCCCCGTCTGAAGGAGGTCATCCCAGACGTGTAATGGCGGGCAGCTCCCACTTCCTCAGCTTCTGGGTGGCCAGAGCTCTGGGGTGGGGGACGCTCTAGGGTCACGAGCTGGTGGAGGACCGGGCTGGGTCCTGTCCTGTGCCCGATGCCACAGCACCAGGCCGGCAGAGGGAAGGCTGACCCCTGGGTGTGCATCGTCTTTCAGACTTACATTCACATCATTGACCAAAGGACTGGGAAGCCCTTGCCCACCAAGTTTTACACGGACCCCATGGTGGTCTTTCATCACGTCAATGCCTAAGAGGAGGATGGCTGCCTTCTGTTCGACGTCATTGCCTACGAGGACGACAGCCTCTGTCAGGTCTTCTACTTGGCCAACCTGAACCAGGACTTCGAGGAGAACTCCAGGCTCACCTCCATCCCCACCCTCCGGAGGTTCGCAGTGCCCCTCGAGGTGGACAAGGTAATGGTGGGGAAGGGAACCCATTTCGTTCCTGGGGCGTCGTGAGCCCAAGCGGGCAGTTACTTCGGCGCTGGTTTGATTGGCGGTGAAATCCAAAGTGAGCTGTTCTTGGGGCGCCTGGGTGGCTTAGTCGGTTAAGCGTCCGACCTTCGCTTAGGTCATGATCTCGCGGTTCGTGGGTTCGAGCCCCGCGTCGGGCTCTGTGCTGACTGCCAGCCCAGAGTCTGGAGCCTGTTTTGGAGTCTGTGACTCCCTCTCTCTCTGACCCTCCCCTGCTCACGCTGTCTCTTTCTCTCTCCTAGAAATAAATAAAACATAAAAAAAAAAAAAAGATATCATCATCTAACAGGCAAATGTTAAAAAAAAAAAAAAAAAAAACAAAGTGAGCTGTTCTTAAGGACAAAACGTTTTTTCACTGTTTTTCCAAAAATGGTACGTATTCATAGCAGAAGCCTTAGAATATAGATTAGGTAGAGGTGCCTGGGGGGCTCAGTCCGTTAAGTGTCCAGAGCCTGGTGGGTTTCCCTGTCTCCCTCTCTCTGCCCCTGCTCCACCTGTGTGCACACCCGCTCACACATTCTCCCTCTCTCTCCCTTTCAAAATAAGTAAGTTTAAAAAAAAACTTAAGAAGAAAATACAGGTTAGGTAAAAAGGAAAAAAAAAAAACCCATAAACCCATTATGAATATATTTGTATCACCTCCAAAGCCTCTCTCTCACTAGACAGACAGAAATATTGATACATATGTTGATGTATCCATGTATGTGTAGATATAATACACATGTACATTAATATATCTCAATAAAGCAGTTAAAGACTCTATGTAGTATGACTTCCTTCTCTAAAATTTAGAACTATATATGTATATTTTATATATTGCTTAATTTTAGAGAAGGAAATCACAGAATTCTTAATAGACTTATTGAGATAGAATTTCACATAGCATACACCCATTTCACTCATTTTAAGTGTACAATCCAGTTGCTTTTAGTGTCTTTACAGAGTTGTATATCCATCACCATGATGGATTTTAAAACATTTTCATGACCCCGGAAAGAAACCTTGTACCACCGCCCCTCCCCCCCCCCGCCACCACTCTAGGTACACACTAATCCACTTCCTGTCTCTGAGGACCTGCCTGTCCTGGACATGTCCTGCCCATGGACCCATACGCCAGATGGTCCCCTGCGGCCAGCTGCCCTCCCTCAGCACGGCGCTTTGGGGGTCCGTCTCTGCTGCAGCGTGTATCAACCCTTCCTTCATTTCCGTGGCGCAATATGTACATGCTGTTTTGGTGGCTATTTTCACTGACGTGTGTATCTAAACATCTCTCCGTGACATTAAATACTCTTCTACAACATCATTTTAAATATCTGCATGATGGTCCCAGGCCCAGATTCGTCACTATGTACTCACCTATTGCCCTGCTGTTGAATCGTCCCCTTCTTGCATGAAAAATGACCATGGGGCCAGACATTATCCTCAATTAGGGTGATGCTACCAGAAGCTTCTGGCTCCAGAACTCACTGACTTCATGACTTAATTAATTTAAATGAGAGCAAAATTCAATTCAACTCCATTTTGGTGGCTCCTATTTACAAAATGGACTCTATGTACCAGGTACTTCGCTAGGTATTTTATTCTCCTTGCCTCGCTTAATGATCAAAACAACCTATGGGAGAGGTCCTCATATTAGTCTCAATTTACAGGTGAAGAAACTGAGGTTCAGAGAGGTTCAGGAATCTGCCCAAGGTCACACAGCTCCGAGTGTCTCTCTGTATACTCGTCGCTGGTGAAGTGCAGCTGTACTGGCCTCCCCAGCAGGCCTGGGACATGGAGGTGTCATTCCCACAGAAGGCCCAGCAAGCTGCCTCCCCCTTCACTGCCAGGCTCCTCTGTGTAGGAGTCACAGCATGCCCCCAGCCACTAAGTGGGGTCTGCATGTGCACCCGGTTTCTCTGGCCACAGAGCTGGGGTCCTTTCCTGTCTTTCTAGCATTTCCCCATCTGCAGTCATTGGTTTCTCTCTGTCCCGATTTTTACCATATTTACCACCACAACTTAAAATCTTTAAAAAAAATCATGTTTTATTTAAATCGGCTTCCTCTTGAAAGCCATAGCATTGTCGCTTGCTGCAAATGGAAGACAAGCCAGGGCAGAAAGCAGCAGCAGTAAGCAAAGGTCTTAATCTCTAGTCCGATAACCGCTGCTTGCCAAGACTTCATCTCTTTGTTAAAAAGAAAGTCCTAAAAGTACTAGGTGTTAAAGAGCTAATAGCACCCGACTGAGATGCTCTCCTTGACCCGGTTGGAAAGATCAGGAGGAGAAAAAGGAATGAACTTTCTCCTCACGTGGTTCAGGGCTCCTGAATGAGTGGCTGGGTTCCATGAAGTGGTCACATGGGCCCCTGGTCTCTGCAGCCTCCGCTCAGGGCGGCACCGCAGGGCCGAGCGGGGCTGTGTTTGGTGTCCTGGTTCTGGGCAGCAGTGTGTGTGGGGGGGGGGGGGGGGGGGAAGGGTTCACAGAGCACACAGGTGCACCTCCCGGGGCCGGGCCCTGCCTCACACCGACCTCAGCCTGGGGATGAAACACAGACAGGAAACGCTCCCTCCCACTGCCCACACACCGAGGGATCTTACAGCCTTTTGTCGTGCTTAAAAAATGATTTGCTTCCCTGGAACCACGCTAAGAAGTTTAGCACGTAGATTTTGAAAAGCCACTGTGTGAGCCATCTACCGCTTTGAAATGAGCAAACAAGAGTGAGCCCTGGGAAGGGTAGCTCTGGCCACGCTTTTTAATTGCTATTTATTGTCCCTTAAAAAGTCTGCTTGCTTCACTTTCAAGTCGCCCTGCCCGCATATTGAAATCGGAAAGTTGAGCAGATGCACCTGGCGACGTGTCCTGGTCTGGCAGCTCCGATTCCATCCTATCCAAAGACTTATTAGGACAGACTGAAGGAGAAGCCACGTGCCTGTGGCACCCTTCAGTCTGGGGCCTTTGCTCATGGCTGTCCCCCTGCCTGAAACCCTGTCCTTCCACTCCCAGCTTGGCTGCTGGCTGGACTCACCTGGGGGCTCTGAGACCACACCTGGCCTGGGCCCCAGTCCAGACCAGTGAAGGCAGAACCTCTGGGGCAGGGGAGGGGGCGAGGGTGTGGTCCCAGCCCCCAGAGGCTTTCACTTTGCAGCCAGAGAGAACCGACCACAGTCTGGCAAGTTCTCGCTCGCCCTACAGCTGTCGGGGTCATTGCTCCCCTCAGAGGACGTCCTGTGTGCTGATGGCACTTGCAGCTCCTGTTGAATGAAGCTCTGAGAGCCATAGCCCTTCGTCTTGTCAGCAGTTTGTCACATGCGCCCACCACAGTGCCTGGGCCTTGGAGGGTCCTCATTAAGCTTTTAGCCACTTTAACTCAATGAATGAACGATATGTGGATGAGAAATGAGTGGCTCTCTGAAAGGACCCGGGTCTGTCGTTAGCACTGGGAATGTCTCCCACGTGGAAAGTGCTCTCCACAGAGAATGGGCAGGAGTGGAGTATACTTAACAGTCTGGGACATCCCAGCTGCCCCAGATTCTCTTGCGTTTGGGCCAGCTGGGGTCAGAGGAAGGTGGGGCCCCTTGGCGCCGGTGGCCTGTTTTCGTAGGGTGGCGCAGGGGTTGTCCCAGGCGGGGCCGGGCTGGGAGGGGTGTGGGCGCGTACAGACAGCTCCTCCGCCGGCCGCCCTGCCCTCGTACTGCCAGGCCCCGTGCGCTGCCTCCCGGTGGGTTCGTGAGCACCTGCCTTCCCTTCCGACAGCCATCCGTGCGTAAGCCCACCACGGGGGAGGTGTTGTGGAGCTGCAAGGCGTGGCTCCCACTCCTGGCTCAGTAGAGTGGGTTTGTGTTGACCCTAAATGTGAAAACAAAGACTCCTCCCTGCACTCCCGCCAAAAGCTGCCGTTTACTGAGAGCTCATTATGTGCCGGGACCTGTGTTAGATGCCTTTTTTGCTTAGACCCCGGCAAGAGGGTCTCCTGCTCTGGCCTGGGCATTTGGGAGGCCCTGAGCCAGACTTTCTCTGGCAGTGTCCCTCCCTCGCAGAGTGAGGATTTCCTAGAGCCAGGGGGCCATGCCCACCCAGCCGGGTGTCTTCCCTTTCCCCAGCCATGAACTAGCTCCCTGGGATGTGTGAATTGCCTCCCCAAAAGCCCCAAGACTGCTTCCAGCACCTGCCTCTGTCTTCCTAAAGGCAGGCTGTGCCCCTGGTGTACGGGCCTCAGACCCATGAAGTGACCAGAATTTGGCTCTTGGCTTTGGTTGTGCTGGCTGGGGCTTCTGTACAGTGGGAAGAAAGGCGACCAGGGACAAAGAACCCCGGGCCCAGAGGCTGGCCCTTGTCTGCCACCCTATTCTGGCTCAGGACTCAAGGAGTCCTAGAATTCCAAATTCACACATCCTTCCAGACCAGCACTGTGCAAGAGTCCACTGCAGCCATGACACATTGTCCATCTGATGCAGTAGCCATGAGCCATGTGTGGCCATTAAACTGCACCTCGTGCAGCTGAGGAATGGGATGTTTAACTGTTCTAAAGTTTACGTAAAATGTAACTAGCACATGTGGTTAGTGGTTGCCATATCGGACAGCGCACTTCCACATTATTAAGGTCTGTGTATCGAGGCAGGAGGAGAGAATGGTATTTCACGTAACGATTTGCTCAGCCCATTGAGACATAGGGTGCATGGGTCTCCGCTCTGTTCCTTGGTCCTGAAAATTTTTCGAACTGTTAACTGCTTTGCAAGCTTCTCATCTAATCAGTAGGACACCCCTCTGAGTTGTTTCTTATCCCCATGACTATGGATGAGAGAGAAAGTAACTTGCCCATCATTGCAGAAGTATCTGGGGGATTTGAGCTGGGATTTGAATGCGTGTCTATCTGGCTCCAAGTTACTAACTACAATGTGTCTGGCCCCGGACCAGCTGTTTTCATCACCATCGTTTAATTTTAACTCTAGTCTTCAGCTCCAGGTCAGAGCAACCTCACTGGCGGTCACCACCCATTCAAAAAGTTATGAATTGTGCCCATAGTTTACAAATGAGGAAACAGCCTCAGGGAGGCATGGGGGCTGAGTGTGGGGAGAGACCACTCAAGTTCCCATGGAAAGCCATAGAGTCAGGGTTCACACACAGGGCTTCTGATCCCAAAAGCCAATGTTTCGAGGAGCTACCGAGCTGGCTGCTTCTCACAGGAGCTGCCTCAAGTTGGCGGATTTCAAAACAAAACGTGTAGGATTTTGTTGAGCTCTGGCTGGAAAGCTGTTTCTTCCCAAAGCTGAGCGTGCTGGCCCCCAAAAGCAGCCAAGTCATGTTCATGACGGCTACGTGGAAAAATTCAGTTTATCCCTCAACCAGTCTGACCAGTTTCAGGCCGGAATTATAAGACGTCTCTGCAGACTGGCTCCCCGAGACACAAGCCCAGGGCACGCACAGCAGGCCTGTTGCTGTCAGGTGACTACGAGGCTCCAGGCAGAGTCTCTACCCATTCATGGCGCGATGCAGGTGGAGGCATTCAGGGCTTAGGTTTACAAGGCAGCACTGACGTGCGGGCAGGACTTTTCCACGCATCTCATCTCATTCAATTCCTACAGCCACCCTGTAAAGCACACGTTTTGCACCTTGACCGTGGAAGGAAAAGCTTATTGAGTTATGCATGCACTCCGTTCCCCCAGCAGTTCCTTCCTGGGAGCTATGTTCCATGCCCTGAACGAGACCCGGTCCCAGTCTTCAGGGGGAAGACAACATAAGAGAAGGAAGCAGCCCTTTACAGGAGACAATGACAGCGTGAGACAAATGCCTTGGCGACATTGCAGACTGAGTGGTTAAGGAAGGGGATTTTGAGCAGAGACTTGCAGGATGGAAACGGACAAGCCTCAGGGCCTCTGTGCCTGCTTTGCTCTACCTACCACTTGCAACGCTCTTACTTTAGAGCAGATGAATTGCAGTGTGAAGGGCCCAGCCTCTTCTTCCCTCTCTGGCCTCGTACAAGTCACCTTTCTTCTCTGGGCCTGTCTCCTCTCCTGTAAATTGAGGGGTTGAACTAAGCAGATCTCAAAGGGCCCCTACAGTTCAACTGCTAGGATGCAGTACATTTGCCTCCCTTCCCAGCAAAAAGCTGCTATCATTCAAATAGGTTTCATGTAATTATAAAATCCCATTTTGGAAAACCTGGGAAGCAGAGAAAAGTTTAAATGAGGAGAAGTCGGCCATAACTATAACTCTCGCCCTGTAAACTCCATAAAAACAGGGACTCTGTCTGGTTTCTCCATTGTCTAACCTGCTCTCACCCCCAGTGGTATAGTGAGTAATATAACAAGAACAATGGTAGTAATAATAAAACAACGGTGATGTTATCAGCTGCAACTAGCATTTATTTAGCACTGGCTGTTAACCAGACCCTCCTATAAACCATTTTTCAGGGAATATTTTATTCAACCTGCACAGTAATTTAGAGACATATATACTTTTTATGTGACACATCTACTATACCTCACTCTACAGATGAGGAAACAACTTCACAGATATTAAGTAACTTGCTCAAGGCCCCGTAGCTCCTATGTAGGGAAACAGGGAGTAGTAGAAGCCCAATAAATATTTAATCAATTGTTTTAAATCCCTTTCCTGGATTAAAACGGTGATGGTAAGACCCTAAACAAAGTCTGCTTGTAAGTTGAGACCAAAGAATGTCCTTGATCCAACTTTGACTCCCAAGTAATTATTATTTATTATTGCCTGTTTGTTTTCCTTTCACCAGTGGGTACATTTTCATAGGAGAAAGTCCTGAAAATACGGATAAGTGTAGAAAAACAAAGTCCCCATATTTCCATTGCCTTCTATCTTGTTAATATTTGGTATATTTCCCCCAGGCTCTTTTCAGTGTAATTTTTTTTTTAACCAGATTACTCAGACCTCAGGCTGCATATGCAATTTACTCTGCTGCGTTTCTTAGTATTCTCTCACGAACATTTCCCATGTTATTATGAACTCTTTATAAACATCCTTTTAATGACCGATGCAGCCTTGCACAGGTGAATCATCTAGTATTTAAAAAGTGAGAACCTACCAGCACATTAGTTTCACCCCTGAAGGATAAGGTAGCCCAGAGTAGTAGTAAAGAGCCAAGAATTTAGGGACAGTCATCCTACCACCTACCAGCTACACACTCTCAGAGGATGAGAATAAGAATACTGATAATACAGGGGTGCCTGGGTGGCTCAGTCGGTTAAGCGTCAAACTCTGGATTTGAGCTCAGGTCATGATCCCTTGGGTTCATGAGATCGAGCCCCATGCTGGGCTCTGCTGACAGTATGGATGCCGCTTGGGATTCTCTCTCTCTCTCTCTCTCTCTCTCTCTCTCTCTCTCTCTGCTCCTCCTCAGTGTTCGTGTGTGTTCACTGTCCCTCATGTGTGTACTCTCTGTCTCTCTCTCTCTCTCTCTCTCTCTCAAAATAAATAAACATAAAAAAAAGAATACCAATAATATAATAACTGCTTCCTACGGTTTACATGAGGCCAGAAGAAGATGAGCCCCTCTAGGGCTCAGTTGGTTGAGCCACTTCGGCCCAAGCCATGATCTCGTTGTTCACAAGTCTGAGGCCTGCGTTGGGCTCTGTGCTGACAGCTCAGAGCCTGGAGCTCCTTCAGATTCTGTGTCTCCCTCTCTCTCTGCCCCTCCTATGCTCTCTCTCGCTCGCTCGCTCTCTCTCAAAAACAAATAAAAACATAAACGTTTTTTTAAAAGATGACATAATCTAAAGCACTTTTTTAATGCTACGATAACTTTTTCTTTAAGTTTATTTATTTTGACAGCTAGAGAGAGAAAAGAGTGCATGCAAGCAGGAGAGGGGCAGAGAGAGAGGAGGAGAGAAAATCCCAAGCAGGCTCCACTAAAGCACTTTGTTAAACGTACACGGTATAGCACGTGTTTGCTCTGGATAACAAGTCATCAATTTTTTCTTGAAAACTGATTCTTTCAGAATGCAGAAGTGGGCTCAAATGTAATCAAACTGGCATCGACGACAGCAAGAGCCCTGAAGGAAAAAGATGACCGAGTCTACTGCGAGCCGGAGCTGCTTTATGAAGGTAAAATGCCTCCTTTCCAGATGCTCAGGGAAGGGGCAGGACCTCATGAATCCCCCGAGGCCACTCAGTACCTCCTTCTGATGCCAGAGAGCTGGGCAGGGACACGGGCAAACGGAAAGGCTCTTGGGGCACCCTGGTGGAAAGCATCTGGGGACAGTTCTCTTTCGTGTATCCTCAAATGCCTCCCAGGAAGGCACTGGGGGTGAGAGTGGTCATTGGGTGACTTTCACAGCTGGCCTCTGGAAAGGATCCGGTTTATTGGAGACTGACTTACTGAACAGGGACAGCTTGTTTGCATTTCTACTTGTACCCTTTGAGACTACCCTGCAGAACAGGGGCCATCAGCTCCATTTTACAGAGGAGAAAATGGTTCACGGAGGCTGGGATCCACACAGCATGTAAAACCCTCCAATAAAAGTCGTACCCGTAAGGTACACAACCTGGGCACCCTCGACAGTGGGGGCTGGGTCATTCTCTGTGACGGGGGCCGTCCTGGGCATTAGGATGTAGAGCAGCATCCCTGGCCTTGACACCAGATGCCCGTAACACCTGCACCTCAAATTGGCACAACCAAAACCATGTGCAGACATTGCCAACGTCCCCTGGGGGCACCGTCACCCTGACTGAGAACCACTGCCCTATGAGCCCAGGAGGCAGGGACCAAGGGACCATGCTCCTGTGCTGAGCGTATCACCAGCCTATGACAAAAGTGTGGCTTAGAGGGGGTCTGTGCTCAACGCAGGCCCGGAACAAGGGTGCTGTGGGGTGGCAGGGAGTGGCTCTGCCTTGCTCTCCTCATCAGCTGCCCCCTGCCAGGTTCAGGCATCTGGAGGGACACCGTCCTGGGGACTTTGTTAGGACGACCCCAGCATTGCCCATAAGAACCCCTGCTGTGAACGGCATCCTGTGGACCTTTGTAACAGGCTCTGTGTGGGACCCCCGCCCCTGGGAGTCTTTAGAAGCGACTGTATAGATCTCGGTCCCAATTCTTAAGGCATCACCCCCATCTCTGCTCACCCGCCACATTGCATGGGCAGATGGAGGCCTAAACATTACGAGTCTTTTTGTATCTGAGAAGAGAATTCTCGTGTATTGTGGCAAACTTGGGCAATGCTGAGAAGTATGGCAGTAGACAACTTGCTCGTAACTCCTCCATCCATGGCAGCCCTTTGGAAGTCCCCACTGCCCTACTATCGGGTGTGGGTTCCTTGGCGTATGCCAGCCCTCTTTTAGAGCTTCCCAGACATCGCCCCATCTCACCCTGACAGTCTCATTAGGTCATCCTTGATGTAGATGAGTTCGCACACGTAAAGCACCTCATTGAGAACCGGCCCCTAGTCAGAGTCCAGCACGGAGTAGAAGTTCCCAGAACAATTCTGGGAGGCAGGTGTCACTGCGTGCTCTTTTTGTTTTAGAGCTGAGGACAGCAAAGCTGAGGATAATTCAGTAACTTGCCCACAGATAGACAGCAGATCAGGATCGGAACTCAGGTTTCTCAGACTCCAAAGCCCTTACCCTATGCATTTATTTTTATTTTTATTTTTTTTTAAATTTATTTCTAGAGAGAGAGCATGAGCAGGGGAGGGTCAGAGGGAGAGGGAGTCACAGACTGAAACAGGCTCCAGGCTCTGAGCTGGCAGTCAGCACAGAGCCCGACGCGGGGCTCGAACCCACGAACCG